TTAAGCGCAATAAATGAAACTTATTGTTTTTCTTAACTTTCTTCGTGTTTTCTTGTATTTTTTTATTTTGCTATATATATATATATATATATATATATATTTGGCTTTTAAAGTTTTTACACAAAAGTGAATTATAATTGAATTTTTTTTTAAATTTTCAGGTGTTTTTATAATTCTGATGGTGATTTCCTTATAGGTAAGTCTCACGAATCAAATTTTTCTTGTATATCTTGTTTCTGTGATTGTATTATGCTTCAAAATTATACCATGATTATAAAGTAATATTCAGTGATCTTTTGTTGTTGTGGACTTTAAAAAAACAACTCTACCCATCTTTGTAATCTGAATCAGATTAGATTCATGAGTTTGTTAGCCATCATCACCCCTAGCACTATGTTGAGTCGTTTAAATGGATAGTCTTGCATCGAGGCAACACAATTGTGCAGATGGTGTAGAGTACCATCACATGTACCTTCACATGTATTGCACTTAGTACAAACTTCTTAAAAACAAGTGAGTTACAGTTTCAGAGATAATAAGCAAAATATTCATGATCGAGAAGAGAGAATGAGCATCTTCTGTTAGTATTAAAAATACTTTGAGCACCTAGAGTCCAACTTTGTTCCAAAGCTAGCCATGATATTGGCATTGTGGTGTAACTACCACTACAATTATTTAACATCAATTCACTAGTATATAAGACATGCTAATTCTATTCAATCTTTGGCCTGGTTGGTAGGGCGTTGGATTTTAGTTAGTGAGGACGGGAGTTTGAATCCAGACTGCCGAAGAATACCCTTGTATTAAATGGTGATCGGTGCATGTTAATTTATCAGGATCGCGAGTTTTCGTGTCTTTTGTATAGGATTCAAAATTACAGGACTGCATTGGTTGTCGTAAACTCAAATTTTGGTCGGCTGTTCAATGACGGTTATAAAAAAAATAATACTAACATAAAATTAAGATATTTTGATAAATAAAAGTAAAGGTTCAAAAGTGCACGAACAGCATGTCCATGATAGAAAAGTGCTCCTAGCAGCGTAAGATGACATTTCTGGTCATGGTTTCCTAGGTAATTCTTATTCCTTATAATGTTCCCTACTTCCCTTAGAAGTTTATTGCAACATTTACGTGCCACCTTGTATACTATCCGTGTTAAAAATATTCTGCGCAATGAAAGGAAGAAAAAAAGTTTAAGGAAAAATAATTTTTTTTAAGGTCTAATTCTATTTAATCTAAATTAAGGCCATTCTGAATTCTTAATCTAATCATTCTTAATCTAAATTAAGGTCATTCTGAATAACCCACTTTTGGTGGTCGACTTCCTCCGGGTCATGAGTTTCATGGATATTGTTTAGCCCTGCTAACTTTGGGGATAAGGAAGAAGGAGAAGACTATTTTGAATTATACAATATAAAATATCAAATGAAAAATTAAGTCATAGTTGTATGTGATGTGTGAGAGATTCACATGCAAAAAGTATTGTTTAAACACTTTGTTCAAAACACCATAAATTATTGATTTGTGTGGAATAGTAGAAAACGTACATATATATATACAGTGAAACCTCCATTAAGCGGACATTCATGGGACCAAAAAATTTGTCCGCTTATGAGAGTTGTCCGTTTACTGGAAGGGTACCCTAATAACCCAATTTAACACCGTAATTTGTTTTTAGTATATTTTCAAAGATGTAGAAATAAATAATATCTACAAGGATACTATAAATATCTACAAGAATATTTATTTAAACTATAAGAAAGATAAAAAAAAGAATATATAAAGAAGTTTGATATAAATACGTAATTCTGGATGTAGCTACAAATAAATAAATATAATTTTCCTAATAGTATAGATACAAACATATGATACCGAATAGGAGCTTTCTGTCCTCAGTCCGTTTCAATTATTAGGTTTACATCCCCTTACACCTACCTATCATATGATAGGGAACGTGGTTAATACCTTCTTGAAAAAAAAACTCCCATAATTCACAGAAAAAAAAGTAATGCCTACCTGTAAGTCATGAGGACTTATGGAGTTGATTATTCACAATTGATCAGCTATCCAGCTATCAAATGTCTGAATAAATGTTTCATTTATTTAAACACCTCAAAGATTATACTTCTGTTCTATTTTTTTTTAACCCCAGTCGTGTTAAATACAATCTTCGGATTGATAAGAAAATTAATGAAATTTTCAATGGGGAAGAAGCATTGAGAGATGTCATTTCAACTAGAGGGGTCTCATAACCTGTGTGGTCCAGATGAAAAGATCAAAAGATGCCGATGTCAAAATTATTTCAGGAGTGTACCATTTTCTCTCCTTTCTTTACAAAGATATGGCAAGGTGACCGGAGAAAGATTGATTTTCCGGTGGCGAAATAGCTTAACAATATTTTTAGTTATGGATAAGGCAAAAAATTTTATTTACATGCTTTAAAAATGGTGAAAAGTTGCATTTTTTAGCTTGCATTTTAAAGCAAAAATAGTTCCTTTTTCAAATTTAGAAAAAGTAATGTCCGGTTTGTAGAGATAGAAAACAACGTTTCAGAACCAAAATGACTGTCCGCGTCCGGTTACGAGAGTGCCCGCTTTGCGGAGAATGTACATAATGGTTTATTCATAGAAGATTCCCGGGGAATTAAAAATATGTCCATATAGAGAGGCGTCGGTCTTGCAGGAGTGTCCATAACAGGAGGTTTCACTGTATATATTTCTCACAGCAGTTCTGGAAAACATTTCTAATCTTGTTTCTTTTTTTTTTTTCCCACCTACTATTTTAAAAATATAATGTAACCTAATAAAATAAAAAATCTCCAAGTCAAACTATTGTTTAGTACTTGGCAATAGATTTTTTTTTCTAACTTCAATATTAATAGTATTGTGATAACAGTATTTAATATATTAAGTATTGTTATTTTGTTTTTAACAAAAAAAACTATCGTTTGTTTAAATGTGTATGTACATGTTGTTAAAAATGTGTTATTAAAAATTCTGATTTCAATAAAAAGTAATTTTTCATTCATCTTTGTGATAAAGTATTTAACATATAATTAGAAATTAATATAAATGTTTAGCAAGTCAAATGTTTTGATATGTATTTACCTTTTTAGTTCCTCAACAGGGAAGACTTACGATAACAACAGAATTTGGTCGTATGTATGTTGAACCTAATGAGATTTGTGTTATGCAAGTAAATATCAACATTATTAAACACTTAGTAAAACTTTATTTTGATATAAATGATTAAAATTAATATTTTTTAATTTCATTTTACTAGCAAGGAATGAAATTCAACGTTGCGGTTGAAGGACAAAGTCGAGGGTATATGTTAGAAGTTTTTGATGCACATTTTAACCTGCCTTATTTAGGACCAATTGGTGAGCATGAATTTCTATTTTCAGGGTATCTGCGCTCCTGGAAAGTCATGAGAAATCATGGAAAGTCATGAATTTTTGTATTGAACAAAATTTGTCATGATTTTATCTATTTTTAAAAAAAAAAATCGTGGAAAGTCATAGACGTAAGTCGCCGAAAAATCTAATTCTTAAAAAGGAATTTACCCGTCCCCACAATTTCATGGTGTTCCGAATATCTGAATTTGTAACGAAATCCCCACTCACAGTCATATTTTATTAAAATATAAAATGTTTTATCATGTTCTTTAAAAATTATGGTGTTCTTTCAAGAAATGAGCATCATTTCTAGAGCGAATTATCTTTTAAACTTCTGTGATTTCAGATTTTTTGTTATTATTTTTATTTTATCAATTTCAAATTGAGCAAACCAGTCATTGGCAAATTTTTTTTAATACTGAAATGAGGACAGAAAAATCATGAGTATTTCTCTCCTTTCTGATGATCAAGAAAAGTATCTTCAGAATGTAATTCTGAAGAAAGAAAAGAAGAAAAAAAATTATTTACTTTTGTATTTTTTTCAGCTATTTTATTGCTTCAACTCTTTCTTTACTCTGTTTCTTAAATTTTAAATCTATAAATATGAAGATGCAGAGTATAACAGTTTTGGTTATACCTATCATTTCAATGACTGTTATCATAATGCTTTTTAAATTTATTGTTGTGTTTTTGTTGGAGAAAATAGTAACTTCGTTAAGTCATGAAAAATTCTTGGAATTAGTCATGGAAAGTCAGGAATTTGGAAATCTAAAATGTGGCAGATACCCTGTATTTTTATTTGCAATCAGTCTTCTTTAGTCTGACTTAATATTTTTTATTTTATTTAATGTGAAGGTGCCAATGGTCTTGCAAATCCTAGAGATTTTTTAACACCCGTTGCCTTGTATGAAGACAGAGAGGTGTCCAATTATATTGTGATTAATAAGTTTCAAGGAAAACTTTTTGCTGCTCAACAGGTAGTGTGAAATTTAAATCTGAAATGTGATGTTTTATTGTTTGCTCAAGCATGCAACAGGGTTCCCACGGGTTAGGGAAAACCTGGAGTTGTCAGGGAATTTTATTTTAACTCCAAAAATCAGGGAATAGTCAGGGAAAGTGGATTTTTTTTTACAAAAACCTGGAATATACCTATATCATACCTGGAAAATAACCAGGTATGATATAGGAATATCAATAACTGATTACTGTTACTTACAATTTTAAGAAATTGTCAGTAATGGTAATCAATTATTGAGATTTGAGTTAAATAATTTAACATCTATTACAATCATTTGTTATAAAAATTTCACACTTTAGTCAAACTGAAATGTTCCCTTCCTTATTTAATAATATCTTTTTACATGGAAAACTAATATTTCACATTACAAATTAAATAATCAAAGTTTTCTGATGTGAATTTGGTCTCAATTTTCTTTGAAATTTACCTGGTAAGTCAGGGAATTTTTCCTCTGAAATTGAGTTGGAACCCTGATGCAATATTATTGTTTATCTTGTCATTAAGTTTTTTTTCTCTTTAAATTGATTTTCTAAAACTCATTCTCGATGCCTAGCGTTTTTAAATAGTGCTTAAAGGTAATGATTTTTGTTTAAAAGCACTTAAAGGTGCTTTTTTTTATTTCGAGGTTTGCTAAAAGTGCTTAATTTTCTATCTTTCAAAAAGAGATTTTTTCTTTGCCATATCAATTGTCGTCATAAATTACAAAAAAAGCATGATTTTCACAATTTTCTCTGCAATATTTATCATAATAAGGCTGACTAATTTTTTTTTCTTTCTAAATTTCAAAAATATCTGGGATTTCAAGAAAAAAAATGAAATTGTGCAGTGTGTGTAATAGTTTTGGTGAATTAGATCAACTATTTAATATTATCTTATTCATATAGCTTTCATTTCTTGAAATGATTTTGAGGTAATGAAGCATTAAATTGCATTTCACGTTAAAAACTATTAATGATAGATTGCCTTTTTTTTAATTTTTCTATGTATTGCATTTTGTACAATTGTTTTGTTTGTTTTTTTCTGAAAAAATTAAAATTATATAAATACAATTTGAGTAGCTACTAAAAATGCTTTGAAACATTAGAAATGTGGCAAATACTACATGTAATTGTAATGAGCTGAAAAAGCCAGTACCAATCCTCAGATAATTAAATTTTAATAATTAAGGTTTTCATTGCTTCCAATTTTTATTTTCTGAAAATGTTTTATTTGTGGTACTGTGTAAAAAATTTTAAGTTGACCTCTTCTGTATGTTGATCACCTGTCTTAGTTAATTTTATTGTTCAAGAACAAACTGGCAAAGCAACTGCCCGCCCTTCCCGTATTATAAGCTGTCCTCTCAGACCATTTGCAGGGAAGGTTAAAACAGCTATGCCAATTGCATATTTATGTATTTATATATTTTTAATTAATTACCATATTTTGTATTTATGTTAGTAAATTGTTATTAGACATGACTTGAAAGGAAATTTTTAAAAAAAAGTTTGTTAGTAATATTCAAGCTTAATCTAAGAAGTAATCTTAGTAGTTTAAAAACTTAGTACCTTTATTAATAATAATTATAGCTGTCCTTTACACAAATAATTTATAATAGAACGATATTAATAGATTTCTTACATGAAGAGCTTGGGTAAATAAATTATTAAATGATCAACCAATGATATGAATATTTTTTCTTTTTCATGATAGTTTTAATTATGCGATTTATTTGTTTTACAGAGTCATTCTCCATTTGATGTTGTTGCATGGCATGGAAATTATGTTCCTTACAAATACAATTTGTCTAATTTCATGGCTATTAATTCTGTTTCATTTGACCATCCTGTAAGTGAAAAAAAATTGTTTTATAGTTGTACTTCTTTAAAATATATATTAATTTTTTATTGCTAACCCTGTGTCTATTTTTGGCAAATTTATACAAATTTTTTTTTGCTTTCACTACATGGAATAAGTAGAAATTTGTTTGTATTGTGGTGCAGTAAACAAAACAACAGCATACCTGCAAAAATCTCCTTTTTTTTTTTTTTTTTTTTTTTTTTTTTTTTTACCAAAACACCTGTATTTTACAACTATCTGCTGCTTACCCTGTTCTCAAATTTCTCTGTATTTGTTTAAAATATTAAAAAAAAAAAAAAAAATTGGCAATAAAATATCCACTGATGGCAAAAAATACTTCTCTTATTCTTCAACAGATGGTGCTATTGCCAGTACTGCAGTATGTTGAGTGTTAATAGTTTAAGTAATTATAAACAATGGTTTAAAAAAATCTTTAGATTAAGATTTATATACATATTTTTTACTTCAACTGAATGTAAGTGCTTTCATATTTTCCATTTTGAATTTCTCTTTTTGACTTATATGATAATGCATGATGTATCAAAACTTTACTCGTAGCCTAAAAAATGTTGCTAGTAAAATCTCCGTTATATTATTTTTCTAATGTTGGGAGGTATGCAACCGAGTACTTGATTATATTTCTTCACAACCAACTTCACAATTAAGCCACACAATCTTTATACAATTGACAGCAATGATAGCAAGGCTTGCTGTCAATTATATAATGCTGTTATTGTTAGTTTAAAAATTTGATTGATCCTATGTAATAGTTTTTGGTTGGTGCCCTTTTAAATATGGAAAATGAAAAGCAACATTTTCGACAATTTTACTTTTTTTTACAGTCAAAAAGGTAAAAATGCTGTTCAAGCAGAATGGAGAATGGTACCCTAGTGATAAAACTAGTTTGTAAAATTTTGATCTGGAATTTAAGATGTCACCACATAAGTTGATGCTGAAACTAGTTTGCAAATTTTTTTTTCTGGAATTTACGATGCCCCACATCAATTGAATGCCCCACACCAATCAAACTAATGAGATACATTAAAAGTAATAATTGATGTAAACTGACAAAACTCTTGAGGTCACCAGAAGAGCAAATTCAATCATTTGAAACTCCTTCATTTTAAATTAATCTCTTTTGAGCAACTAATAAAAAAAGTTTGATTTGAATATCTCAAAAATTTGAAAAGTTTCAAGCACTTTTCTTATTTTTTTAAAAGAAAGTTAGAAATATAAGGTGTTTTCTACAAGTTTCATTTTGTACCATTAAACTAGATTTGTTTAAAATGACACCGGCTTTGTTGGTGGATCATTCCTCATAAACATATCTTATCTTATGCTTGTTTTACTTCCAAATACCATAGCACTCTGTTTTATGGACCATTATTAAAAGGGTGTTATCATGTATGTAAAAATAATTATGATAAAACAAAACAGTTTGGAAGCCTTTAGAGTACCTGATTAAATCAAATTTTTTCTAAAATAATTCAAAGTTGTAATATGATTATAGATTTGAACGTAATTAAAAAATATGTATAATAATTGATACAGTCCCTGTGACAGAATTGTAGCTATATTGTCGCAGAACATTACATAGTTCCTGCAAAAGATTCTTTATTGGAGAAGCAAAGAAGTTTAGGTTTTTTTATCTGCAGAATTTTTTAAAATATTTTTTTTTCTACTGAACTTTTTTTCCTCTTTCTGCAGTATTATATTCAAAAAATGCCTTTTTTACATACCGGAGGTGGAAAAAACACTCACTATTTTTTCCTACTTTCTTTTTAGAATAAAAAAATTCCCCAATGATTGGCTTTAGCTAGAATTTCAGATTGATATTATAAAAAGTAATTTCGGTTACAAATGAGTCATAAATTTACTGATTTAATAATAGAAATTTGAAAAAAGTTTTATACTTTTTACTTGAGAAACTATTATTTTGTCTTTTTGCATTTCTAATTGCACGTTATTCTGTTTTTAGGATCCATCCATTTTCACAGTCTTAACCTGCCCATCAACTAGACCGGGTATAGCGATTGCAGATTTTGTAATTTTTCCACCTCGTTGGGGAGTTGCAGAAGGAACATTTAGACCACCTTACTATCATAGTAAATATTTCTTTTTCATGACAATTATATTTCTGCTATTTGAACAAACATGCATTGTCTGTCTAACAAAAGAACTCCACTCGTTATCTCGAGTACTGTTGTTTTTAACAATGGTTTGGAGGTTAAATTATTTCATTTAGGAGTATGGGGTTTACATTTTGAATGCTCATTCAGGTGAATTTAAAAATCTGTTCTCTTGTACCCTTGACTTTTAGACAAGAAAAGTTCAATTGATAGATAAACAATACACAGTTAGTGCATTTTTGTTAATGATGAACTTATGAGCTTTAAATTAGTATTTAGTGATGTTACTGGCTGTTTTCTTCGAATAAAAAATTAACTTTTATTCACCAATGAAAAGTGGTTCTACACTAATGAAGAATAGTTAATAAAACAAGGAGTGAATAATGGCTTGTGTAAATATTGCTCCAATTTCTTCATTGAATTTTCATTTTAATGTGTATGGTAAATTTGGAGGAATTATATTTAGTTTTTCATCTGTGAATAAATCAGAAGTTAAATTTTATTTTTATACTTTTTTAATCTGTAATAAAAAGAACACAAGATATTTATCATCAAGACACCAAATATTATTCTGAAAAGATTTTTTATTTTTGCAAAACTGTTAACAATTCAATTGAGGTTTTGAATTATTTTTATGGATACACACATTTGGTGATCAAATTTTCCTTTTTTTTTTAAAAAAAAAAATTCTGTTTTCCTTGTATTAAGTAAAATTTGTGTAACTTTTTATAATTTTATATAGGGCCATTTTAAAGATAAGTTTCAATTTTTCTTTCCTGAGTGAGTTGAAATAGTGCTAATGCAATAAAACTTCACGAAAAGAATTCTTATTCTAGTTTAAGCCTGCAAATTAGCAAAATTAAAAAAGTATTGCAAGTATATAAAAAGTTAGTATATGTTGAATCTATTTTTCTAGGAAACTGCATGAGTGAATTTATGGGACTAATTTTTGGTGCTTATGAAGCAAAGGTGATACTTTTCTGTTCTCAATTTTTGTGTATGTGTTTATGTTTAGAATACATAAATGTGAAATATATTATTGATGTATTGTTAAAAATTTACAAAGTGAATAAAAGTGAGTTTTTAAAATATGCTAGCGAAAAGATAAATATGCTTTAGTATATGAATACCTTTTTTTCTCGCCTTCTTACTCATAGATCAGGTAGATAAATTCTAATACAAATTTATTTTGTTTACTATTAATAGCTATATAATATTTTGTATATTATTTAAACTAAACATATCATACATGACCACCTGAAAGTTTAATCTCTCTACATGCGTGTACCTAGTGGTAGGAAATTATGCCTGCTTTTCTAGTGGTATTGTGTTATAAGTGGTACACTTATAACACATTAAGGTAACTATCAGGCCTTCTATGAGTAAAGTATAAATGTAGAAATTTTGCTACCACATTAAATACAAAAATAAAATTTACACTATAATACTGAAATTTTTAATGAAATAACAATCAAGGTTAGCTTAATTTGTTTAATTCTGCCTGCAATTCAAAACTTTTATAGTTTGTCTACGGTAAGAACTCCCCCCACCACAAAGTCTGAGGTCTTCTGCTGCTATAGAAACAAGAATAGTGCACTTCTCTTCACTGTAAGGCTTACACAGTAGACCAAAAAAAAAAAAGATTCACTTTCTGAGCCATACCTGCCCTAAGCAATGATCCCACACCTCTACTTGAAATAGTTATACCTCGTTACCATAGTCACCGCAATGGGCTAGAGGGGCTCTTACTTCAGACGAACTATACTCAATTTTTGGGTCTTATATATTTGCTTACAATGATTACATTTAGTGGTAGTATAAATTATTGTAAATTAAATCAAAAATAAATTGCTAAAGTATAAATTTTCTCATTTTATAAATACAAATATCTACCAGAAGTGGGAGTAGTATAATATGAATATAACTGGTCGATCCACTAATCTAAAGTTGGGATTAAATATAATTGAATGTCTGTAAATGTAGACAAGTTAAAAAATATTCTTTTATGGTATTAGGAAACTGGATTTATGCCTGGTGGTGCAACATTACACAATATGATGACTCCTCACGGCCCTGATGCTGAGTGCTTTAATAAAGCTTCCACAGTAAAACTCACTCCAGAGAAAGTTGCAGAAAATACAATGGTATTGTCGCAGTTAAACTCCTTCAGTCTTAATCTGGCATATATTTTTCTTACATTTATTATTTTCATTTTCCTAGGCCATCATGTTCGAAACTTCCCTCAGCCTTAGATTAACCAATTGGGGAGAAAAGAACTGTCAACAATTAGATCCAGAGTACTATAAATGTTGGCAATCTTTAAAAAAGAACTTTGATCCTAATTGGAAAAATAATCTGTAAGTTTATCAATTGTTTTTATTAATTACTGTACTTTTATTTTTTCAAGGAAAGAAATTGATTTGTGTGAAAAATATTCCTTAACTTAGTAGTTGAATTTTATCTATTCTTCATTCGTATGGAAATTTTTTTTAAAATTATGTGTTGATTTTAAAAGTAGGCTATTATTTAATAACTTAAGGAATGTTCAGAAACATTTTACATTAAATTTTAGGATAATTAACCTTGTAGTTTTTAAGTAATGTCACATCAATATTTATGTTAAAAATCAGAATTACTACTATTTTGTTTAAGTACCCCATCCATATCATTTTTGTATTATATACTAGCACAATAAAATTCTACTTACTCTAGAAACTTGGTTGAACCTTTCCACAGTAAAATCTAAAGAGCTCTTGATGTTGTAAAAAAAAAAAAAAAGATACCAAAGATAAGAATTTTAAGTCTTCATAAATATTAATAAATTAATGTAAAAATTTTTTTTTTATTATTAATTAAATCACTCAAAAACATAAAGGAAAGATGAGCAGAGCTTAAAAATAATAGGTATTTAACAATTATGCGTAACTTACTGCATTCATTCTTGAACCTCATGACAAATACACTGCTGGACAACTGTTAAGTGGTTAAAAAATTTAAGCGTGATTGAATGCCAAGTGAAATAAAATAATCCCAGAGTGTTAGGAGATGAAAAAAGATAATTTATTACACTCTGAAATCTAGAAGGTTTGAAATGTGTTCAAGGAACAAAATGGTCATTTTATGCTGAAAACATGAAAATACAAATACTATTTGTAGGCATCCTGGAGTAAAATGTCAATAAGGGTTTGACCACCAAGGAGGGCAATGCAAGGTTGTAGCATGTTTTGTACAACAATATTCAGCAGCTGTTGGAGTAATTTGTCCCATTCCTAGTGAACACGAGGGTGTCCTTGCTTATTGCAAGGGGTTCTCGACCAACAACACTTCTCCCTAAAACATCTCACACATTTTCAATAGGATTCAGGTCTGGAGAATATCCCTGCTTTGTACCTTGACAGCGACTGTTCGATGACATGTTGTCGTTCATAAACACAAATTTATCACTGACAGCACCATAAAACAAACAGACATGAGGCAGCAGAATATCATTACTGTAGAGTTGGCCAGTCTTAGTCCCAGTTGGAAGCACATAGAGTGGTGTACGACCATTACCAGCTCATGCCATGGCAGGTAGGATATTGGCCCCTTTCCCGTATGTTTCAACTATATGCAGTACCAATCTCATGCCAGGTCATTCGGTGTCAACAATCAGGCCAGTCCTTTTTGCTCCAGCTGTGATGGCGAAGACAATATTGCAAATGTGACATCTGGACAATTGTCTGGCTAGTTTTTCAGGAGATTTACTTTCTGATCGGATGAACTTTGGCAGGCGTTGTACGTGGAACTAGACCTCCCCCATGACATCTGCTACACATTCCAATTGTTTGAAATNCATTTAGATGATTTTACGTGTGACCGCATAACTGAAGAAGGCCGAAAAATAACAGAATGTTGCCAAAGAGTTTGACATAAGCCACAGTGTTGGAAATTATTTCAAACAATTGGAATGTGTAGCAGATGTCATGGGGGAGGTCTAGTTCCACGTACAATTGTTTGAAATAATTTCCAACACTGTGGCTTATGTCAAACTCTTTGGCAACATTCTGTTATTTTTCGGCCTTCTTCAGTTATGCGGTCACACGTAAAATCATCTAAATGAAGCCAAGAAGACGTATCAAAAATTGCAAGTTCATTAACTGTTTCTTATTAAACTGATTTTGAACAACAACGCTCAATGCACGTCAAATCATTTATATCTCTTATCAGCATTGTCATGTGACAAACCAGTTCGTCAACCCAAAATTTATATTTACCCGTGTCTCACCTTTAATACTAATTTTCCTACCTTCAATTATCCAGCAGTACATTTCTGCTAACATTCAGGTAGCATTCAGGTAACATTCAAATTTGTTGAGTTTTAGTAAAGAAAAATAATAGTGTTAATATCTAGTTTCGCAGATAGATAAATCATTAGTATAACTATTAAAACATTTGTTGCAATAATCAAATTTCAGTTTAGCAATAAGAGAAATCGTAGCTTGAAATGAATTAAAAATTCTATCTGGCTTAATGTGTCATCATTAAAAAAATCACCTAAGGAGCAAAGTCATATGAAGTGTGCCCAGATATAATTTCTTAGGTTATTGTCTTCAATTTAGAAATATAATATGTTTGTGCATGGATAATAGAAGTCAGTAAAATTGATTTTACTGACAATCACAATGCTAAGTGAATAATTTTGAATAAAGTTCTGAAATAACTAGCAATATTTATAGATCTGATTTCTATTGAAAAAAACTAGTAAATTTTGAATTTAGGTGCTACTTTCAGTAATATTTTGGTATCTGAAAGCAACATTAAATGTATGGTAATAGAACTAAAATAGTTTGCAAATAGGTATTAAAAGGTCCATTATATATTGTGGATAACTTCACATCATTTTTTTTTTCAGATGCCAAAAAGTTTTGCCCCTAAATAACTAATTAAAAATATAGAAAATAATTACTTACGTAGAGTATAAAAAACGTAATGCTTATTTTCTATTATTATTAAATGAATGTTATTTTACTAAAAAATTTTTTTAATTTTTCTAGGTCTGAAATTGTATGACAAAACATATAGGACTGATGTTATTGCAATAACAATATTCAAACTGTTCAAAAATGGTTTTATTCATCTGCCTTTTTGATGAAAAAAATATATTTTATCTTGACCTGTTATGCATTTTGTTATATCATATTTGTATAAATAAATATTCTTATTTTGATATATATTCAGTTTTTTTTTTTTTTTTTTTTTTNTTTTTTTTTTTTTTTTTTTTTTTGTGATTACCCCATATTATAGCACTTCTCTTACTATTCAGCCAAGAAGTTTAAAGGGAAAGATTGCTCTTAGATTAGCTTACAAATTAATCAAAGGTAACAAGTTAGAAATGTGACAGAATACTAAATAAAATTAATATTTCTGAAATTATGTGTTAATTTTGTTTTTAGCTACACGTTCTATATATGCCTCTATAAAACTAAACAATTTAAAATAAATGCCAAAAGATTAATAAGGTGTTTAACGGTCAAGAAAATTTAAATTACCTTTATTCTAAATTTGATGATTTTTGAGTTGACAAATTTTTAGGATATGATTTCTCTAACAAATCTAATATTGGGAAATAAGAATTAGTTTTTTAAAAGGTTTTTGTTTCAAATTCTTGTCTATGATAGAAATTTCAGACTGAATTGCTCGAAAGTTAATAATCATTGTTTGAAAATACTGTATCATACTAAAGGGCTCCAATAGAAATAGCATCCTCATGAAAGAAATACTTTAATTGATCTGTTTTAAAGCGAAATTTACAGATATAAGTTTGATAGCTTTTTTTAATTCAATTTTTCAAAATTAAAAAGATGTGATGGGAAATGATTGCAACAAATTTTGAAAAACAATCTAAAAACTATACATGCAATAAGGCATTGATATTTTGGTAGAGATGCAAAAGGAGGAAATGTTTTACAGGCATGGCCTCTATGATGGAATGCTACATACCATACTCGTTTAACCATATGTTACATAAGCACATTAGAGTAAAGAAAAAAATGACTTACCAAATTTAATATTTTAAATGGCTTCGCTTGCTTAGTGTTATTTTTTTTTCTCAGTACTTAATTAAATAAGCATCCATCATTAGCAAATTTTACTAGTCATTGCTCATTTGTACCAGGCTCATGGAATAGAGGAGTGCCTGCCTTCGAGTGAGGTGAATCAGGTTCAAATCCCATTGGCGACTGGTCGATACGAATTCTGCACCGATCACAGTGCTGATGTAAAAATATCCTCAAATCGGATCATAGGTCTCTTGCGGTAGGAAATCGTAGTTTTCCTCTCCATGAAACACAAGTGTGGGTTAGTTCCATCAAAAAGTCCTCAAAGGCAAATTTCTTCCAATACTTGATCCAGGAATTACCTTGTCTTCTGCATTGGGTTCAAAATTATAAGGCTATGTAGTTGAACATTAGTAGTCGTAAACCCCATAAATATAGTCGGCTGTTCAACGACGGTTATAAAATAAATTAAAAAACACTTGTACCAGACTCAGGAGGTAGAGTGTATGTCTTCGATTGAGATGATGGCTGGTTGATACGAATTCCACACCTGGCTTGCACCGACCACAGTGCTGACATAAAAATATCCTCAGTGGTAGATGGATCATGGGCTAGAGTCCCCTTGCGGTCAAGCTAACCATGAGAGGTTTTCCTCTCCATGTGATGCAAATGCGGGATAGTTCCATCAAAAAGTCCTACACAATGCATATTTCTCCCAGTACTATTCAGGAGTTCCCTTGTCTTCTGGATGGAGTTCAAAATTACAAGGCTACAGAGTTGAACATTAGTAGCCGTAAGCCCAAAATTGGGTTGAATGTTCAACGTTGGTTATAAAACGCTTGTACCGATATGTTAACCAGAAACCTAGGCTGGAGAAGTGACATGTTACATTACCAAATTAAAAGATAGCAGAGTAACTATAAAATGCACACATAGATGCACGCATTTCTGAAGCCTGTGCATCGGCTCAGTTTGAACTTTAAAATACTAGTACATATTGCATTTACTGCAATTCAATACGCAGCAGCATCAACAAAGTGTGACCCAGAACTTAAAAGTTGATCTAGCTTTTCTTTAAACTTAACAAACTCCTACAGTTAGAGTTTATTGTAATTCTAATGATGATCTTCCTGTCAACTTGTGTATAAAATTTATCATTGCTGTAGAGTTTTCACCAATCATTCATTAACTATGATCGAATATAATCTTATTAAATTTGAATTAAGTATAACAACATAATGCAAAGGAAATATTTGTACCAGTAGGAATAGAATATAGTTAAGATATTTAAAAAGTTTCTAATAGAAAATTAATAAAATACCGCTCTTGGATATACAGTACAGAACCCGTTATCCGGAAAACCAAATAACCGGAACGAAATTCAATACATTTTCCCGCCATATTTTTTCAAAAAAATTTTTCCTCATAAGATTTTACTTTCTTTTTTCAAAAATGTTTACCTTACCATTATTTTGGAAATAATCATTAGTGTATTACTTCATCGTTTTTTCTTCTTAAGATTATTTCCAAACATTTTTTTTTTTAGTTGGGTTTAACAATTAAAAAAAACGGCTTTTTGTAGTGATTCAGAAAACCGGAAAAATCAGTTATCCGGAATAGCGATGGTTCCGGATAATCGGTTCCCTACTGTACATGTTTTATACAAGCTTGATAAATTTTATTGAACTAAAAAAAGGTTTAGATTGAAAAAGCAGTTTTATGAATAAAATACTTTAAAATAAAAATAAATAACATTAAATAAGTTACAATGAATTTTATTTTAAAAATATAGTTATATAGAAAAATAACATTTTTTTAAAATTCATGTTTTAATAATTCGTTACTAGTATTCTGAATTTATTTTAACTTATAACAACATATATATAAACACAATCACCGATTGTTTATGTTTCCATGCATCATTATATCTTAAAATCATATAGATTTAACACTTTGGTGGAAATTTACCTATGAAATTTTTTATTCTTTCCTTAACAAGTAGCAATACAAATAAGTGAATGTGATATTAAAAATATTTATATATTGATCACAATACAGTATTTAACAAAAGATGTCCTAAATGTATCAAAATATGATTAATACTAATAAAAACTATTGATACAATTTTTTTATGATATTAAATACAGGGTTGCCACTCAAATCTGGAAAAAATTCAACTCAAATCTGGAAATTTCCCTGTACACAATATATTAAGAGGAAACACACAATCACTGTGCTCTTTTATAGCTAACTAAACTAGTTATAATCAGAGAAAACTTAGAGAAAAAAGAAACAACTGAACATACTTAAAACAAATAATGCTACATTAAATTAACTAGTTTAATATAGCTTAAATATGCCATAGATAGCACTTTGTTTACCATTTTTCAAAAGACGAAAATAAATAAAATTCCCTGTATTTTCCTAATTTCTAAGGAAAAGCTCAAAACTCCCTGCATTTTCCCTGTTATTTTAGGTGACTTTTTAAATTCTCTGTATTTTCCAGGTTTTCCCTATTCTCCCTGTAAAGTGGCAACCCTGTAATAGGCTTACGCTGGTACCATATTTTTCGGCGAGAGCGCAGCGGAGCTATTGAAAAAAAAAAATTTTTCCTACATGTGGTGCTTCCGACGAAATAAATTTTAGTAGCAAAAAAATTTATCAAGGACAATTATTTAAGATGAAATTATTTTCTGAGAGAAAGACTATTAAAATAATTAATAATGAAGTCAACGAAATACGACTTTCACCAGAAAATACGGTAAGCCTATTTTTAGCTGATAGGAAAATATACATAAATTTGGATATATATACTTCGTGAATCAACAGAAAATTTTTCCATAAATAACTAATTATTATGATTATTTTCAAATAAGCATAAGTTAGTAAAGAAAACAAATTAAGGTTTCATAAATATTTTAAGTCTTCATTAAAAATTTTTAAAGCTTTTCAGTGAGTTTTGTTTTAATTTTTAAGTATATTTATATTGAATTTGTATAATGTATTTTTAATTAAGTATATATCCATACACGTATAAAACTAGATTAATATAATGCAATTATTAAGAATAAATTAGTCTAATAAAAAATATTTGAAACAATACCAGTTTCAGTTACAACTTGAAGCAGGGTGTGTAGCCAAATTATTCAACAAAAAATAAGCACCTTTTGAGCACTCAAAAAATATTTTTAAGCACTTTAAAAAATATCATACTTAGGCAGGGCTGGAAAGTGTTAGACAATCGACGGTTTTATCTTGTTTTAACCGTCACGTCAAAAAGAATTTAAAAAAAAAACCTTTTGGCATTGTTTTTGACAATCGTCAAAAATTATGACATTTTTAATCATGTAAAACGAATGGCGTTTTCATACGGTCGTACAGACTATATGCCGAAATAGATTGGGGTTGAATTAATTATGAAAACGTTGAATAGAACAATGTCAACTGTGTCTTTTTTCATTATTTGAAGCTAAAATCAACATAAAGGAAAAATCTAATTTTGAAAAAAGGAAAATTATGCACTTTTTTAAAAACACCCAATGAAAAAAGCACCTTTAAGGGCTTTTAAAAGACGAAAATTGAAAATAAGCACTTTTTAAAAACGCTATGCACCCTGTGAAGTCATATCTGAATACTCTGTGACAAGAAACAATGAATAATAGCAAACATTATAATAAAATAAAAAAAGAATATACATATTTATTCATTAAAATCATCTATACAAATTAAGAACTATTCCAACAGCATCATGTGTTTAACTTTTTCTCTATTTGGTTGATAAGTCTTAAAGAGTAAAAATGTTTATACTCCGGAGGAAGTTTCGATAACGAAACGAGAGCCCTGTCGAGAGATGTAAATGCTTGTTGGGCAGGAAGATGATCTTTATTCCCATAGGGATCTTTCTTATCATAGAGGGCAGGGTCCAACTCTTTCCAGAACACATTAACAGATATACCAAAGTCTAAATATGTCATATTATGAAACCATAATGCTATAAATTGGAAAAGAAAAAAAATGCATACCTATATTTAACAGGTCAACACAACATATTAAAAAAACATATACAGGATATCTGCTACATTTTAGATTTTCAAATCCATGACTAATTCCAAGAATTTTGACTTACCGAAGTTACTATTTTCTCCGACAAAAACACAACAATAAATTTAATAATTCTCCTTTATCTGCTTTAATGATCGGTTAATTTTCAAGAAAACGGTCATAGAAGTGCCATTTTGCCAAATGCACATATTTGATTAGTGCTGACATCTAGTTTAAAATAAACTAACTATCTACAATTACCTTAAAAATATCCTGGTACTACCATCTGGTGTGTAAAATGAGAAATAAAATGTTTTTCAGGCAAAGAAATGAATTAGTTTTATTCTTATTGGCGCATTACTACTGAACACTACAGCCCGGAAATTTCACGCTGGCCACTCTCAAAGCCCAATGGTAAAATTGCGGGCAACATGGCATCACATTGTTGCAGAACGCAATTCAGTTCTTGCAGAAAGGCAAAAGGATTTTTCTTTGAGAGTGTTAAAAGTTTGGGTTTCCTATTCTGTAGAATTTTTCAGGAAGTTTTTTTCTTTCTTTTATACTGCAGAATTAAACTCTAACGATACTTTTCTTGTTCATCAGTAAAGAAAGTAATGCTCCTGATTTTTTCTGTTCCCATTTGAGAATTTTAAAAAAAATTCACCAATTTCTTGGCTTGCTTCAGCTATAATTTTAAGTTCATAAAAAAAAAAAATTTCTGAAATCACTGAAGTTTAAAATATAATTCGCTCTAGAAATGATGTTCTTTTCTTCAGTTTTTGAAAGAACATTTTATATTTTAATATAATGTGACTGTGAGTGGGGATTTTGTTACAAATTGAGATATTCGGAACACTGTGAAATTGGGGAGATAAACTCCATTTTAAAAATGAGATTATTCTGCGACTTAAATCTATGACTTTCAATGATTTTCTTTTTAAAAAAAAAAATAGTGAAAGTCATGAAATTTCATGACAAATTTTGTTCAATACCGAAATCCTGAATTTCCAGGTGCGCGGATACCCTGTATATATGAAAAGTAGAGCATATGGTTTAAAAAAAAAAAGATAATAAGTTATTAAAAGATTATATTGTAATAGAACTTCTTTCCAGTGCAGTAGAAACTCAATTATTCGACACCTGATCACACGACTCTTTGGTTTCCTTCTGACATCCCTTACAAAACGAAGCACACATTTTAATACTCATTTTATCATTATTACCTATCACTGTTGTTAGAAATTAGGCAGCTAGAAAACAACATATAAAAGGAAAACAAAAAGGTGTCAATGTTTTTATAACAATATTGTATTGTTATTTATGTTTAAAAAAACACAGATATATTTTTTAAAATTTATTCTAGCCACTAGAAAAGATACCAAAGTGACAGGAAGATTTGAATTTTTTAGTGTATCCTTAGTCAGGAATGTCTTAAATAATCAAGGGTCTACTGTACTAGTTAGACAATTAGAAATAGTTTTGGCAAAAAAATTTTGTAGTGAACAATAACTAACAAAATAAATAAAGAACAATATTTTAAAAACATAATTTGAGAAGGCATAGTTTTACAGTCAAATCAAGAACAGATATAGTTTTTAATGGCATTATAATAAATAAAAAATAATTTTAAAAAAAGAAACATAAATTTACCTGGAATATATAAAATATCACCAGGACATAAACAACATTCATGCCTGGTTACATTCTCAAACTTGGGAAACTTGTTGAAATCAGGGTTTTCAATATCCATTACTTCAGATTTATCCCCTGAAAAAGACACTTAATTTTAAATTTGAAAATAAAAAAGTCGTATTTCCCTTTTCTATAAGCAATGTTTGTACAATGAATTTCATTACTTTTTTTTTGTTAATTTGATATTTAAAATAAATGTTAAAATAAAATAAATTTGTTAAAAATTAAAAAAGTAAGCAATTTGTTATAGAATATATATACATAAACATATAGACATACATATATATATACATACATAAACATATAGACATATATATATATACATACATAAACATATAGACATACATATATATACATACATTAACATATTATACATATACCTATATATATACATATATGTCATGTAAAATCGTTTGAAAAGTTGATCGTTGAAAAGCAGAGACACATAAAAGAAAAGAAAAACTATCGGAATTCTCTCATAAACTAAGTATGAATTCTGAGTAAATTGCCACAAGAAATAAATGTGATTTAACTCCGATAAATAAGACTAAGAAAAAAAAATTTAAGTATCAAGTACTCAATGTAAAAAAATTATATAGTGTTTAAAACCTATCCCTGAGATGAAATGAAAATAATCACTAAAACTTAAAGGTTAGAAAACGTAAATTTATCTGTAAATGAAAAATCATACGGGTAAAATGAGTCATCAGTTGAAAGATAAATGTGTAATTGTAAATATTTAAAACAGTAATACTATAAATATTTTAGGCTGTACAAATACCATTTAAGTATAAATTCAACGCATCAGTAGGAGGAAACAAAACAGCTTTCTTTTCACCTTTCACTTGAATAAGAGCATTATCCATAACCTTCGAAAAGAAAAAACTAGTTTAAGCTGAAATAGAACTAATAAATGATTATGATCACACATCATATAATAAAAGAGTTTTCATAACTTGTATTGCAACTAAATAAAAAAAATTAAGCAAGTGAATATTAAATATTTGCAATTAATATTTTTTTGAAACAAGATTCGAGCTCGGCTTAATTGCACTTTCAAAACATAAGAAAATAATTTTTATGAAATAAATTAGCAATTTCAAAAGAAATGAATAATTTTGTATATTATAAACTTCATTAATATACATATTTATGTATATGAATTTTTAGATTCCTGAAAAAAAATTATATGATTGACATTATAGTTAACAACAATTTGAATGTAAAAGCTACTTAAATCAATATTTTCTGCAAATGTTTGAAGAAAAAGTCAATGTAATTTAGCAAATTCAAAAAATTTGATTTCAACTTAAGGGAAATATTTTAAATAATAGGAATAATGAACAGATACAGCCTCATGCAAAGACTAGCAAGTGCGACTTAACTTTGCATGTAAATATGGATCATAGAAATTTTTAACAAATAACATTTTTAAAAAAAAAAGCTTGTAGTAATATCAACCAATTAAAAAAATTATAAATGCATAAATTTTTGAAAATTTTGTTCCATCTTTGGAAGCTAAGCACTTGAAAGTAAAATGTTATCAGACTTCGCAGAATAATTTTTCTTTTCGGATAGTCCATAAGAGAAATCAATGCAATGCAGTTTAAATCTTATTCAGCCTATGAATTTTTTTTTTTTTTAAAAAAAGCTAGTGCAAATTTAAATTTTTTTAAAAGAGATATGCCATTTAACAATATTCTTAAGCAGCGTTGGTTGATTTAAATCACGATTTCAATCAGCTTGATTTAAATCACAATTTCAATCAGCTTGATTTAAATCACGATTTAGATTAACTGATTTTCTTTTATATATATATTGATTTAAAAAGTTAAAAAACAGTGTTTTAAATTATTGATACTTTTATTATTTTTTTTCTTAGTTTTAAAATTTATTTTAAATAAATTGCTGCATTAATTTTAAAATTTATTATTGCTGCATTAATTAATTTTAGCTAACAAAATTACTTTCTTTTTTGGTATGTGTTAAATTCCAACACATTTGAAATTACATTTTTAAAAATCTTCTGATTCTTGAGATTGAAAGTACAGATTAAAGTAAACATTTAAGTATTTTTTTTCTCATAACATGTTTACAGTATTTTTGACATTATCAGATTTTCTATAAAGAAATTTTGTGAAAAATATTTCAATGAGTACATAGATTTGAAAAAAAAATTTTTTTAGCTTATCTATTTTGATATAGGATTAAAAAATGAATATTTTAATAAAAAAATATATAGATTAAATATTGATTTATTTTTTGATGAATTACTACATTTATAAACACAATCTGTTACATTTACTCTGTCATTTTAAAAATAGAGAGAAAAAAAAAAAGAAACCACGATTTTAAATTAAAATTATGGTTTGGTAATTCAAACTTAGTTTTAATAGTTTAAGTATTCTTTAAATTCTCTATTTCATCTAGTCTTTAAATTTCAATCATGCATTTGTTTCAAAATGGTTGCTATGCATTCAAAAGCTATGTATTATAATGAAAAATTGCTTTAGGTAGTTAGAGGTTCTGAAATATTCTTATAATATAGTTTTAATATTAATTTAATTTTGATTAAACATTAATAAAGTTTTTTTAGTCATAAATCGAAGTTCTTACAGTGTATTTGAATAAAAATCAAAAACTCTGATTTAAATCAAAAAATCCGATTTTATTTATTTTTTTTTTAAAGTCACGAACCATGTTCTTAAGTCTACTACGATAATTTTTCCACATTTTTTTTTACAAATACTGTAACAGTTTATTGTAATATTTTTTTTTTAAAAAGAAAAAAAAAACTGTCTAGTTGAGCCCAATATTAACATAAAATTGTGATCATGAAAATGCAAGGATTATTAAACTTCTCTTTGAAATTAATATAAATGTCTTCAAAATAATAAAGTGATTTTTATGAGGACATGCTGCAACAAATAGTACAATAACGGATGAAAGAAGGAAGCCTTTCAATAACCATTTGAGAATTGTATTTGACCCCTGGAGATAGGATGTAACGACATAATTTATAAATTTTATAAAGAATTCATACTTTCCTCAATATTTTTAAACGATTTTGATTACGTTCAGAAGGGAAAATGTCCTTGACGTTAATAAAACTTGTATTACTATGTTTCTATTATATTACAATTCATAAATGCAAACACAGACGAACTAAAAAGTTAGAAACAAGTTCTTACATCATAATGCGTCCAAACAGACAATCCCTCAGAGGCTATTCGAAAAACACTAGAAAAAATTTTACTTTCTGGAACAAAGAATGGAAAAACTAGGTCATCAGCTACAGATGGAAATTGTGATTTAATATCAGCAACATCTTTCCTTGCATCCTTTCCAACTGATCTCAAATAGTAATATTCCCACTGTAAATTTTTAAATTCATATTAATAAAGCAAGTGAATAATATAAAAAGTGAAAACAGCTCATTTTGAATTGAAATTGATAAAAGATTTTGCAAGATAATTAAGAATTTAATGATAAAACAATTCTTTTTCATAAATTTCTCATTTGATTCAAGTGCAAGACAAACATACAAATTCGCCCGCCATAAATTTTTAAGAATCATATTAATACAGTAAGGAAATAATAAAGTGTAAAAATAGTTTACTTATATGAAAAAAATATTGAATTGAAATTGATAAATGAATTTAAAAAGCTGTCATCAGAAATTTAAAATTTAATATTGAAATAAAATATTTTTTGTCATAAACGTAAAACTTCTCATTTTATTCAATCATTAATTTTTCCAAATTAATTTCTATGAATGAAAGTTTTGCATTCAATTCAAGTGCAAGACAAAATAATACAAATTTATCTATTATGAAGACTATGATTAAGAAGTCAAACATTTTTACAGACTTTAACACAAGATTCACAAAAAAAATTTTTGCATTCCTTTAAATTTTACAAATTATTTTTCATTTTTGACAGACAGAAAATTAGACTAAATTTAAAGCACACAACTTTAAAAGCTATATGACAAAGATTATTTCTAACCATTACTCTATACCCTTAAAGAGACTTGAAAGATTATAAATCATTAGTGTTTACCAATTTTTTTTAAGATTATATTAAATTTTAACAAAAAAAATTATTCTCTACCTTAAGAAACATTTTCCCATGATCAAAAAGACAGATTTATAATAGTATAAGTAATAAAATTTTTCTCAAATAGACAAAGTTTTCGAATCAGATTAGTATTTTTATTTATTTATTTATTTTAACTATAAATAAATAAAATGAATATATATATTTTTGAATGACAAATCAATTAAATTTCATAATTTTTATGTAGACATAAAAAAAAATTATTAATAAAATTTTTCTATTAAAAAAGTTAAGTTAACATTCATTTAAAATAAACACTAAATAGCCATGATATTTAACTCCATTTAATAATTAAGCATCACACATAAATATTCGACAAAAGCTCGAGAAAGAAGAAAGCAAAAAAACAACAAAAAAACTTGCATTATACTACATTTCAGTGAATTTATATTTAGCTATTTACCATACCAATAATTTTACCAAATAGTTTCATATTTTTTGCATCATGAATGGTAATTATTTTGTTTCTAATTACAACCTAGTTACTTTCTGCAAAAATTTTTTTTATTTTATCTCACTAATTAAATATTAAATCAAAGAAATAATAAGTGAAATTGAATAATTAAAAGAGCCAAAATATTAATTAACTTAGGAAAATGTTGAAATGAAGCAAAGGGTAAATTTCTATTAAAAAAATTATTAAATGGAGTGAAATACTTTTTTACAACCAGAATAACAAAATTTTTAGATGCAAAAAACTTGCTTTAGAAGTGAAATAATGACCTTCCTCCTGTTCTTTACGAGAAGCTCTTCGAAGAAGCTCTCTGAATGGTAATGTTCTAAACACAAAATAAATAAATCATTAAATATACTTTGATTTTTAAGAAAATGATTCAAAATGGCTTCAATTAAATATAAAATGAAAGATTGAAAGATAAGATACTTTAACCCCTTAACGCACAGATTTTTTGAAAAAAACCGGTCAAAGAAATCAATTTCTTTTTTTTTAATGTAAAAAAACACACTTTAAAACATTGTCTTGGCAAAAAAAATAAAATAAAAATACAAAATTAATCAAAATATTTATTTTAATTTAAGGCTATATTTTATTCTTGAATAAATAAGTGTTATAGCTTACAATCCTATGTAAATGATAAATATCAATAAAACGATTTTTTTCTTTGCTTTCACATTGTTATTTTCAATTCTCCATTATATTCAAGTGTGAAAAATTATAGAAGCATAAAATACAATGCTGCTTGAATTATCTCGAGTGTGCATAGTTTGGCCTGTTTAGCGCGCTCGATTTAACTCGAGTGCACAAGTTATGGGGTTAAAATTTTTTTTATTAGAATAGAACGAACAGTATTGAATTATTATTTAAAAATTAAGAAAAATAAATTTAAAAATAACTACTTATGCCACAGCTAACATAGAAATTGTCATAGTTAAAATTCTGAATAGGAAAACTAATATTTAAAATAACAACACAATTAAAAATAAAAAGAAATTTAAAGTTATCCAGTTTACCAGTTTCAGTAATTAAAAACACAGATTACAAGCAGTAAGCCACTATACACAAATAAAATGCATCTGACATGAATGTTTTTATTCATTTATTGTTTTTTGAAGTTAAAGATAATTTATAAACATTGTATTAAAATACAATACCAACGTTGAGATTCAAAAAAAAGTGGACATTAACTCTTTACAGTAAAATAATGAGTAAAGCTTATCATTGGTTTATCATACCATAGAATATAGTGGCAAGCTATATATAAATAAAAAAATTCCCTGTGTTTTCCCTGTACATATAATACACAATATATTGAGAAGAAACACAATTACAGCGCTCTTATGTAAGTTATATTGGACTAACTATACTAGTTATAATTGCTGGAAAAACTTAAGAGAAAACAGCTGAACATACTTAAATAATTCTCTATTAAATGAAATAATTTAGTACAGTTGGAATATCATCCTTAAATATCCCATAGATTACGCATTGAATGGTCACCATTTTTTAACAGGTGAAAACACGAAACAAAATCCCCTGTATTTTCACAGGTTTTAAGCTAAAATCAAAATTCCCTGCATTTTTCCTACTATTTTTGGTGGTTTTAAAATTCTCAGTATTTTCCAGGCTTTCCCTATACAGTGACAATCCTGTAAATTTTGTTTAAAATTTAAAGCAGTACTTTAATCTAACACAGTGCTTCCCAAAGTGTGATATGCGTACCCCCAACGGTACGAGAACAGCTTATGATAAATATCTTGCAAGAAACGGAAATATCAAAAACTTTCATTTAAAAACAAAGTTAGCCATGAAAATGTATGATTACGTATTTTTCTATTGGCTACTTTTTTCTGAGTTAACAGTTAATAATTAGTGGTGTCAACAGCCAGTTGTGATTTTTAACTTTTGTGCAATGTTTTTCTAGTAAAAAATACATTCATTTTTTTATTAGTGGCACACAGCGTTACGAAAAATTTAGAAAGGGTACACAAAAGTCATAAGTTTGGGAAACACTGATCTAACAGATTTGAATCCAGTAACTTATTTTAAATTTTATGAATTTTTCATTATTAAATTGTAAATTTGATTCCATAAGTTAATGTAAACAATCTTCTTATCGCATGCCCTATAAAAAAATTATCCTGTTGCTTGGTACTAAAAACAAGTTGAAAAAGCATTATTAAAACTTTCTTTTTTTCTTTTAACATTATTATTACAATTGTTTTTATTTTTAAAAATTAAAAAAGCCAAAATAAAACTTATGAGTTGAGGGTAATAGGTGAGTCAATAGTTGAATACAAAATTTTAAAAAGAAATATATTTGGTTATTAAAATTATACAAATTTGAAAATAAACTAAAAATAGCTGTAAAACATACTTGTATACAAAGTTCTTTTTTAAAAAGTCTAATCTCTGGAATTCAGATACATGAATTTTAACTTCTTCATTTCCTAAATGCTCCGTAAGATAATCTATGGTCCATTTTTGTGCGCTAAGTCCAATATCAGCTCCTCGATAGACAAAAGGTACATGCTACAAAAAATATTTATGATTAGTAAATACCAAAGTATTTTGAATATTGAAAACTTAAACTAATACATAGAAAATATAAAAATATTGTGTTATAGCAAGATGTAAATAAGAAAACAGCCCTTAAATTATTTTTTTAATATTTATGAAACAATAAACTAAGAACAGTAATTATATCAAATTATATTTTTACAGAACTTTATTACATGCGAAATATTAGCTATCTATATCCAAAAAATAAAAATAAAACAAAGTTGCTCTTATACGTATGAAAACAGTATTCTCAAGTAAAACACTTACATAAGTATTTGTTAAAACACTACATACGTGAACATAATTTATTGAAGGTTAAAAATACAAATGTCACGAAACAAAGAGCAAAAATTTCAACCATGATAAATTTTACGGTATGCTTATACATGTGGGTATCGAAGAAACATTATTCAATAATGGTAATTAAATAGTTTTAAAGTCAAGAGTCGCCGCAGCTGGCGGCCGCAATAGTCCAGACTTTTGATGTTATCTGAAAATCCATGGACACGAAAACAACGACAAATAGTTTTATATAATGAAAATTAGAAAAACATTGATAAAAATTTTTTTGATTATTAAGATTTTTTATTTAAAAGTTTCAGACATTTGCTAAATTCAAGTTGTCAAATATAAAGTAGTGTATAATTAGTATTTAAGCCAAATATAAAGCAGGTTTCAAAAAAAGTAAATAAATCAAATCAAAAAATCAGTTGCAGATTACTAACTTTTATGGAACACAGAGATTATTACCTTATTTAACCCTTACAATGTCTAAACACATAAAACTGTGTAATAAAAGATTTCTATACAAAATTGTCCAGAAACATAACTCTCAGTCAATTAATTCTTATAACTTATAAAGGACAGAGATAGCCTGGTTAGTAGGGCACTGGGCTCATGTCCAAGAGGTTGTGGATTCGATCCCCGACGGTCGAAGACTTCTCGTGTAGTAAATGTGACTGAAGCACGTTAAGTCCTCCATGTTCCCATAACAAATCATGCCTCTGTGGGTACTGATTCAGAAGTTTCCTTGTCTTCTGGATTGGTTCAAAATTTCAAGGCTGCATAGTTGAACATTGGTAGTCGTGAATCCAAAATTAGGTCGGCTGTTCAATGGCGGTTGTAAAATAAAAAGATAAGTAACTTAGATACATCTCACATTAACTATAAATATATCACTGCCTTTCTCTAGAAATTAAGTAAGCTATTTTTGATGTCACTATCACCTTAATAATTTAAATTATAATGTTGTTGAGAGTATAGAAAAGTACGTATACAAATATTGAACAGTTTGATAAAATATTTTGGATAAAATACAAACATACTTGCGAAATTAAATCAAAGGCTTGGTTCTGCTCGAAAATCAAAGGAATTTCTTTAGACCTACAGTTATACATACTAAGTATAAAGGAGAACTTAAATTTTTAAGTTTTTAAAATTGATACAACAGAAAATATCAGAGATTATTAAAACTTCATTTATAAAACTATCTGAAATATATGCCTGTGTTAATAAGTACGGTTTTGACTTTCTGTTTCTGCCCCTTCAAAAAACTACCATTTTTTACTCTTGTTTCAATATTCACACCGCTTCGGTGAGCTTCGAAATGCGCCTTAAGAAAATCCACATAGCACAAAGGCGAGTTTACAAAATGGAGAAAGCTCAAAATGCACTTTTACGAAATGGGCACAGCTTAAAATGCGTGTTTACGAGAATGGTTGTCATTGATGTTGTTGTAATTGTAGTTCATTTACGTCGCACTAGAGCTGCACAATGGGCTATTGGTGATGGTCTGGGAAGCACCCTTGAGGATGATCCGAAGACATGTCATCACAATTTTGATCCAATTGATTTTGATGTCATCACAATTTTGAATCAGAGTGGATGGCACCCCTGCTTTGATAGTTCGTGAGCGCGTAGTCGATCACTTTACGGTAGAATAGTTTAACGAGGACCGATACCTCGCACCCTCAGTCCCTACCCATGATGATCGAAGTGGTCACCCACCCGCACACTGACCGCTGCCAGTCATGCTTAACTTCGGTGATCTGCTGGGAACCGTGTCTTAACGATCAGTTCACTGAGCTGTCAACGATTAGCCCGACGAACTGCTCACGAAGTCGAGCACTTTACGGTAGAACTGTTTAACGAGGACCGATACCACGCATGCTCGGTCCTTACGCAACCTGCTTAAAGTAGTCGCCAGACCGCTTACTGACCACAGTTAGTCATGCTCGACTTTGTTGCTTTACTGGGAGCCGTGTCCTTACTGCGGGACACATTTGGAATGAAATATATATGTCTGTGATAACTTATCTCTTGACCCAATTATCAATCAAATTATGCTGTTGTTGTTGCTAATTCCCATCTGGTCTGACGGGGTCAGACCAGATCAATAAATCCGTTAACATTAAGAAAATCCGAAACCAGAATGGGAGAGGAATGAATGTCGCTCCAGTCCAGCCCTAAACAGTTCAAGATGTGCTCAGGAGATGCCTGGCTTTGTTGGCATTTAGGGCAAAGAGGAAAGATCATTTGATTAGTAGAAAATGTGAGGCTTTTCAGGTGTCCACTGGCCAGTCGAGATAAGCAAGTGTTGGTTTGCCTGTCACCAGGAAGAGATAGAGAGAGTCCTGGTCATCAAATTATTCTTTGCCAGTATTGTAATTTGTGCAGTAATACTTCAGTTAATTTTTTAAGAAATTTTCCGGCTTTACTCGCTTCTTTTTCTACTTACCAATAATTTTTCTTTGCCTCAAAATACATATTTCTCTCGAAAACAATTATTATTCGATATATTTTATAGTGCGGCTTTGAAGAGAGCTCCTCCAGATTAAAAGTCTAGGGCTGTCTGCTGCTATGGTAACAAGCGTGAGCACATTTCTAATGGGGGTGAAATGGAGGAAGGAAGGTGTCCATTTGTTTACTCACGACGATCTATGCCAAGATTAAGACAAAACTATTGTAAATTGAATCGAAACTCACATATAAATCAATTCGATACATTATAGTTTACATATAATAGATGAGCAACCTATCTTAGGAGTAAATTTGAGACAGTAATGCTCACCTTCGTATTCTAGACATTTTAAACGAAATTCGAAATACAATAAATTTGCGAAGCAAGTTTTAAGATAAATTCGTTTTGGTGAAGGGTTTTTATTTATTTATTATTTAAAAATCAATGTATTACACAAAATGATAAAAAAAAAACCTCCCAGCATAAACTATCCGGGCAGACAGAATTATTCCATCCATTAGAATAACTGCAGACTTCTATTTTAATGCTAATAAATACAAATAAGTATACTGTATACAAATATTAGATATTTCTACAAATAGTCGAGTAAATAGGACAGCCAACTTTCAGTGCTTTTTTGGGAGAATTAATTTTAGTGGTACCTATATTTATGCTTCAATGCATGGTTCTTTACTTTGTAAGTTTGATTTAAAGATATTTTCCACACCTTTACATATAAATAATTCCAAAGTTCCTATCAAATGCCACTCTATTCTAGCTCTCTTGTTCCATTTCATTCTTACAAATGCCTCGCCAGTCTTGACAGATATAACGCAAACTCAGCTTAACAAATTATTAGTCTGCCAGACTGAAATGCTAAGAAACATAGCAAACACCAGATGGTTCGAAAGAAACGACAGCGTACACCTCAAAATAGATGCAATAGACAAACATATAGCGAAATTAAATATCAAATTCTGTAAAAAAGCCATCTCTTGCTCTAGCAGCAAATTTCAATGAAATATTCCTGTATGAAAATTTAACTGAAGGCAAGAGACTAGTAGCAGGATACTACTGCGTCATATTCCAGACATTAATAGCATATACATAACCTCATTTTCATCATACCAACTTAACTAAAGTTATACCTCATATTTTTATATTATGGTTTTATTTGCATATAACTACACAGTCAGAACTCAATGATCCACATGAATACTTCATTTGCATTTCACCATCTCATCGATAAGCACCACAAAGTTAAAGTTAAAGATCTACGGGCAAATTAAAGATTAATGGAAAAAGGGCCGCAAGCGGCCTCAGGTGCCTACATATTTAATACAATTCAGTCCACTAGCTCCTTCGCTATCTTATCATCTTTGCCGTCGTTGAACATCGGATCAAATTTTTTGGGTTTACGACTGCTAATGTTCATGTCTGTAACCTTGTAATTTTGAACCCAATCCTGAGGACAAAGGAACTCCTGGATTTAGTATAGGGAGTAGTTTGCCTCCGTGGAGAACTTTTTGATGGCACTAACCCGCATTTGCGAGACCATTAGAGGAAGACCATCAGAATCTCTCATGGTTAACTTGACGGCATGGGGACTCTAACCCATGAACCGTCTACCACTGAGGATATTTTACGTCAGCACTGTGGTTGGTGCAAGCCGGATGCGTTCGTATCGACCAGCCATCGCTGAGATTCGAACCCGGCTTACCTTATTTGAAGGTGAACGTTCTATCCCCTGAGTCATCGCTGCTCTTAATATGCTTATAATAATTATAGCTTAAATTATTTACGTAAGCTTCTTACCCTTCTCAATTATTCAATTTCGATGAAAGGGCAGATAGCCCTGTGGCGTAACTACCACTACGATTATTAAGTAACTACCACTAGTATATGAAACATATTAACTTGTCTAATCACGGTGAGGTACCCTTTGATAGTTGAAGGTTGACATTGGTGACCAGCGAACGTAATATGAACACGCCTACTTCGATTCATGGTACACAGTGAATAGCTGACTTTCTATTTGGGGCTGCGTGATCGTCCTCCTCGCGCTGTTACTTTTCAGTCTCATTTACATACAGCGGGACCATGCACACACTCGACTGCTAATAGAAACTCAGGAGTGACCACACACACAATTGTGAACTTAATACAACTCTCACGAAAAACGCTCAAAACTCAGTGAAAATACAGCTCTCACCACAGATGCTCAAAATCCGGTGAACTTAATACAGCTCTCCCGGTCTTTCGCAAATACGGCAACTAGTGATATCCGTTAATCGAATTCTATCCCTGATATAATTTTCGTGGGGGAGTATTGTAGCGTAACTACCACTACGATTAATAAGCATCAGTTCACTAATATATAATACATGCTAATTCATAACAATCTTGAGGAACCTATAGATAAAGGTTGGTATTGTCTTTTACTACTCTGCACACTCTATGTTTAAATTCATTCTAGCCCTCTCGTGGTCAGGCTTTAAAATGTTTGCAAAATTGTAGTACGTTCACCAGGAGTCGGTACTTGGCTCTACCTTCTCTGAAGAAGTGTTCAATTCGGCGCGGGAGTAAGAGGAGAAAAGTCTCCGCGCTTGAAATTGAGACAACCCTTAATGGGCGCCAAACGCAAACAGTTACTTCTTTTTCAGTCACTTACTTCGCTTTATCATCTGCTATTATAACATTCGTTACTTTAGCTAATTGAATAGTAATTGCAGCAAAATATCTCGAAAAGGGTAAACTATTCACTCAAAAGTGAGAAATGTCAAATTTATGAAATATTTAATGTTAAAAAAATGCGCATTAAGATTGAGAAATAAATATTTTTGTGATACGATCGCCAAATAGCAATCTTGTTCAGGATTGTTCACATTCTTCTCCCAAAATAGCGAAAATATTACCCCCCCCCATACCACGTGATGAAGGCGGAGTCAAGTGCCAACTCCTGGTGAACGAACTATAAAGATCTTTATTTTTTAAATATCTATCATTCTATAAAATAATTTGCATAAAAGCGTAGCAGTTGTCAGCCCCTGAATAGTTTTTTTCTTCTTTTTTATTTAACTTCTTTCCATCATTTCAGAACAATGAGAAATCCTGCTTTTGTTTCGCAATCTTTTTCTTTTGTCACACTCTCAACACATTGAAGACAGCTGACATATATGACAGAAATTGATTATATAATTTCATGTCTTTTTCGCAGGTGAAATATCATCGGCTGAATTCGATATCGCAAGAATTTTCTCAAAAGTGTCAGAATATTCATTAATTAATATGTAAAAGCATTAATTAAGAAAAATATTCATTCTTTCTATCTTAATGTGCAGTTTTTACAACTTTCTTTTTCAAATTTTTTTTTTTAATATTTCTTGACCTTTTTATCCAGGAAACTACTGCTTACGAACGAACTCCTCCAGTGTTTGTTTGTGTTAATTAATGTAATTTGAATTTGTATAGTAATACCTATTTTAATAAATTTTTGTAATACATTTGGCTAAATGAGTACAGAATTTTTAAAAAGCCAGACGATATTTTCGCAATGCATTCTTTATTGGTTATTTGTTTATTTATTTTTAAACTTTAAGGAAGAACTAGCTCATAAAAAATAACGAACTAAAAAATCACGATAGACAAAAAAGTTTAGGTCAAAAGCTGTGAGCACTAATTTTGGTTAAGGTCCCAGATTACTATTTTAATATCAATTTTTGAGCAAATAATCAAATTTCAGAATCTATATAAATAAAGCAGAATGTTTGTAGGCATGTGCGTATACCTTATCCAATTCTTAACTGTGCCGCACCAAATGCGGGGTACAATCAGCAAAAAAAAAAAAAAAAATAAAAATAAAAACATCAGTCTTATATACATATCAACTAAAGCATTTGGGTTTGGGGGACCGCCAATAAATTTCGAAAACGAGAAAGAATGTTTTTGAACATCGTATTGCAAAAAATAAGACGATAAACTTGAAACTACGTTGATCATCGTACGAAATAACAGCACTAGATTTCGTAAACTTAGCTTAAACATTCATAGAGATATAAACATTTAAAAAAAGAAAACACTTTTTTAGTACTTCCGTTGCTTTTTTGCTATTACTGCAGAAATGTTTAATGAAATTAAATAAAATTTTTAGAGTTTATGTTTTACTTCACATATTCTATTTCTTAATACCATCTCATTTTGTTGTCCAGACCATCATTTTAAGGTATTATCATTTATTATGAAATTTTGTTTTATGATACAAATGAAATTTGTGGAAAACCCCTTATCAATTAGAGCTTTCAATAAAAAAGTACAAAAACTTCTTAGAAATTTTCTAGAAACGCTTTACATTTTCAAGATTCTAAACAAAATTATAAATTCCGCGCGTGCGCAGTTGGAAAGGATTACTTTAAATATTCATATCGTGTACAATTTTTGCGAATTGTTTTTAAATTATAAAATAATATTTTTGTTATTAATTACAAATTATTCTAAAAAAGTTCTTTATTTTTATTGAATATTTCTGCAGTTATAGTATAAAAAAAGTAAGCAAAAAATTAGTTTTTTATAAAAATGTTAATATCCCCATGAATATTAAAGCTAGGTTTACGAAATTTTGTGCAATTATATCATAAGATAATCAACGTAATTGAAATGAGTTACAAGCCTATCGTATATATATATATATAGTAAGTGAATACTATGAGTTATTTAACATGTTTGAAAAAATAAACTTAGAATAGTTTAAAAACGCAATCTAGAATGATTGCATTTAATAATACAAGAATTCATATGTTATTATTGCGTCACCAAAAGTAATTAAACAAAGCTTTCATCCTCATGAATGGAGATTAATAATATTAAAAACATAATAGTTAAGGAGTAATCAATCATTAAACATTTTTTTTCTTTCGAAAAATGCCAACCACCAAAAGCCTTTATTGTTGCCCGCATATAAAGAAGTGTTTTAAGAAAGATGTAACCACAGAGAATAAAAATTTCAAGCATACTGGCTTATTTCCGTTAAATAGAATAAAATGACTCCTTTATTACATGTAATTATCTTATTCTTAGTTGGATACTTTGTCACAGGTATGTAAATTTCCATTTTTTCTTCTTGATTCGATTAAAAAACGGCGATAAAAAATACATTAAATAAAAAGTCATCAATAACCGCAGACGAACAATAATATTTTCGCTATAAATTCGTTAATAATGCTATTCCATTTTAAAAAATAATTGAATTGATTTGCTATTAGTATTTTAAAACAATAAGCTTATGGAAGTAATCATAATAATGTATTAATTTTCAATTCATTGAAAAAAATATTAATAAAATAGAATTTTTAAGAAATTGAACCAAATACATGCTGCCAACTTAAAGAATCGTTGAAAAAAATGTTCTCAGAGATTGTAACATTTATGTTTCGATATAAATATTTTGATTTTTAAAGTTTAAAAAAAAACTTGCTTTATTCCACTTGCTTTATTTATTCCCAAGGATAAATCAATAGTTTTCTTATAAAGATGAATGGGCTTAATAATTAAATTTTTTAATTTTGGCAACAAAGCTTTAATTTTATGAAAATTCCTCCTACTATAATTAATATTTTAATACAACTTTACAAAATCTTTCTCAAGAGTCTTACAAGTTAGCTAACATAGATGATCATAGACTAAATATTCAGGATTTAGCTCAGTAATTTTCCTAGTTATAGTCAGAGCTGGAAGTAAGATAAAGAAAGATGAAACCCTGATACTAAAACCATTTCATTTAAAACTGGTTTTCATAAGAAAAGAAAAAGCTATTAATTTTCTTAATAATAAACTGCTTATCGGTATTAATTTTTTTTTTCTCGGATAAAAAAAAACAGTTCTTTACAAGTTTTTTAACTGTTTGAAAAATGTCTTAATAGCTATGAATATTCTAATAATACCGAGAATAAGCTATGATGAAATGACTTTTTACCAGTTTTTTTTCTTCTGTTTTCCGTTAGGTATATTTTACCTTTCAGCACTGGTTGTTAAAGAGACTCAATCAGAAATTTAAAAATAACTGGATCTTTTAAGGAATTTTTATGAAAACATGCGAAAATCTTTTCAAACAGTTGACTTTTTTTATAAATATTTGAAGTTGTGGTGGACAATTTTTTTTCTTCTCAATCTTAATTTATTTCTTATCTTAATTTATTCCTTATCTTAATTTTTTTAAATACTAACAATTTGTACTCCAAGTACTTTTGAAATGCTGTTTGAAAAAATGTGTTAGCACTGAAACATTTAAAATACATACAGTATTTTTGCATAATTTTTAAAATTCTTGAAATATTGTGGTTACCAATTAATAATAATTAAGGTTATTACTAATTAAAGTATACAAACTTTTAATTTTAGAGTAGTGACTGCTAACGTCACCCCAGGGGCGACATAATAGTTAGCACATTTCTTTTGCAACAAATAAGAAAAATATTTCCTGAAAACCTGAAACTGCGTAAATTTTATAGTAGTAGGCGGACATCGCAGTCATACACACGAAAAACACATGAAAACTTTTTATTTATTTTATGAACCATACAATGGGATACCTGCAAGTGACGTAGGGTGGATATCTGGATCCTGATTGGCTGTCGAAACGTGGCATTTGTTTACGTTAGCAACTGTTTTTTCCGTTATATTTCGAGTAAGCCAAGCTATATCAATTCTCTTAAGTGACACATTCTAAATTCTTTCACCGAGATTCTTTCTCACTTAACACGTAAACAAGCACGAGGCCATGTGGAACATAAACAAACTAATCATGCATCGAAGTTGCCAGGTACACAAAACAAAAATATATCACAGTTACAATAAAATACATAAACAAATAATAAATCCAAGTTAAATAAAAGAAGTACAAGAGAAAGAATCATATTTCAATTAATTCGATGTGTGATGCGGCTCTGTATTTGATCAAATTATTGTTAATGAACATTCTAACTTACGTACAGAAACTTGCGCTAAGCTTTATTAGGCTATTTTGCTGATAAAGATTAGCTGGCGATTACGTCATAGGTCACATGTGTGGGTATGGGAGGTCTTCTTCTTCTTGAAGTGCAAGTACCTAATTAAAACAATATATCTCCGATCAGCTTTTTTTTCCCTAGAGATAGCTTAGAGATAGCTTGCGCGCTTAAAAATAAACGATATAGCTCAAAAAGTTTCTAACTATAAATAAAAATCTAATGATGACGTCGCATTTTAACATTGTTGTCGGTACATTTTAACATGGTAAGATCCGTTTCATTCAGGCTGTCATCAGCATAAAATTAATAAAAGTCATCAAGTTGGGGTCAGTAAACGGGGGGGGGGGCTTTACTTCCCTCGTGTTTAAGAAAATAAGTACAACTCAGAATATGCTTGGAAGAAAAGGGACATAGATTTTGATCATTTCCCTTAAGAGAATTGCTTCTCATTCCCGTATGAAAATTGTTCTTTTTTTTTTTGGAATAATTGATGAATTGAAAAGTTGCAAAAGCGTCATGTCATACATTTTTCATTTTGTAAAGAACTATGGCAATACCTCAAAAATATCTCTCAAATTATGTATAACAGTTAACTGTCAACAGCAACTGTGGTGGAATATGCTTATTTCGACGCTTTTTTCCTCAGAAACAACATACCTTTTTTTCATCAAATTCGGAATTATATATCTAAGAATTTAGATAATACTTAAAAAAAAGAAAGAAAAAGTTAACTAGCTTGCAATATGTCAATTTCTATTTTAAAAATTCGTATAAGAAATTTATTTTAGTTTATTTTTATCTATTCGATGTTATTAATATCTTATAATTAACAAGGAAGTAAAGAAAATAAATTTTATTTTTTAACTAAGTAATAATTTCTAAGAAATTTTTTTTCTCATCAAATTTGAAATAATATATCTAGGAATTTAGATAAAATAGATACTTTAAAAAAAAGAAAGAAAAAGTTAACTAGCTTGCAATATGCCAATTTCTATTTTAGAAATTCATGTAAGAAATTTATTTTAGTTTATTTTCATTTATTCGATATTATTATTTTTATATTATATATATTTTATTTTTATATTTAGATATTATTATTGATATCTTATAATTAACAAGGAAGTAAAGAAAATCAATTTTACTATACATTTATTGCGGCCGCTTTCTTATTTTTTCTGTTTTTTTTCTTCTATATAATGGCTAACACGCAAACCAGCATACTTTTTCTAATGATTAAATCCAACTACATTTAGTAAATCGTGACGTGGCCTTCAGTTATTGAATGACGTAACAATAACTTCGCTTTTTAAGTGCTTTTTATAAGTACCGATTGACTCTTTTTCTTCTATTTCTAAGAAATTTATTCGATGTAATTAATATCTTATAATTAACCAGGAAGTAAGGAAAATCAATGTTATTCTTTAACTAAGTAGGTTTTGTTGTAAGCTGTACCGATTGACTCTTTTTTTTCTATTTTTAAGCAATACTACAATTGATTTTCAAGAAATTTAGAATTGGTTGTAGTGTGTGTTGGAAAAGCTCAATTTTTATTTACGAATATATTTCATATTTTACTTTCAGCAGCGGAAAACGAGGATGAATTAAATGAAGTAAAACCTCCTAATAAGTACAGGTTCATGGTAAGCGCCTATATTCATTTTAAATATTAAAAAGAAAATAATTTTGAGATTAACCCTTTAACTTTTTTCCTATATTCAAACAATAATAATGTTGATTATTATGAATCGATTTTATGAATCATACATGTTCAAAATGTATGGAAATATTCAAATATCACCAGAAATACATACGTCAAACATCTAAAAATTCCGAAGAGAAATATTTTCAATGGATGCATTTAATACTATCGAATTCGAATCCATAATCTATACCCCTAGCGGTGAGACCGGGCAACTTCAAAATCTTAAATAAGTATCCCTACAGAACTGCTTAAACTGACGTCACTTCTCTTACCTGCCAATCGAAAATTAATCAGCGATTAATAATTTACTAGTAGCAACCAATAGGAAAACGTTTCAGTCGGAACAGGAATAAGAATTGTTCAACGATGAATCGTGCTTTCGGTCACAACCAAAAAATCACAGCAATTGATTAAATTATACTAGTCAAGTGATATAGTTTAGCCTCTGACACAGATATTTCTATTATTTAGACGAGCACTGAATGTTCAAGAAAAAAGTACCCCAATTTGAGATAAAGGTTTTATTTTGTTTAGACAGGATTGGGTCGGCGTTCAACAGCCGACCCAATCCTGTCTTTACGAATATCAATATTCAACTTCGTTGCCTTGTAATTTTTTCCCAACCCAGAAGACAAAGAAACTCCTGGATCAAGCATTGGGACAAACTAGCCTTTGTGAAAGACTTTTTTTGATAGAATTAACCAACATTTGCGTTATATGAAGTTGAAAGCCTTATACAGTGAACCTCACTCATGGTCTGTCTTTCTTAATTCTCAATTTTTAATTAATAACAAAATCATTTTAGAATTTGAAGGAAGAAAAAACATTAAAAATTGCGCAAGATCTGAGCATTTAAAATACTTCTTTCAGACTGGTCATGCAAAGAAAAGAATTGAAAGAAAAATTCATAATTTTGTAGTTAATCGTATTTAGCTATAAGTCCGATTTGAAAATTCTGAAATTTAAAAAATTTCTTTCAATTTTTTATGCTGGTTTTGTACTTTTGACCTTCGATACAAAAAATTTAAATTGGATTAAAAAAAATTCTTGTGAAAATAAAAATAAAAAAACATGTGCCTAATAGTTTTACATAAAGAACATATCTTGAAATTTTCAACAAAATCAAAAATGTCAAATACCCAAGCCTGCTTGACTAAGAAATTCTGGCTCTTAATATTAAAATAATTATCGATAAAGATCAAGTGAGAGGATTTTTTTTAATAGAGTGCTGCTTTTTGCTCATCACCATTTTTAGGCAAACCTGAGGAACGTAAATTCCCTAATCATATCTCTTCAATATGTAACTGAAATAATGGAAAAAACTATTCTGTGGGGGGAGGCTTCACTTTCGACCTGAAAATTTAAATTTTCAGTTAGTAGCCAATCTAGTGGCGGGTAAACTCTTATAACTTAGTGGCATTCTTTCCTCAAACCTAATGAGTTGGCCGTGGTCGCTCAGGGGATACAGAGCTCGTTTCCCAATGAAATAACCCGGGTTCAAATCCCAGTGATGGCTGGTTGATATGAATTCCACAGCTGGCTCGCACCGATTAAGTGCTGGCGTAAAATATCCACAGTGGTAGACGGATCATAGTTTAGAGTGTGGGAGGTTCTCGTGGTCTTCCACTCCATGTAACGCAAATGCGGGTTAGTTCCATGAAAAAGTTAGACGAAGGCAAATTTGTCCCAATACTTGATCCAGGAGTTCTCTTGTCTCCTGGATTTGGTTCAAAACTACAAGTCTACAGAGCTGAGCACCGGTAGTCGTAAAGTTAAAATTGGGTCGGCTGTTCAACGACGGTTATAAAATAACACAAAATGATAAAAAAATAATGCCGTTATTCTCCAGATTGGGGAGAACTTCCATAATCTTTGTCTTATAATGTGTAGTTGGAAAACATAACAAGTTTTTAACAAGGTAATTCTTAACAATCAGCTTTATAATTTTCATTGATTGCTTTCACTATGTAATTAATTGTATATATTTTTTTATTTTACAAATAAAACCAGTTGGCCAAAGTATTAAAACTTTTCTTCATAATGTTTTTATTGAAATAATTCTTCGATTCCAGAGCATAATCCATTATAGGGACGAAAAGAACGAAATAAAACCAGTTTGTGCTGGAACTCTTATAACAAGCCAGTATGTTTTATCTGCCGCTCATTGTCTGTAAGTATAAGACTCGTTATATTTTAGTTGTAGTTCATTTACGTCGCACTAGAGCTGCACAATGGGCTATTGGCGACGGTCTGGAAAACATCTCTGAGGATGATCCGAAGACATGCCATCACAATTTTGATCCTCTGCAGAGGGGATGGCACCCCCGCTTCGGTAGCCCGAAGACCTGAGCGCGAAAGCGAGCACTTTACGGTAGAACAGTTTAACGAGGACCGATACCACACTCCCTCGGACCCTACGCAAATGGATCCAAGTGGTCACCCACCCCCACATTGACAACAGCCAGTGATGCTTAACTTCGGGAATCGTGTTTTAACTATCAGACCGTTATATTTTAGAAAATAAACCTTTATAAGAATATTTTGGTAATCGTGTTTTAAAAAACGTTTTCTATAAGAAAAACGCGAATTTTGTAGTTTTAGAGACTTCTGGTGCAAGTATCTTAGCAGCTTGAGAATAACCTGGGATTTATATATATAATGAAATGAATTATTATCCCGTAGCAACAGTTGACAGAAAGATTTTGTTTTAATTTATTTTAACTATGAATAAACTCACTTTTTTTTTTAAAACTCATTTAACGAAATGCGTTTGTGCCGGAACAAGCCAGTATGTTTTGTGTGTTGCATAACAGATATCATGTTTAAGAAAATAAATCTCTATTAAAGATTTTGGGACATATTATGGTTGTGAACGTTCTCTATTGGAGAAATGCGAATGATTTAGAGACACAAATGATACACACGTGATGTCTTTATCGCTCTCCTGAATACCCCCGAGTTAACTCGGATCAGTAAATAATTAAGTTAATTATTTTTCGAAAAAAGTCGGCCAAGGAAGCTCTCAGTATAATTTATTTTTATTAATTATTTAATAATTATTTAATAAATATTTAATATAAACATCAAATAAAATTATTTAATATTAATTAATATTATTTATTTAATTTTAATCAATATTATTATTTGTTTAATTTTAATTAATTAATATTATTTTTTATTTAATTTTAATTAANTAATTAATATTATTTATTTAAGTTTAGTTAATTAATAATGTTTATTTAATTTTAATGAAGTAAATATTAATGATTTTTATTACGACTAATTAAATATTTTAAAGTAGTCCTTTATAGAGGTTACAACATTCCCAATTACCTTAATAAATTTATTTACTAATTTGGAGTTCCACCGGAAGAAGGTTGATTATTTAGGGTTCCGTAGCCGAAAAAATTGAGAAACGTACAATTTTCGCTGACTAATTAATTAATTTTTGAGTATTGTTTTCGTTTGACGCTTAGTATGAGAACGAGCGTAGTTATGTAACAATCGAATTCCGCTTCTCAACTAACGCCGGCTTTTGCTTTGAATTGTATTCCTTTTGTGTACTTATTTTCATGATTTTTTTTGCAATCATATGAATGAAGAAAACGTAAAATGGAACGAACTTTACGTCCGGATAGGCCGGGATAGCCTGGTCGGTAAGGCGCTGGGCCCATGTCCGAGAGTTCGTGAGTTTGAATCCCGCCGGCCGATGACTTCCCGTGTAGTAAAGTGACTGATGCTCGTTAAATTTGTCAAGTTGCAAAAGTCCTCCATGTTCCCATAACAAATCAATACCTCTGGGGGTACTGGATTGGAGATCGATCGTTCTCTGATTCAGGTCAAAATTACGATCTGTGGATGAACGAATGGATGTGTGAATGGATCCGCCTTATAAACAGGTGTGACGTATGATGTGGCGAAGTCGAATTCTTGGCCATAGATGGCGCCACTGAAAAATAAGAATCGCACACTCTGCCTTAAACTTGCTCGGTTTCACCAAGCAACTCCGCATGCTCACGTTTATTTTATATGCTACGTATCCTTCCGTTATGTTGGCGTGATGTACACTCCGACAAAGCTACAAGCACGCTGTTCATTGCTGTTAAATGTTTGTTATCTGTTTAAGCCTGCCTTCGAACTAAAAGCATGGAATGCAAATTTGAAGAAATTTATTAATAACAATTAGAAATTCATTCAATAAAAAAAACTAATTTTGTTACTTTTTGTTTTAACATTTTGGTTGTCTAATTGAACTAGTTCAGTAAGAAACTATTTATATTTTCGATATTACAAAATTATAAATTATATTTATTTTAAATATACAATTTAGTTAAAAGAAGTTAAATAATCAATAGATGTTCAATAATATTTTTAAATATTAATAATTAATAATAATAAGCCGCATTCTTTACCGCTAAGTTCATCAAAATCTACCAAATTTTTCTGCTCACAAATCCACAGTTTTACATTGAGCAAATCATCTTGAATCGTTTGCCACTGCTTTAAAGAAATAGTCTACATCTATTGTAAATGTTTGCTTTGATTTTGTGGTCAAAGTTAAAATGATTTAGTTGTAACCACTAAGTTATTGTTTTTAACTTACGGATTATTGAAAAATCTCTTACTTTTCACTTGCGTAAGCTTAATATTTTTTTACGTGCTCATGAGCAATTACTTGAAATCTTAAGCACACGGAAGCTAACGTAATTTTGCGAAATCTCCCTATTATAAGGAGGTATTACTTAAACAAGACTCACCATAAATATAACTAATGACTTCGAGGGAAAAGCGAAACGTACAAGGTTACAGTTCAGGCTGCCAACAGACTCACATAAACTTTTCCCTTGCCGCTATCGGGGAAGTATCTTTTCTATCCGAAAACGCCTCGTAATACAACCCTATAGAATGATTTCAAAATTGCTATTAAAGCGAGAAAGAAGTTATCAACTTCTCATTTTGATCGATCCGAAATTTGTAGGGCTAAAAAAATTACGCTATTTCTATATGTTTCAAACATGATTTATCAAATTGCACTAACGTTCAGCAGTGGACTGATCGTAAGGACACGGTTTCCAGTAGAGCACCGAAGTCAAGCTTGACTGCGGTCAGTAAGCGGGTAGGTGACCACCTTAATCAGCCTACGTAGGGACCACGGGTCCCTATTGGTCCTCGTTAAACTGTTCTTCTTCCTCGTTAAACTGTTCTTCCATAAAATACTCGACTTCCCACGCAGGTCGTAGGGCTACCAACGCAGGAGTGCCATCCCCTCTACAGAGGATCAAAGTTGCGACGGCATGTCTTCTGATCATCCTCAGGGATGTTTCCCAGACCGTCGTCAATAGCCCATTGGGTAGCTCTAGTGCTACGTAAATAAAGCATAGTTTGCCTACCGTAAGAACTCCCCTCGCCGCAAAATCTGACTCCGTATGCGGCTATGGAAACAAGAAGAGCTCATTTCAGGGAGGGTAGCTTCTCTTCACAATAGGACTAACACAATACACCGAAGAAAAACAATCCCTATCTCTCTCCGACCTGAGCAAAAACTTGTCCTGAACAAAGACCCCACACCCCTACTTGAAATAGTTATACCTCGTTACCATAGTCACTGCCATGGGTCCAGACAAATGGCTAGGGTAGTTCTTACTTTAGTCAAACTATACCTATCAAGTTGCATTAATAGTTTTACGATGTCATGTCTTCTGAAAGATTAGGAATGATTGTTTACATAGAATTAGTATAGAAGAGTTTCCATATTTTTGTCCACGACCTGCATGTTTCTCATAAAAGAAAAAATGTACGATAAATTTCTGTCTTTCAGATCAGATATAATAAAGGACGCAAAAGTCGATTCTAGAGAAGGACTTTTACTGGATAAAGATCTAGTTAGTCGCTACAGTGTCGGTGTCGGAACACATTACATCTGCAATCCTGCTGAAGAAATTGAAGTGGCTAAAATTATCGTGCATCCTGGATTTTACATGGAAACTAAGGAGACTCTTCCAGTAGATCTGATGCTGCTACAGTTAAGGAAACCTGTACAATTTAACGACAAAATATTTCCAATATGCTTGCCGGAACTAAAACCGGAAATTAATGTCGATAGTGGTACTGTAGCAGGCTGGTGTCAGTTGTCGAATGGTAAGTTATAGGGGCATAACATATATCCCACACCCCTTTGAAGTGGTAGATAGTCTTAATTCGTTTAAACTCAGAGATGCAGAGCCGCGATGGCTCAGGGGATAGAGTGTTCGCCTTTCAGTGCGGTGAACCGGGTTCGAATCCAGGCAATGCCTGGTTGATGCGAATTCCGCCTCCGGCTTGAACCGACCACAGTGTTGACGTGAAATATCTTCTGTGGTAGACGGATCATGGGTTACAAGTCTCCTTGCCATCAGGCTAACCGTGGGAAGTTCCCGTGGTCTTCCTCTCCACGTGACGAAAATGCGGGTTGGTTCTATCAAAAAGTCCTCCACGAAAGCAATTTTCTCCTAATGCTTGATCCAGAAGTTCCCTTGTCTTCTGGATTAGGTTCCAAATTACAAGGCTACGTAGTTGAACATTAGTAGTCGTAAACCCAAAAATTGGATTGGCTGTTCAACGACGGTTGAAAAATAAAATATAAACTCAGAGATGTAAACGGAAGAGAACTACAAACTGAAATTTGCAAATTTTTGGTTAATTTTGCCAACTTTTTAAAAAAGCTCAACACGGATTAACTGTAACAAAGTGGCGTATCGCATAAGTCTTTGAATGGTGTAGAAGTAGTGGTGGTCGAATTTACTAAACCAAGAATCAAGGCATGGTGGCTCAGGGGATAGAGCGTTCGTCTTCCAATGAGGTGAACCGGGTTCAAATCTCAACGATGACTGATCAATACGAATTCCGCACCCGGCTATCACCGACCACAGTGCTGAAATAAAATATCCTCAGTGGTAGATGGATCATGGGTTAGTGTCTCCTTGCCGTCAGGCTAACCGTGTGAGATTTTCCTCTCCATGTAACCTCTCCAGGAGTTTCCTTGTCTTCTGGATGGGGTTCAAAATTACAAGGCTACGTAGCTGAAAAGTAGCAGCCAAAAAATTGGATCGGCTGTTCAACGACGGTTATGAAATAAACAAGAATCATACAACAAAAGACTGTCACTTGCAAATAATTAACCGGAACAAGTTAACTTCTCTGCAAATTTGACAGCGCTTCTCTGGTAGATTTACAATATTTATATTTAACTGACTATATATATATAATAACAGGGCTACATCCCTGTTATCATTGTTGTATTCAGCTTTAATAATGCAGTCAAAGCCATAATACGTTATAAAAAGGTTTATTTGAAGGTAGGCTGGTGGTTATAACAGTTCAAATCCCCACTCCACAAGGAAGGGGGTGTGGACAAAACTCCGGATGGTTCCGGCAGATGTTTATTGGAACACGTTATTCAGCAAGAGACATGCGAAAACCATCGGTCCCGCATTAAATACTACAGAGAATGATGTAATTAGGTTCCAGTCGTACATACCTTTGTAACTCTACGCATTATGGGAAAATCATTTAATGCTTCCTAATATGGAAGTGAAAGAGGGACAAGATTCTAAAAATAACTCCTCCTTTGAAATATAAATCTAATAATGATTCAATGGTATGTTTTCAGCCTTGAAGTCCCAAAATAGAATTTCTACACCTATTCTTTACCTAAGACATTTTATGAAAACGAAAGAGTTTTAATTGTTTTATTAATACAAAAGTATTTATAATTTTTGTATTACATATAGTGGTAATTAAAATCATTGCACATCAATTTTCTTAAAATAAAAAGTAAAATTTCGCCGGGCAAGAAACTAAGTCGCTAATGGAAAAAAACAGAAATTCAAGGTTTTTTTTTTAGCTGCAAACCTAGCCTTTAAACATTGTTTATAGTACGATATCTTATGTTTCGTCAGAACAAAATAGTTTGTCATAATATTCTTTGTAATCTTGCTGAAAAAGATAAAAACTGCAGATTCTAACTGTAAGAATCGTGCTAATCATGAAGAATTTAATAAAAAAAAGAACAAAAAAACCTCATCAAAATTAATTCGCGGAAAAGAAAACTTTAAAAAAAAGCGCACATTTGACCTGTTGTTGTTTCTAATGCAAAAAGCCAATGTCAGCAAGCCTGATTGGTGAAACCAAGCTAATCTAAGGCAAAGAGTGCGTTTCTTGTTTTTTAGTGGCGCTATCTATGGCCAGGTGGCGCTATCTATAGCCACACACACACGTCACAGCCCGTTTATAGAGCAACACCATTCATACATTCATTCATCCGCAGATCGTAATTTTGACCTGAACTAGAGAACGATCAATCTCCAGTTCAGTATCCCCAGAGGTATAATTTGTTATGGGAACATGGAGGACTTTGTGACACGATGAATTTAACGGGAACTAGTCACCATTTACAACACAAGGAATCTACAGCCAGTGGGGATCGAACTCACGACCCCTTGCACAAGGGCCCAACTCCTAGTGAGCCATTTTATCCCGGCCTATCAGAAATGTACAAAGAGAAACCCGCTGAGCACGCATATTAGTATGTTTTATTTTCTGACATTTTTTTCTATAATTCTTCTTTTATTTCTTTGGTCTAGTCCACATTTATATATTTGTATTTACTTTTTCTTCTTCTTCTTGCGTAGTTCTACAGCCTATTGCAGGTCAACGCTTTCTCCTAAAATTTCTTCCTTCTGCTGCCACAGTTCTCTAACTGTTGACCCCAATTTCATGTAACTTTTTCTTAACTGTGTCTCTGCATTTTTGATATGTCATTTTAAATCATTGCATTTGTATATATTTTCAAGCCATGCACTTTAATAAAACTAAACTCAGTGGCGCGACAGCCCATAGAGGGCCAAGGCCTACTGTGCCCATCTCAGTTTTCCTGACCTTGGGCTCTGGGGTGCAGGAGCAGATGTTCCGGTCAGGTGGACAGCGGAACGCGGAACCCCCAGTGTTTAGTTCCCAAGCATGCTTGGTACTCATTTATCGACCCACTGAAGGGATGGAAGGCTGAGTCAACCTTGCCGGCCAGAAGATCGAACTAGGGACCAGTGGCACGACAGCGCTACCGCTCAGCCACCGGGCGTCATATACTTTAATAGTTTCACAATATTTGGTACCATAATATCTCATACGATTTCATTCATAAATACATTAGATAAAAAAAGAATTTTTTTTGCATTTATACAAGTACTTGATGCAAGTACTCTTACCTGATTCGGGTGAAAGAATTTTAAAAATGAAATTATCTTTGTCCGGAAAGCTACTGATTTTTTTTTGAAAATGATATTAGTTTTTTTTTCTTTGTCTTGTTCATAGAGAACGTATTAGTTTACATAGACGCACATATAGGTTCCTTTGAAAATAACACTTGAGACAAACACCTTAACGTATCGCCTTCTTCCTACTACTCCCGACGTAGCAAAGAAGTGGGGACACTTACTATTCAATAGAGTGAACTTTAAGCAATCCTATACATTATTGAATCGCATAAAAACTGTATCTTATAGAGAGAAAACGACTGCCGTCATGTATAGGACCTTTTTCAAAAGATTGTGCTGTGGTAGGACTATTGTTTCAAAATCATCAGTTTTCTTGAAGAATTAAAATATAATCTCTATTATGAATATCTATTATGAAAATCTATTTATGATTTAGGAAGATAGTTCCGCATCGTGATCTGTCACGCCAACAACAATTGCCAAGGAGCCAAATAAATTTTAAAATATTTTCTTCTGTTAACTATTGAAAGTTAAAAAAAAGAATGTTTTTAGTTTAAATATGTGTAATTTGCAGTGTAAGTCATGATGGTAGCTACGAATGAATGATTAAATAAAGAAAAGGAGAATTGAGTTTCTACCACTCCTTATTTACGAAAGTCTTATTATTTCTAATAAGATCAATAACAATCTTCTTATTTCTCATAGGATCAATAAACAATCTTCTTATTTCTAATAGGATCCATAAACAATCTTCTTATTTCTAAAAGAATCAATAAAAAGTCTTCTTATTTCAAATAGGATCAATAAACAATCTTCTTATTTTTAATAGGATCAATGAACAAATCTCATTTCTAATAGGATTTTAAACAAATCTTCTTATTTATAATAGAATTTTAAACAAATCTTTTTTCTAACAGGATCAATAAACAATCTTCTTATTTTTAATAGGATCAATGAACAAATCTTATTTCTAATAGGATTTTAAACAATCTTCTTATTTCTAATAGGATCAATAAACAATCTTCTTATTTATAAAAGGATTTTAAACAAATCTTATTTCTAATAGGATCTATAAGCAATCTTCTTATTTCTAATAGGATCAATAAACAATCTTCTTGTTTCTAATAGGATCAATAAACAATCTTCTTATTTCTAATAAGGATAGATAATAGGATCACTAAACAATCTTCTTATTTCTAATAGGATCTATAAACAATTTTCTTATTTTTAATAAGATCAATGAGCAAATCTTATTTCTAATAGGATTTTAAACAAATCTTCTTATTTATAATAGGATTTAAAACAAATCTTGTTTCTAATAGGATCAATAAACAACGTTTTGACGGAGAACCAACAAAGTATATGGTCAAAAGAGGACTGCAAGGACATATTCAAACCTTTTAATTTGAAAATAAGTAATCACATGATGTGCGTGGGAGGAAGAAGAGGCGAAAAAGAATGTAAGGTAAATATATAGAAGCTGTCCGAGTACTACTTAATAACATCTAGTTTATAAAACGAGAATAAAGAAAACGCATAAATAATTTTGACACTCAGCCGCATAAAAATGAACAGAGAGGAACTGTGCTCAGTATAGTTTGTCTACGATAAGAACTCCCCCCGCCACAAAGCCTGAGGCTGTCTGCTGCTATGGAAACAAGAATAGCGCATTTCAGGGAGGGTAGCTTCTCTTCACTCAATGACTAACACAATAGACCGAAGAAAAAGAATCCCTTTCTCTCGCCAATCCGAGCCAAACAGTGTCCTAAACAATGACACAAACAACACCTCTACTTGAAATAGTTATACCTCGTTACCATAGTCACCACCATGAGCCCATACAAATGGCTAGGGGAGTTCTTACTTTAGATAAACTATAGTTTGTTGTCGAAGTTTATTAACATCGCACTAAAGGGATACAGTGATCCAAAGACTAGCACCTGAATTTCTCAGTAAATTCTTACGAGACTTAATTATTCCACTCTTTTTTAAAATGAGAAGGGTAGAATTTACCGCGCACGTGTGGCTAGCTTTAGAAAATTTGCATATGTATGTATATTATATTGATATATATCACATAATATTATAAAATATATATCAATATAATACTGAATCCTAGAAATAGTTTATGTATATTTATATAAATATAATATTCCAGACACTACGCTATTAAATACGCTTTAAAAAATTAAATATAATCATGGTGTTAAAAATATTATTTTTTAAAAAAAAATATCCTCTTATTTTACAACTTAATAAAAAATATTTAAGCTAAGTATAGATTTAGATCTGAAAAGGTAGATGGCGCCATCATTTTTATTTCATAAGTATCCTTATGAAGAGCTATAGTTCGTTCACCAGGTGTTGGCACTTGGCTCCACCTCCTCGGACGCAGAGTTCATTTCAGCGCGGGGGAGTAAGAGGAAAAACATTTCCCCTCTTGAAATCGAGATAAGATCTAATGAGCGCAAAGCCTCCACACGGTTTTTTATAGGTAGTCCAATCAGACCACTATGAAGGCAAACCAGTTTGCGAAAGAGCCCTTTAATAGAAAATCTAGTAAAAATAAAAAAGTTCTAGCAAATATATGTCTAAAAATTTGTTTAATTTTTGAATATGATTAGTTTGTCATATTTACTTGTCTACCACTACAGATTCAATTCTCAAATATATATGACAAATTCCNGCTTTATCGGTCTATGCCACGCCGTGTGGCAGCTTGTATCCAGGCTAGAGTCGGGTCAACACCTTATTGAACTTGTTACTGTAACTCAGCAATAAATTATTAAATTGTTCTGAAATTTTAATCATTTACTATTCTGTACATTGTCTTCCTATCCACCAATTTTCATTTCAATCGGACACCTCCTTCTTGGTGCGTTTTTTTTTGTTGTAGAGTGTATTTATATAAATATACTACGCTATTAAATCCGCTTTAAAAAATTAAATATAATCATAGTGTTAAAAATATTATTTTTTTAAAAATATCCCTTCATTTTACAGTTTAATAAAAAATATTTAAGTTAAGTTTATATTTAGATCTGAAAAGGTAGATGGCGCCATCAATTTTATTTCATAAGTATCCTTATGCAGAGCTAGACTTACATTACGAAATGAAGAGCGAACAGCTTATGCGTGTTCAAAGGATTTATTGGAGACGGATCAGAGCCGCCGCTAAAGGAATTGGAGAGGAGGCGATCAAAAAAGTCAGATATTTAAAATTCGATTTCTCAGGAACTGATCGACCGATTTTGCTCAAATTTTGTAATTTGCCTTGTAAAATTATATTCTTAAAAATTATGCAAAAATTTGTATACCTTACAATTCAGCATTTTTTTCGACCGTCATAGAATAATAAATATTTACAAAAAATTAGTTTTTTTTCCGTGGAATTATCTTTGGATAAACGAATTTTATTCTTGCGAGCAAATTTTTTTTTCCATTCGCTTAAAAAGCTTTTGAGATTTAGCGAAATAAGCAAAAAGTAAAATTAACATTAAGGAGTCCAAGCTTTGGAAAGCTCTCCTGGCAAAACTATTAAGACCATATTTCCAAGATTGCGGTTACCCCCAATGTTTTGGAGGTCAGAAATAAAGGTATGCTTATTCATAGAAAGTACGTTATTATGTCCGTAACTTAAAATATCGTCAGAACTTACTAATTAGCACATTTGAGGTCCCCCCCCCTCGAGCCAATAAAATTGAACCCAGACTGTGAGGATCCAATTTTTTTTTGTCACTATCTATAGTTACACTTGTCTGCTACTTTGAAAATAACACTTAAGACAAAAAAACATATGAATATGAAAAACATATCGCATCATTAACTGAAATGTATCATAGCCATCTTCCAACCTCTTTCTACGTAGCAGAGAAGTGGGGACACATAAAATTCAATCGAGTGAATTTAAAAATATTTTGGCTAGCCAGATATCATTAAATTGTATAAAAACTGCCCCTTATAGAGAGAAACCGATTATTTATGTATATATATAATGATTTATAATTCATTTTTTAATTAAAGGAAAAGAGGTATTTTTTATGTTGGCCTACTTTTTTAATATCTTTTGTATTTCTAATAACTTTTACTTTACAGAAAAGAAATTTTAGTGGTATGTTTTTTCTCACACCGGGTGGTACGGTGGTAACACAATTTTTTAATATTTCCTTTATTAAAAAGTTTAATTTGCTAATATTGCTCCTTTTGTTTTCTTTTTTAACTTAAAAATATAAATCTTCTAATTTAAAAATATAAAAAAATAGATTTTAAATTAAAATTTAGAAAATTTTATTTTAATTTAATTTTAATTTTTAAAGAGTGAAGTTATGGTCATACAGAGTCAATAGTACGTGCGAATGATTTTTTCTTTCAACTTTGGCTGATCCTCCCATGCCACTTCGCTATCTGGCCGGCCAATTCCCGAAATCAAAAAAAGATCGGACATTGGCCAGCCATCCCATGCCTCTTCGCGGCCAATTCCCGAAATCAAGAAAAGATCGGACGTTGGCCAGCCAATTTACAGCATTCTTATCTATTTCGCGATTTGGCCGGCCAATTCGCGAAGTGGCCGAATTCGGGCTTTGGCCGTAACATATATAGTATAATTCACAGTAGATTCACTGGCATTACTCCCTAGGCAAACTCTGTATTATGTCTATCAGATATTAAAAGTCGATATCAAAAAGTTGGTGAAGAATATTTTTTACATCATATTTAAATAATTTGTTACGTAATTTCTGAATAAAAAAATTATTTTTTTATAGGGTGATTCTGGTGGCCCGTTGTTTATCGAGACTCACGGAAATTACTATTTAATAGGAATGACATCAATGGGTCCGACACAATGTGATATAGGCATTCCTACTCTCTTCTCGAAAATCCCACTCTTTATGTCTTTCATTATGTCCCATTCGGATTACATCGGCCAGGATTGTTATTGTGAGTAAAATTTTACATTTTTTATTCCACATAAAATTAATCATTTTATAATTTAAGATCTAAACTTTCATAGATTAATTTTTCTTTACTAAACTTTTCATAGATCCGGTAGTTTGGAATAAATTTACTGTTTGTTAATGAAACAGCAGTTAATGCAGAAAGAATTTCTAAAAATTGTGTTACTTCGAGTAGATAATGTTAGTTATATAAACACAACTACCAAAATAATCCATACAAATGTTTGATGTATTGATTTGTCCCAGAGGATTAATTATTTTTCAATTAAAAGACCAAGATTAAATATTAAAATACAAATGCTGCTACAACTTAAAAAGAATTTCTTCAAGCAAGTTGGAAACTAAATGAAAATAGATTTGAGATAATTAAAATTTGTGAAAAGTTACAAACCTGTTAGCATATACGGAATAAATTAACTAACAATTACAACGTGTCAAGTAGATTAACTAACTTTTCATCTTGAAGCAACGGCTGCATCTCCTTGAAGATTTGCAGGAAGCAGCTGGCAGAATATTTGGCATTCAGGGTTGGACTGTCTCTTCCATCTGCTTTGTCTTTGGCCTTGCACCGCAGCCCGTAAAACAGGCCGAGTGCTCACCGTGACAGTTTTATTTTATTTTATAACCGTCGTTGAACAGCCGACCCAACTTTTGGGCTTACGACTATTCATGTTCAACTCCGTAGACTTGTAATTTTGAGCCTAATCCAGAAGACAAAGAAACTCCTGGATAAAGTATTGGGAGATATTTGCCTTCATGGAGGACTTTTTGATGGAACTAACTCGTATTTGCGTTACGTGGAGAGGAAGACCACTAGAGCCTCACACGATTAGCCAGTCGGCAGGGGGACTCTAACCCATGATCCGTCTACCACTGAGGATATTTCAAGTCAGCACTGTGATCAGTGCAAGCCTGAGGCGGGATTCGCATCGTCCAGTCATCGCCGGGATCGAACCCGGTTCACCTCATTGGAAGGCGAACACTCTATTCCCCGAGCCATCGTGGCTTTCACCGTGGCAGTTGGTACAGGTCACCGGTTTGATAAGTGGTTTTGTACACAAGTACGAGAAAAACATTTGTTTTCCAGTACAGGAAACAATCTGGCATGTACACATTCTAACTTATGTCTTGATAGCCTGAGTTATTTACTTATTTATATACCAAAAACAAGGAAATGGTTTTAATCTCTTATCAGACCACAAAACAGCCCTGATTCTAAATGATATCTAGACTCAGTGTTTAATAATTTCGCAACGGATGGTCATCGTATGATGATAAGTTTATTTATTTTTGGTAATGTTTCAATTTTTCTTTACTTTTGAATTCCATACTTCTTTTGAGAAGAGACCTAAATAAGACTACTGAAATCATCGCCATTGAGAGGCTGGTTCAGATCATAATCCTAATATTTGTAACAGTTTTTCGCGATTCACTCAGCTATGTTGTATTTATAAAATGGATTGCTTAAAATTATGTTTTTAATCTATTGAATTTTCAAATTTNGACCGAGGGTGTGCGGTATTGGTCCTCGTTAAACTGCTCTACCGTAAAGTGCTCGACTTCGCGTGCAGGTCGTCGGGCTACCGAAGCGGGGGTGCCATCCCCTCTGCAGAGGATCAAAATTGTGATGGCATGTCTTCGGATCATCCTCAAGGATGTTTCCCAGACCGTCGCCAATATCCCATTGTGCAGCTCTAGTGCAACGTAACTGAACTACTACTACTTCAATACAGGAAACAATCTGGCATGTACATTTTAACTTATGTCTTGGTAGCCTGAGTTATTTGCTTATTTATATTCCAAAAACAGGGAAATGGTTTTACTACCAGCACTTTCTCTTAGCGGACCACAAACAGTTCTGATTCTAAATGATGAATGACGTCAAGACTAAGTGTTTAATAATTTCGCAATGGATGGTCTTCTTATGATGATAAGTTTATTTATTTTTGGTAATGTTTCAGTTTTTCTTTACCATACTTCCATACTTCTTTTGAGAAGAGACCTAAATAAGACTACTGAAATCATCACCATTGAGAGGCTGGTTCAGATCAAAATCCTAATATGTGTAATAGTTTTTAATGATTCACACAGCTATGCTGTATTTATAAAATGGATTGCTTAAAATTATCTTTTTTAACTATTGAATTTTCAAATTTTCTAGGGTCACTACTTAAGGATTGTCTCCGACGAAACTGATTCCTATGCTGGACATATCAACAACAAAAAATTAAATTAACATGTTTCACTGAATATTTTATATTATAGTTCTGTAGTTTGAATAACTTTGTTGTGCGAGACCTTTCAAATTAAGAAGACTGCCATTTTAAAAGACGCTGCTTGAAATTTTGTCAGGTCTGGCTGATTGAAAAATATGATTTTTAATATATTATTGCTGTATTGAAATAAATTATTGCCATATTATAACATATTGTTGCTATAATAAAATATATTCTTGGTACATTGAAATATATTATTGCTATATTGAATGCTTTTAATTCTCTTTTTTTAAAATATGTGACATAAAGTTGCATTCGCAAACAGAATAGTAAAGTGCTTAATTCTTTTTTTAAAAAAATCAATTGCATATTTTACTTAAAAATTTAGAAAATCAATGAGAATTTGAAAATATCCAAAAATGTTCTGATATGAAATGTTAACAAAGAATTCTACAATTGAAATATTTCCTAAAATAATCCGACTACAATTAAAGTAAGCAAATAAAATGGTTATTTAACGCCATTTTCGAGCATAAATACTTTAAATTGTTAATAGCCTTAGTCTCAAAACAAGAAAAAATTATAAAATACCCATTGTTATGAGATTCGGCTATATATGAAAATACCTTCTTCAATACTGCATGTTAAGCCTATGATGAATCATGTTTTTCACAAAATATATGGCTATTTAACTTCATTTTCGTGCATAACAGTCGTTTTTTTTTCTTTTTTAGAGAACATATTTTTGCGTGAACCGTTATATACGTAATTTACTTGACAAGAAGCCTTATACGTTGCTTGGGCAACAAGCCTGAAAATTCATTTCAAGAATGAAAAAAAAATATTTTTTAATCTTTGACATTGTTGTTGTAGTTCATTTACGTCGCACTAGAGCTGCACAATGGGCTATTGGCGACGGTCCCTTGACGTTATAGAGAATAAAAGCTGCATCCTTGATCACAGCGGGTATCGAACCAACTGCCCCCTTTCAGAGTATTTTCGAAAGGACAACACCCCTCGAATTCTGAGGTCTACAATTCCATTATATTGGTCACAGTATTTTTTGTGTGGTGATTTTGGGGTTTAAAATTTTTTCAATCTTGGTAGGTAGGCAAGTACATTATTTACGTCACACTAGAGCTGCACAATGGGCTATTGGTGACGGTCTGGGAAGCATCCCAGAAGATGACCCAAAGACATACCGTCGCGATTTTGATCCTCTACAGAGGGGATGACTCCCCTACTTTGGTAGCCCGATGACCTGCGTGTGCAGTCTAGCACTTCATGGTAGCACAGTTTAACAAGAACCGATACCGCGCACCCTCGTTCTCTGCACAGGCCGATCAAAGTGGTCACCCACCCGCTTAATGACAGCAGCCAGTGATGTTTGACTTCGGTGTTCTACTGGGAACCGTGTCTTTAATATTAGTCCACTGCGGGACTTCGTAAATCTTGGAGTTCCATTTTTAAGTAGTATGGCATAAGTGTTTGTCTGCGTATTATTTCACACGCAAAAATATTAATGTTCCTTAAAGGTTAGAAATAAGGAAGAACCAAAGATTCGTTTAACCGGTTTTCTGTTCTCAATCCGTTTCTACCAGTTCCACGTTGTTCAGCGGTGGACTGATCGTAAGGACACGATTCTCAGTAGAACATCGAAGTCAAGGATCACTGACCACTGTCAGTAAGCTGGTGGGTGATCACTTTGATCAGCCTGTGAGGGAACAGAGGGTGCGCAATATTGGTCTTCGTTAAACTGTTCTACCGTAAATTGCTCGACTACGCGCACAGGTCATCTGGCTACCAAAGCAGAGGAGCCATCCCCTAAGCAAATGATCAAATTTGCGATAGCATGTCTTCGGATCATCCTCAAAGATGCTTCCCAGACTGTCGTCAATAGCCCATTATGCAGCTTTATTATGACCAAAATAAAATAGCTACCTACTTGCTAGTTTCACGCTGGTTTTCGTCCAGCAGTGGACTGATCGTTAAGACACGGTTCCTAGCAGATCACTAAAGTCAAGCACCACTGGCTGTGGTCAGTGTGCGAGTGGGTGACCACTTGGATCAGTCTGCTTAGGAACCGAGGGTGTGTGGTATTGGTCCTCGTTAAACTGTTCTACGGTAAAGTGCTCTACTTCGCGTGCAAGTCGGACTACCGAAGCCTTGTGCCATCCCCTCTGCAGAGGATCAAAATTGTGATGGCATGTCTTCGGATCATCCTCAGGGATGTTTCCCAGACCGTCGCCAATATCCCATTTTTCAGCTCTAGTGCGACGTAAATGTACTACAACAGCACCACGTTTGTTTTCATTTTAATAACTTCAATAACTTACTTTTCTCACATAGTAAATTATATATATATTTTAAATTAAAAATATTAAACACCATCTCGAATTTTTCAATTCCAAAACCAAATATTTCTTTGATTACAGTATGTAAAAACCAGCCAGGTGGCTGAGCGGTTAGCGCAGGTAATAGCTGCGGGTTCGAATCCCACTCAAGGCAAGGATGTTTCTCTCTGTGTGGTCTTCTGCTCTGCGAATGTGGCCCACCCTATGAATGAGTATCTCTTTCAGTGTCACACGGTGCTAACCAGGCAACATAAAATGAGCAACACTTTTGGCATCTTCCATGGCGACGAACGATAAGTTCAGTGCCTGACATTAAAAAAAAAATATGTAAAATGATTACATTAATATTTGACAACTTTAATTTCGGGTAAAGTTTCCGTTCAAACGAAAGTTTCAATCAAATTTTTCAGAAAAATCAATGTTTAACGTTTTGCTATTCAGCGATTCAGTATTTATTGTGTTTATATTTTGTTTAACAGAATAAGAGCTGAGTTCACCAAAATGCAGTATAGGATTTTATTGATATCTCCTCTAATTTCTCTTAATTTTTTTCCTTCTAAACACACAAAATCATTAGATGGCACATTGGGCTAGCATCCAAGATTTCGTGGTCAAAATTAGTATTTCGATAAAATTTGTTTCAAAATTTTGGGGTTTTTATGTGCAGGTAAATTGAATTCATAGTTGAAATTTTGAAATACACTAAAAATACCCACACAAAAAAAAACAAAATGGCGGCTGAATTATGGCGAGCAGACATAAAAATAATAATATAGTACGTTTAAATAATTAAATATAGCAATACAAGTATAATAATTTTCGNGAAAACATGAAGAAAAAAAACATAATTTTTGTTTTTCGGTATATTTAGTCCACCTTTGCAATGCGGGCAAAATGGGGCAGGTTTTTTCGAACATCAAAAAAGACAAAAAAAAGTTTAGCTAATTACCTCATGGAACGTTTTGGAACTAAGTTTCGAAAGTCATTCAAACATTGTAAAATGTCAAATGATAAGATATAAACTTTAAGTTTGTCAAGAGTATTAACTAATCCAACAAATTGAAAAATTGTACCATAATTTTAGACTAATTACTCGGATAAAAATGTAACAGTAAGGTGAAATTCCTACATATATTTCTGAAATAAAAATTTAAAAGTTAAATTAAAAAACAATTAAACGAACATATTTTTCATTACATTGTACTCTCGTCGGTCCAAAAATTAAATCATAATGTTTGGAATGATTATGAATACCTAATTTGGGCTATATTAGAACGTCCTACACATATTTTAGTTGAAAATTTAATTTTTGACTTTTGGCCAAAGATCATGATCAACAGTGTGGATGGTAAGAATTTTATGAGTCTTTCAAAATCTCAATATTATCGGTAAATATTTACAGATCGCTAAAATGTGGAAATATTTGCAATTTTTAAGTAAGTTTAATAGAAGGGATCATGATAAGAGAGACTAAAAAGAGATAAGCACAAAAAAGAAAAAAAAATGAAAATATTCTTTGCATCATTTCAAAAGATGTATAAACATTTGACTGAAAACTAAGTATGTTCTTATTTATTTTACAATTAATTTCGTTTAAAACAGTACTGAAACCCTAAACTGTTGATTAATCAACTAATGCATAATACAATAACCATTTATAACAACTTTAGCACTTTGCTTACGGTGTACCATGTTATACCATCTCGTGTGGTCCTCATGTTGTACCAGCCGCAGGCAAAAGGTTAAGGCGAAAGATAGGGAAACTAAAGGAAAGGAAAAAATTTTCGATAATGAGGTTAAACTAAAATTATTTTGTACTGCCGAGTAATTGCACGCAATAACGAAAGTACTTTATGATAGATTTCGAAAAACTCTGCTTGGAAACTACATTCTATCAACGCTTCAATAGAATTACAGAAAATTATTTTAAAAGTTAGAATATACAGCTGATCATAGAAAAAATGCTGTGGTTGACTTAAAGGGGTGAATGTGGACAATCACATAGTCGTTTAAGTAAATGCCCGAAATATGTACTAGGTCTAGTTAGTGTCACTGCCCGGTATGCCCTTCATCCAAGTTTTTTTTATTTTTAAGATGACATGCCACTGCCCGGTATGCATTTAACCAGTACTCCGAAAACTGTTTCTCCTAACTCAGCCTTTTCCTAACTCTGTCTTTCCTAGATTCTCAGCAGATATTAAAATATCGAATAAATATAATATTAACGAATTAATATCAAATCGGATATAACAAATATTTCGGACATTCACCAAAGCGACCACATGATTGTTGACATTCACTGGTGAAAGTCTGTGCTAAAAAATTAGAGTATCTCCTTACTTTAAATATAAAATAAATATACAGTCGAACCTCTATTTAACGAAGACTCAAAATCCCGATAAATTTGCTATGTGGAAAATTCGTTAAATAGAAAATCACCATTTGAAATACTTAAACGCAAAACAGGTTTTAAATTCATTAACATTAAACATAATTAAAATAGCAGTTTATGCATCTTTATCTTATAAACTAGTATCCACTACTTATTTTATAAATCTTAAGCATAAAAGAACTCTGCGTGGAAAGCGAGAATAGAGCAAATTATCCAGTGTTACACAATCATGTTACATGCATTTTTAACAGAAAAAAAGCTAAATTTAAATCTAAAATTATAGCTGCATTATAAAAGTAATTTTAACTATACATTACCACATGCATTCTTAAGTTAATTTGTTATTGATAAAATCCGTTAATTTTGACTGAGTTTGTTCGTTTGAAATGCAAACAAAAAGGGAAAGGGATTTCACTGCTTTCTCAAAAAGTTAAGTGGCTTCGAAAATCAATTCAAATTTATTTCCACCATAAAATGAGTTAACAAATTTGAAAAGTTCTGAAATATTTTGGGAAATAAGGAAAGTGGATATCAAAGAAAAGTTCGTTAAATAGAAAATTCACTTCGCTATTTGGAAATTATTTNTTGACATTCACCAGTGAAAGTCTGTTAAAAAATTTGAGTATCTCCTTACTTTAAATATAAAATAAATATACAGTCGAACCTCTATTTAACGAAGTCGCTAAATCCCGATAAGTTCGTTATGTGGAAAATTCGTTAAATAGAAAATCACCTTTTGAAATACTTAAACACAAAACAGGTTTTAAATTCATTAACATTAAACATAATTAAAATAGCAATTTTATCTTATAAACTAGAATCTACTATTTATTTTATAAACCTTAACCATAGAAGAAATCTGCATGGAAAGTGCGAATAGAGCAAAACATTATCCAGTGTTACACTATCGTTGTTACATGCATTTTTAACAAAATTAAAGCTAAATTTAAATCTAAAATTATAGCTGCATTTATTACAAAAGTAATTTTAACTATACATTACCACATGCATTCTTAAGTTAAATTGCTACTGATAAAATCCATTAATTTTGACTGAGTTTGTTCGTTTGAAATGCAAACAAAAAGGGAAAGGGATTTTACTGCTTTCTCAAAAAGTTAAATGGCTTCGAAAATCAATTCAAATTCATTTCCCCCATAAAATGAGTTAACAAATTTGAAAAGTTCTGAAATATTTTGGGAAATAAAGAAAGTGGATATCAAAGAAAAGTTCGTTAAATCGAAAATTCACTTCGCTATTTGGAAATTATTTGACGAAGAAATTTCCAAAATGTTCTTGGAAACAAAAATCGCAAAATGGTGAAATTCTCAAAATGGAAGTTGTTTAAATAGAAGTCAAACTATATTTAGAAACATTCGAATTATAAGACTGAGTGAATTTAATTTCTTTCAAACTTCTGCAACTTTCTAATAAAATTTTGGAATTCAAACTTCCTTCAATTTCATTTTATCTCTAGTAAACATTCATTAGAAAATTGGCTACGCGAAATAAATGCTAGTTTGATTTACTGAAAACTAAAAGAACTTACTCGTCAGCAGAAGAACAGTGATTTAGACAACTCTAGTTTTAATCATTCCCGCAAACCCTTTTAAATAAAGTCTGAAAGGCTTATAAAACATCACATTTTGTAAATCTTCGTTGAAAACTTCCTAAAAATGCATTTTATAGTACATATGTTAAGCTGCAAAGAAACCAACAGTAAACGGATAACAATATTTAATAAAAAATTGTACAACAAAATTTTCACTTAAAATGCACTTTCAATGAAAATTGTCTATCACAGGATCCGACCAATAACACCTGGTCTACTAAATAATCTACGAGATATCCAAAGTAAACGTTCAAGATAAAAAAACAGCAGTTCAAACAAAATTCAGCTAATTTTTCGTCATAACATAAAATAGTTGTAGTTTTGAGACTACGCTCCAGAGTTTTCTACAAAATTGGTATGTTTTGCAATGAATGAGCGTCGGCTGAAACACCCACGGCAGACATCTTTGGAAACGAGAGATTTGGCACAACAGTTCAGTCTAGAGTGCCTCTCCAAGATGGACTTGTGCGTGAAAGATCTGGAACACATCGGACAAACATGGAACCTTTCGCTCTTGTGGGTCAACTGGTGTCGTCGGAGGTCCAAATCGGTTTCGAACAGAATGCCACATTTCTCGCAAGCACTTCTGGAAGTCTGCTTCAAAGATCGAATATGAAGTTTGCAGAAAGATTCTCCAATAGCAGAAAGATTACACTCACCGCAGATGAATAATTTTCCAAGGGAGTTATGCTTCCATTGAAAGTGCCACTCTAGTTGATATCGGAATGCGAAGACTTCCTTGCACCTCGGGCAAACAGGTGGATGTTCGCAGATCTTGAATGTCTCAATTCCAGTGGAAGCCATTGCAGAGATTCGCCGAAATTTCTTAACTTTCTGTCGTTATTTGAGCTGACTGCAAAAAAATAATAAATTTTAGAACTGCTTCAACGCTCTTTTGATACTTTCTAGTGACGTCGAGTGTTGCCAAAATAGCACAAAATGTAGTAAATTTATTATTTTATATTTTACAACCGTCGTTGAACTGCCAACCCAATTTTTGGGTTTACGACTGTTATGTTCAACTCCTTAGCCTTGTATAGCCCATTGTGCAGCTCTAGTGCGACGTAAATGAACTACAACAACAACTTAGCCTTGTAATTTTGAACCAATCCAGATGACAAGGAAAGTCCTGGATCAGTACCATTAGAGGTATGATTTGTTACGGGAACATGGAGAACTTTGCGACTCGACAAATTTAACTTGCATCAGTCACCATATACTACATGGGGAGTCTTCGGTCAGTGGGGATCGAACCCACGACCTCTTGGACAGGGGGCCAGTGCCCTACCAACAAGGCAATCCCGGCCTTGTATATTTATTAAGGGTTGCAGTGGAACCTGTCTGACCGAGTAGTCTCGCCGTTCTGCTAAACGTTCTGTTGCGTGAAAATAGTTGGTTCGAATCACGCCGTGACCCAGTGTGAATCTTTGTGAGGTTCGTCTCTAATTTGTACTATCTGTTCTTCAAATTGATAAGGGGCCTAGTGGTAAGGGAATCGGACTTCGGTCCGGAGGGGAGGGGTTCGACTCTCGACTCTGATAAGACCCACCGATGCTCGTAAGATCTGTGGAATCGAAAGTCATGTGGTCGGTCGCTGAGCTGTACCATGGGTACAGGGATCTGAAGCAAATCTCCTCCCCTTTAAGATCCATGTCTAAATTGAGGAAGTGGACTTCCAAATGCGATCCTCTCTGCAGAGAATCAAAACTATGATGGCAAGTCATCGAATCATCCTTAGGGATGTTTCCCCAAACGCGGCGCCTGTTGTGCAGCTCTAGTGCAACATAAATAAATTAATACTACTACTACAAATTAGCAAGAGTTTAGCCCGTTGTGCAGCTCTAGTGCAACATAAATAAATTAATACTACTACTGCAAATTAGCAAGAGTTTAGCCCGTTGTGCAGCTCTAGTGCAATATAAATAAATTAATACTACTACTGCAAATTAGCAAGAGTTTAGCCCGTTGTGCAGCTCTAGTGTAGCATAGATAAATTAATACTACTACTACAAATTAGTAATAGTTTTTAAGCCATATTAGTAATAAGCACAAGAGCCTGTACACGTACAGGAATCCATGGTCGAGCGTTCTAGCCGATTCACCAAACACTCTGTAGCGTTGAGGTAGCTGGTTCAAATCCTGCCGTTACCCTGTCTGTATCTTTGTGTTGTCCTTCCCTAATTGGAGGCTATCTGTTCTTCGTCTTGACAAGGACTTATAGTCCGCGTCTTTGTAATGAGCATACAATAAATAAATGCAATAAATTGATAAAATCATCATTCATTCCTCTATATGATATTAATTTTTCCAGAAATTTGAAAAATCTCATGACGTTTCATTCAATAGCTTTTGAGTTATGACAAGAAGACAGCTCGGTGAAAATGCTCTGAAATAGAAATTCTTAGCTGAAGAATACATAAGAATGTGGAAATGGATCCATGAAATGATATTTCTGTAGATTTTTTTTTCTTCGTCGCTATTGAAAATGTTAAACAAAGCTGTAATATTGGCTCCTATTATTTATTGTTGTTGTTCATTTACGTCGCACTAGAGCTGCACAATGGGCTATTGGCGACGATCTGGGAAACATCCCTGAGGATGATCCGAAGACATGCCATCATAATTTTGATCCTCTGCAGAGGGGATGGCACACCCACTTTGGTAGCCCGACGACCTGCATGCGAAGTCGAGCACTTTACGGTAGAACAGTTTAACGAGGACCAATACCGCACACTCGCGGTCCCTACGCAGACTGATCCAAGTGGTCACCCACCGTAGCCGGTGATGATTGACTTCGGTGATCTGCTGGGAACCGTGTCTTAACAATCAGTCCACTGCGGGACCCTATTATTTATAATTTCCAAAAAAGAGAGAGAGAGAATTAAAAAAAAAAAAAAAAGAAAGAAATTTTGTTGGCAAATGTTCGGAATAACCAAATAAAATTTTTTGAATAGTGAAAAAGCGACCTCCCATCCGTGAAGAGCTGATCCGATCACTAGATCAAAAGTTATTCAGTATTCAGCTGCCCCCCCCCGCATTGGACGTTTTTATTATAAATTGTAATAATTAATAATAATTAATAATATTCTATCTTTATCTCGGTGCCAGAAAAATCCTAAATTCGCAAATTTTACGAATGTTAAATAAATTTTTTCCGAATTATTTAAAGACTTATAATTTGTAAATTTAAAAATCTCAATAAAAAAAAAACTAATATATCCATTATAATTAATTTTTTATGTCATTCTGAAATTCAAATGCTTGAAATAAATATTAGTCCCTGGTATATTAGTCCCTGAAAAGTAAATATTGTAATTGTATACACAAAAGTTGAAGCTATTTTTTTTTCAGATTAAAAAATTTATTTTAGTTAAAAAATTATCTAACCTACAATCTGCTACATATGGTTAGATAGTTTATAAATCAAAAAAAAAATTGATCAAGTTTACGACGCCTAAGCCACCAGTGAGGATTGAACTCACGACCCCTGGTTTACAAGACCAGTGCTCTAACCACTGAGCTATGATGGCGTGCCACCTAATATCATTTCTATAAAAATTTATACGCTTATTTGCGCAGTTGTATTCTAGTTTCTACTGGAAGAAAGGTAAATATTGTAACTATATAGAATCGAAAGAGCGTTTTATAGCCACTTTTATTGCTTTCTGATTCTTTACCTTTTTAAGCTTCTTCTTTAATCTTTTTCCAAAAATAGAAAAAAAATTGGCGGCAAAGTTTCTAAACGAACAACCGAGAACTCTTCTCGAATCTTTTTCAATAATATAATTATTATTTTTTTAAAAAAAAAATATCTATGCGAGGGATTACTGTTTTCAGAAAATTAAATTGGAAAGGTAAAGCCGAGAGTTTTCAAAAATCCGTTTAGTAATTTTACTGCCAATTTTTTCCCCTCCGCAGAGGATCAAAATTGTGATGGCATTTCTTCGGATCATCCTCCGGGATGTTTCCCAGACCGTCGCCAATAGCCCATTGTGCAGCTCTAGTGCGACGTAAATTAACAACAACAACAACTGCCAATTTTTAAGTCTTGGGGCGGACGTTGGTCAGCTTGCAATATCGCTATTTTGATCATAACTTTTAGCTTTAAAAAAAAAAAATCGTTAAGACACGGTTCCCAGCAGATCACCGAGGTCAAGCATCACTGGCTGCTGTCAGTGTGCGGGTGGGTGACCACTTGGATCCATTTGCGGTGGGTCCGAGGAAGTGTGGTATCGGTCCTCGTTAAACTGTTCTATCGTAAAGTGCTCGCTTTCGCGCGCAGGTCTTCGGGCTACCGAAGCGGGGGTGCCACCCCCTCTGCAGAGGATCAAAATTATAATGGCATGTCTTCGGATCATCCTCACGGATGTGGCCCAGACCGTCGCCAATAGCCCATTGTGCAGCTCTAGTGCGACGTAAATGAAGAACAACAATTTAAAAAAAAATCTTATTAATGTCTGATGACGCGTTGCACCATTGACGAGTGGATTATTTGTTTCTCAGTTTAAAAAAAAATTCTCTGATCTGATTCTTTACTAGTTGCACCATTTTGGTAATCCATGACCGTATTTTTCAGCTCCTAAGATATTGTCTGAATTGTTTCTATACGGATTCTGCCATTTTAGTAATCCATGACCGTATTTTTCAGCTCCTAAGATATTGTCTGAATTGTTTCTATACGGATTCCGCCATTTTAGTAATCCATGACCGTATTTTTCAGCCCCTAAGAAATTGCCTGAACTCTTTCTATACGGATTCTGCCATTTTAGTAGTCCATGACCATGTGTTTCGGAATATGGAACATAACTCTGGCTTGTAGCGATGTTGCGGATTTAACGAGGTGATTTGAAGTTTCGAGGTAACGGACAGCGATTTGAAGTTTTCTATCCAATGGACATATTTAAAACGAATAATAGTAATCAATTTTAAAGGAATCTAGGAAAACCTATGTTAAATTATTCTCTTCCATTTAGATGTATGTAAAAACTGACACCTGTTTTTAAATTCTTTTTTCAAGCTGGCGGTTGAGGGTTATTTTTATAAAAATTACTCAGAGTAAAAATTCAATTTAAAAATTATGTTTATTTTAGATATAACATAATTCATATGGCTAAGAGGATGGAGCGTTCGCCTTCTAATGAGGTGAACCGGGTTCGTATCCCAGCGATGCTTGGTCGATGCAAATTCCGCACCCGGCTTGCACCGACCGGGAGGTTTTCCTCTCCATGTAACGCAATCGCGGGTTAGTTCCATCAAAAAATCTTCCACGAAGGCAAATTTCTCCATATACTTGATCCAGGAGTTCCCTTGTCTTCTGGATTGCATTCAAAATTACATGGCTACGGAGTTGAACATAAGTAGTCATAAACCCTAAATTGGGACCACTGTTCAACAACGGTTATAAAAGAAAATTACAATTATAAAATATTCAGAGCAAACATGAGGTCTTTATGATGAATATATTTACGTTTGGCTTTGAGCATGGTTAAAAATTAACTTTAGTTGCAAGCTTGGTTAACAATTAGCTATGTCACAAAATGAAATTTTGGCTAGCTGTCCATTGTACCTAAAATCTAACTTTAAAACAATTATTGATTAAATGATGAAAAAATTTCTTTCCTCAGATTAATTATTTTCAAAATAATTGGGAGTATATATTTTCAATTGCTGACGAACTTTATTTATGAAGATGAAATTCCGCTAAAATAAGAGTAATCATTAATAATTCCACCGCCGAAAAAACTGGGAATCTTTGATCTAATTTATATCCAGGGCTCGCAGAATAGTGAGTCATAAATCTGCCATGCAAAAAAAAAAAAAAAAAAAANAAAAAAAAAAAAAAAAAAAAAAAAAAAAAAAAAAAAAAAAAAAAAAAAATCAACGCAAGCGACCACACAGAAATGCCAATTCTCTCCAATTCTTCCAATGCTGGTTAATTCCATCAAAAAGTTCTCCACAAAGGCATATTTCTCCCAATACTTGATCCAAAAGTTCCCTTTTCTTCTGTGTTGGGTTCAAAATTACATGGCTACGGAGTTGAGCATTAGTAGTCCTAAACCCTAAATTGGGTCGGCTGTTCAACGACGGTTATAAAATAAAATAAGATAAGATATTCATGACTATCATGACTTTTTCAGCAGTCAAAAAACTTATAAAGAACTGTTTAAATGAAATAAAATATATATGTTATGTTATAAAAGGAAATAACATGTATATATGTTATAAAATAAAATATACATGTTATAAAATGAAATTCGTGTATTTTTAATATTGAAAATAAGTTACAACGTCAGTACTAAGATACATCCAAGCTTGTGGCAAGATTCGATATGAAAAGTAGTAAACTAATAAAAACTAACATAATTATAAAAAGAAAATCAACAAAAAACTACTCAAAAAATCTTGATTATAGTTTTATTGATTGATAACAAATAATTTTATTGATTTAAAACAATATGGGTTGATAGCAAGTTATTTTATTAAAAAATGTTTTTACAAAAAAAAATAAAAAAACAGCTTTGTGAATAAAACAATTTGCATGTATACCACATTTAAAAAAGAATAATCATAAAAAAAATTTCAGGAACAGAAGTTTAGTAAAACAAGTAAAAACAGTATATAAGTAATTTGCACAAAATTTTACTAGACTTTTGCACATATAAGACATAACTTTAAGGGCTTTTTATGTTCCTTATGTTGTGGTGGTAAAAATAGTTTTAAATCAAATTTCCCAGAGAAATATATAGAATAGGCTATCACTAGAAAATATTGCTCATAAAAATCATAAAAGTAGGCCGGCATGATTATAGATAATGATAGACAAGAGGAATTTTTTTTTCTTTGCTGGCTACAAGGCTATGGAGTTGAATATTGGTAGTCGTAAACTCAAAATTGGGTTAGCTGTTCAATAAGGGTATTAAAATAAAATTAAGATGGAAATTTTCTCAATCTTATCAATTTTCTTATGATGACATGCGATTATGAACCGACAATGATTTTAAGCCAACATCTAAACATCACATGAAAAAATCCATAACAACTTATACGTTTTTAATGCAAATTTATCAACAATTGTATTTTTTACTTCACATTTTTAAAATTGCATGCAACAATTCAGATTAAAAACACATTAAATATTAAGTAGAAAAACTAGTTTAAATTAAAGAAATAAAGAACATCTGTGTAGTTTGACTTATACACAAATAAAAATGTATTTTTTCTCTTAACTTTTAGCAACAAAATACAATCTTAAAACGAACGTAGATCACCGGAGAAAATGTTTAATAAATTTAAAATAAAATATACATTATAATGATAAAAAAAATAGCTGTTTTGCAAATTATGAATTTTTTTCATTTGCAAATAAATCTTGTTAAATTTTCCAATTCGCATCGTAATGCCAATAAATTATTCCTAACAAAAAGTACAGGAATATCTATACATAAAAATTTAAATCCAATATTTGAATTTTTAATATGTAACCTGCATTCACAAGATGCAGGTTATGAGAACTATACTATTGAGAGTACACATTAGTTCTGTCCGTTCTCAAAAGATGGCTCAGACTGTTATGAATGTTTCATAGTGATGACTGGTTTCGGTAGTTTCAGAGAGGTTGGACACAGGGCAAAAGGGCTGGTTCACTCCTTTGAAGTAGCTCTCGCCGCGCCAATCCTCCGATTTTCTCTACTGACGACACTTTGGCGCAAAGCTCGCACTTTTACTTCAAGAACGGAGCGTTCGGCCTTACTAGCTCTAACTAATATTGGAGCATTTCTTTTTGCGAGATATTCTAAGACATTCGTTATTTTCTATAATGACTTTCCCCAGTTTTTGCAGTGAATTTACAAGAATTTAAAACCATTATCGAAATGCCAGTTCGCGCGATTGCAACTTGAAAAAATTTTGATAGAAAAACAAAAGGAAACGCGTGTTCCCTAAAGTAAATGAACAACTATGTAAAGAATGGATTCCGAAATGACACAGTTAATATAAAACAGCAATACGTTTATTCTGTCGTTAAAAACTTTTATAAAAATTCATTATCTAAGTATTCATTATCTTCAAAAAGAAAGGCAGGTGAAAAAAATTAAAAATTGGATGAAGTCAAAGAAAATTAAAATGTAAATAAAAAGTATAAATAAAATATATAGTATATAGTTGGAATTCTCCTAATTTCATAACATATTTTTTAATGTAGTTATTCTAAATATTTATGATTTTTTTTAAAAATTATATTCTCTTCAATTTAAATATCTATAAATTATATCATCGTAAATTTAAATGTCTATAAACAATTGTAAAATTTCTAATGTCATTATGAACCTAAATTATTATTTTGTTTCAGTAATTAGCGTTTAAGGTTGATGTTTCCTAATGATTAAGTATGAACAAATTGCTATTAGCAGCGTATTTTAAAATCAGGGATTCTAAATTTAACTCAACTTATTGTTATAAAAGAAAATGTAGATTAAAAAAAGTGTCGATATATGCTTTCATTTATCTTAATAATTAAAGTTAAAACTGAACTTTTTAAAATAAACTATTTATAGCGTCATTTTCGCCAACTAGTAAAACATTTTTATAAGTTTAAAATGGTATTTTTTTTAATATAATGGCCAAGAAAGTTTTTTTGAACTATGTTTATGAACGGAAATAATGTGTTAATTACGTAAAGTTTGAAAGCTAATAACCAGAAAATGTCTAACTTATTTTTACAAAGAGAAATATGCAAAGTCATCATAATATCTTTGTTTGCGATCTCCGAGATCTGTGGACACAGTGACGTCATGAGGAGGGAAATCGTAGCTTCAGCTCAAAGAGCGGAGTGAACTAGCCCTTCTATTCTCTTTAGCCCTGGGTTGGACATCTGTCAATAATATTCGGTTTACATCACTTTGAGTTTCATACAAAAACCCCGTTTTTTACTTTGTTGAATATGTCAAATTTTGTGGTAACTTAACTAAGCAGCATTTGTGGGAGGTTTTATGTTTCTGCTTTAATTGCAAAAAAAAGTGCAGCTGAAGCGCATCGAATGCTTGTAGAAGTTTATGGTGACAATGCTCCAACTGATAAATCATGTAGAGAACGATCTCTACGTTACAAGAATGGTGTTGTATACTACGAGCTGCTACAACCTGGCGATTCCTTTATGGGCGATCGGTATAGGCTACAATAGATTCCGTTGAGCCGTGCATTACGAGAAAAGCGGCCGGAATATGTGCAAAGACATGACAAAGCTATTTTTCTGCATGATAATGGTTGGCCTCATGTCGCAAAAAATTATTTGGAAAAAGCTCAAGTGGGGTATTTTACCACACCCGCCGTATTTACCGGACATAGCTCCTTCTGATTACTGGTTGTTCCGACGGATGCAACACAGGTCACCGGTTCACTTCTTTTGCAGAAATAGAAAATTGGCTCCTAACTTGGATCGCCTCAAAAGACGAGAAATGTTTTGGAGATCGGTAAGATCGGTTTTTTCGAAAATTGCCTGAGAGGTGGGAAAAAATAGTAGCCAGCGATGGACAATACTTTGATTAATCTGTTGATTCATTTTGTTCTGAGATAAATGCATTTTTGACTACAAAAAAATAGACCGAACTAATTTGTACTCCCAATAAAAAGCATAAAAATATCAAAACATGAAAACCAATCACAATTATACGCCATTGCCTAGAAAGCTATTTTAACTTATAAACTTATACTCTAATAAAGCATTCATATTATAAAAGATGAGATTATAAAAATGAAACTAGTTACAGCAAAATGAACAATTATTTTTAAAATTTATAACTGTAAAAAGAATTTCTTTATAAGTAAAATATTAGGAAATAATGTCCACCAAAATATCACTAAAAATTTTTTTCCCTGAAAAAGCACCAGCTGCCTCAGTTCCCTTTCTCAACATAAGAGTTCCATAGACTTTACAGGTTTAACATAAAAATGTCCAATATCTAAGTTTTTACGTCCTTAATCATAAAATGGAATTCACAATGAAAAATCTCCTCTTAATAGCATAAATCATGCAGTGATCATGCTTCTGTTACATTTCTGCAATCAGTGGGATGTTTGACAAAATTTTCCTTAGATACAGTAGAGTATTCCTTTATATTAAAACTCGCAACTTTTAATAAAAATATATTGCAGTAATTTTTATTAAATAAGATAAATATAGCACTCTTAACGTAAATTTGGTTCATTTAAAACAAATACGTTCAGTGAGTTTAAAAAGAGATATATCACCTTGAATAACATTTGTTCAAATGATCTAATCTCAAATATATTAACTTCTATAAATTAAGTTACAGAATCAGAAACAAAAATGGGCTCTCGCAAAATCGACTCATTTCAATTCGTGATTATTTAAATATGAATTGGGTAGCTATAATTTAGAAAATGAGGTCCCTATAATTTAGTCATGAAAGATTAGGCCCCTCAAAGTTAAATCTCACCTTTTGGATATTTGATAATTGATTTGAGCAAGCCAACTATTTGCACATAAATAGAGAATTTATTTATCTGAAGATAAACAGATTACTTTTAATAATTTAAAATAATTTATTTTTAATAATTACTTATTTTATTTAAAAATAGTTGAAAAAGTTTCGAATGGTAAGAAGCACAAATTTTTCATGTATTCCTAATTACATCATTTAATAAAAAAAAATTTTAAGTATGTACTTTCAAATAAAATACAAAATTTTAAGAAAATCACTCAAATTGTTAATACTTGATAATATACACGAAAAAAAAGCTAAATTTTTAAATTTTCATTTCTTAAGAACTATTTTACCAATTTTGTTTAAATTTTGTATTTTCACCCATTTGAACCATTAATATTGGCATCTAATTCACAAAAATCTGATCATAAAAGGAAAAGTTATCCAAGAGGATGTCTCTTTTCTCTATTGCTCACTGTTCATAGCCTTTTGAAAATAATGGATAATAAAAATAATGAAATAATAACTAAAAGGAAAACATCTAATAAAACACTGCATATAATTCTAGCCGTTCCCTTACCCATTTAATTATAACTTTAAAAAAATTCCCTTCCTATAGCATATGTGTTTAGACTAGCATTTGGTATCATTATACTAAAATGACAATAAATTTAAAAATCAAAATTTGATCATTACATTAAAATGATAGTCATAATAATTTACATAAAATTATAAATAATTTGAAAAATAGCACTTGAATATTCAAAGATACACGTGATATATATCTTAAGTATAAGGTTAAAAAAGTCTAAAATTTTTTTAAAAAATTTAAAAGTTTATTAAACAAAAATGATTTAAAAAGTATATATTTTCTTTTTTTTGTGAGCTGATTTCGTGATTTATTATTAAGAATTTATAAACTTTTGAAAAACAATATACTATATTTATGACAGTAAAACTATCTAAAATCCTACACACATTAGCGTAAATCAAAACCATATTAACCCCCTAATCTCTTAGAAAATTTTGCACTGAAACTTCCTCACGTCTAACTCAGATTATATAGGAACAATCAGTTTTTTAAGGCAAAAAAGCACCATCAACTTGAAGATTTAATAAAGTTGGGACTCAAAATCAGTAAAGGGTTAAATAATAAAATTTAACACTGAATAAAATTGGTAAAAAAAAAATTAAGAAAAAAAATTTTTTTTTTTAAAAAGCAAACATAAAAATATATATATATATAAGAGCTCATAAACAATCTAGTAACAATATCACAAAATAGAAATTTCATCATTTAAAATCTGAAATGATTCACAATAATGATTCATACTAAACAATTCATTAAAACATGGCCGATAGAACAGATTTATGATTCCTCATCACTTTCTGCCATAATATCCTCCCAATCATCTTCAGAAATACTTCGATTTGGTGTCTTCTTTAAACTATCATTTGGCACACAATTCAGGAAGAAAGAGGAATGTCGAAACACACACTCATTTTTTATTCCCCACAAATCATCATCTTGAGTCACTATAAAGAAAAAATTAATATTTAGAAATATATATATATGATAACAAAGTTTTAAATTAGCACATTTAATCACAATGAAAATACGTGGTTAAAATTTGTGTATAAATGAAAAAAGTTCCAAATAAATATTTTAAATTTTTAATATATATTTATAAAAACTTGATTATTTTATTTGAGAGTTTATTGAATTATAAAACTAGCTAATCAATAAGACTAAAATTTAGTTTAAAGTATTTTACTAATTGGTTTCTTAATTACATTACTCATAAGTAGATCATAGATATTATTTATAGGTTTCATTAAATTATTCATCAAAAGAATTTAATAAAAAAACCTCATCAATCATTAATTTATCATTAATTTTAATGAAAAAAAAATCTTACATAATAAAGAACTTTTCTTTTAATATAGAAATTCTAAATAAAGCCATTATAGGTGATACTGGCCCGAGATCAGAAACAAAAAAGATTGATAAAATTATTCTAAAATAGATCATTAAATTTTTTTTTAAATCTTGCATATTAAGAAAATTTCTAAATAAAACAATCTGCTTTGATTTGTTCTGTTATAACAAATAATTAAACAGTCATATGTTTTGAGTATCTAACCTAATATGTCAATAACATAACACTCCAATTCTACCACAACTTAGCTTGCATTAACTTTTTTTCAATAAATAAATTTTTTTCATGTAGGCCGTAATTCAGGATATCTTCAATTTCAAAGAAAAGTAACAATGATCAAAATTATACAACAACACTATGTTTTTTAGCTTTAATCTTGCTTTGCAGCAATGTATAAAAATACGTTAAGAGATAAGGAAGGAAAAAGTTTAAAGAAAAATAAAAGAAAGAAAATGATTTATTCAATTTTGACCCATGGAGCCGCGATAGCTCAGGGAATAGAGCATTTGCCTTCCAATGAGAAGAAACGGGTTTGAATCTCAACGACGGCTGGTCGATACAAATTTGGCATCCGGCTTGCACCAACCGCAGTGCTGACGAGAAACATCCTCAGTGGTAGACGGGTTAGAGTCCCCTAGCTAACGGGTTAGAGTCCCCTAGCTGTAAGGCCTGTAGGAGGTTCTCGTGAACTTCCTCTCCATGTAACGCAAATGCGGGTTAGTTCCATCAAAAAAGTCCTCCATGACGGCAAGTTTGTCCCAATACTTGATCCATGAGTTTCCTTTGTCTTCTGGATTAGGTTCAAAATTACAAGACCACGTAGTTGTACATTAATAGTCGTAAACTCAAAAATTGGGTCAGCTGTTTAACAACGGTTATAAAATAAAACTTTGATCCATCATTCTATAATATATTGGGTGTACAAATTAGTTCGGTCCGCTTTTTTGTGGTCAAAAATGAACTTATTTCAGAACAAAATGAATGAATAGATTAATCAAAGTATTGTCCATTGCTGGCTACTACTTTTTCTCACCTCTCAGGCAATTTTCGAATTCCATCTTGAAAAAATGTCTCGTCTTTTGAGGCGATCCAAGTTTGGAACCAATTTTTGATTTCTGCAAAAGAAGTGAACCGGTGACCTACCAAATCGTGCTGCATCTGTCGGAACAACCAGTAAGCAATGTCCGGCGAATACGGCTGGTGCGGTAAAAGATCCCCTTTGAGCATTTCCAAGTACTTTTTTGCGACATGAGGCCGACCGTTACCATACAGAAGAATAACTTCGTCATGTCTTTGCTCGTATTCTGGCCGTTTTTCTCGTAATGAGCTATTCAAACAAATCAATTGTAGCCTAAAACGATCGCCCGTAATGGAATCGCCAGGTTGTAGCAGCTCATAGTATACAACATCATTCACCATTCTTGAAACGTTGAAACCATTTCCTACGTGATTTATCAGTTGGAGCATTGTCACCATAGATTCTACAAGCATTCGATGTGCTTCAGCTACACTTTAAAGCAGAAACATCAAACCACCGCAAATGCTGCTTAGTTAGCACAAAATTTGTCGTATTCAACAAAGTAAAAAACAGGGTTTTTGTATGAAACTCAAAGTGATATAAACTGAATATTATTGACAGATGTCTAACCTCTCTGAAACCACCAAAACCAGCTATCACTATGAAACATTCATAACAGCTAGAGCCATCTTTTGAAAATGGACTGAACTAATTTGTACTCCCAATACTTTTATACAAATACCATAGATTATACTGTTACGATGGTTTAAAGACACAAACTACTACTTATCATTTTAACCAGTGATCGTTTATTTTATGCACATTTTGTTGAATTAATTTACATACTTTAACTATTTAAAATATTCAAATTAATAATACTTTAATCAATAACAAATTTAATTAATTTAAAATACTTTGATTAATAACAAACTAATTGGCACGGAGAGAACTTACCCATACTGATGTTCATTATAAAAGTTGGTGAGCCTCTAATGACTCGGTTCTACTCTCTCTCTCGTTTGTTTTCTTTTTTTGATCTTTTGTACTATATTTTTTGTTCTATAAAACTATTGCTAAATTCTGGGAAGGTCACATAAGAGATCAAAACTTGGACTATAGAGTTGTGATTAACCCTTTTCGACACATATTTCTTAACTTTAATCAAGAGTGTTTATTAGTTAGAGAAGAGAGTTAAGGTTCTACGTACTAATGGAAGTTTCCACAGTATTTTAAATCTAATCAATTATTTTGCAATTTACGATAAATCTATTTTAAACGTTTTATTGTGATTCTCAATTAAGTGACGATAAGCGTCACAATACATACCAGATAAGGAATTCATATTCCCAGGAATTTGTTTCCAGTAATCTCCGCACGGACTTTTTTCAGATACACCAAATCTTCGGTAAATTTTCCCTGAGTTTTTAAGAAGCCACACTGCACTTTTACTAATGCACAAATCTTTAGCCTTCAACTCTGGAACACATGTCCACTTTTTTCCAATAGGTAAATTATTAGTTACACCTTCACGAACATAAACACTACGTTTATTATCTACAGCCCATACTGGATGGCCAAGAGGACCAACATAAACCTAAAATAAATTAGGAAAAGTATTACACTATTTTTTCAAGATTTCAAGAAAGCAATTATGAAGAATTATGTTCATAAAGTAAAGGGATTTATTAAGCAATCAACAGATGATGTTAATGGGTATTAAAATTTCAGTTAACTAAAATTTAAAAAGAAGAATTTACATGAATTATTCTAAATGATGAAACAAGTTCTTTTTTGAAAACTGAACTTCTCAAAGAAGTAGACAACTAGTCCTTTTTTTCCTTTTGTAATGTAGACAATCATTCATATGAAGTCAACTTAAGGCCAAAATATAAATATAGTTCGTTCACCAGGGGTTGGCACTTGGCTCCACCTCCTCGGACAAAGAGGTCATTTCAACGAGGGAGTAAGAGGAGAAACGTCTCCGTGCTTGAAATTGAGACAACCCTTAATGCTCGCCAAACGCAAACAGTGAATTCTTTTTCAGTCACTTACGTCGCTTTATCATCTGCTATTGTACCTTTCGTTGCTCTTGCTAATTAAATAAATTTAAAAACTGCTGTTTTCCCAGCAAAATGTCTCAAAAAGGATAAACTATTCACTCAAAAGAGAGAAATACGTAGCATAAAATTTATGAAATATTTAATATTAAAAAAAACGCACATAATGCGAAATAAATATTTTTCTCATATGGTTACCAAATAGCAACCTTGTTCAGGATTGTTCACATCCATCTCCAAAAATAGTGAAATAGTATAATTAGATACCACGTGATGAAGGCGGAGCCAAGAGCCAACTCCTGGTGAACGAACTATAGTTGCTTCAACTTTATTTAAAATCTAAACAAATACTAGTCTTGAAACGCGCTTGTTCCTCCCCAAGCAGGGTTTGTTACGAAACAGAAATAGTTTAACCTCATTTCCGGCTTCAAATAACAACAAAAGTTGAAAAAACAAAACAGCTTCACTTTCTTCCTCCTATTGCCTATTAAACAGGACTTAAGTTAAATTACAGTGGGAAACAAATTTTTTGTTGCATTTATACAAGCATACTTGGATCTTACATAATAGGGGAGAAGGAACTTTAAATGTAAAATTTGTTTTGCTTCATAAATTGCAGATTTTATTTCAAAATGGCATTTTTAGTTTATTTTTTTATCAGAATGTGTAAGTTTACTTACAGAACTATAGGTTTATATACATATATTTATACTTTTGTATGCTCCTTTTAAAATAACACTACAGACATAAATGACCTTAATGTTTCTCAACATATAATGAAATGTATAAAAACTTAATTCACAGCAAAATATGCAGCTTTGAAAAAATAAATACTGCTGCAGTTTTGATAAAAATAAAATACTATATAAATAAAATAAAAATAAAATATGAAATACCTTGGTGAAAGAAACTTCAGTGTTGTTGTTTTGATTCACTAAAGGTAATGGAAGCTTCTTCCCTATGGCAGAAAGCTTGAATGGAAAAATAAAAAGTTAAGCTTTGTAAATAAAAGAATAACAAGCAAAGAAATTTGTAAATTGTTAATCATTACAGTCTTGAATCTCATAGTAAAAATTATGCAAACTCCTAGAATATGATGAAAAATATAGTATTTATATTTATTAAATATAAGAAATTTTTTTTTTACTCTCTTAAGTATAAAAATTAAATAATTACTATAAAATATAAGCTTGATTACAGGCATACGAGTGGGAAAAGAACAAAAAGTCTGAAAATAACCTCTAAAAATAAATAAGAATGTATGGGAAAATATTTTAAACAAAAAAAAACTTTTAAATTACTTACATACGTTTTTAATATATCTTACTATGTGTGCACATTGACAATTTGTTACAAATTTTATACCAATCATAATTAATAATCATAATTAGGGAGAATAAAATAATAATAATGAAAAAATATAACAGACTTCATAGTGGTACAAAATAAAAATCAGACCTACATTTTAGAAAAAAATCAGGACATTTTTTGGTACAATAATAACATACTTGACTATCTTTAAGAAAGAAAAACTAAGACCTAAAAAAATAGTGCGATCCACAGCTGTGAAAATTTCGTTTAGCGACTACATTTATTTTTAATTTTCCGCAACCTTACAAAAAATGAAAAAAATAAATAAATTAAAAAGTTTGGCAACATTTCAAATAAAACATTGAAATAGGAATAAAATGATTAAAAATGATTTTAAAAAATGGTGTGGTTTCGCCCACGTGTACATACAGTGAGAAATCTCAAAATTTGAATTTTCTTGACAATAGTAATGATTCCTCAATATAAAGAAAAATCGAAATTAGTTTAAAAGAAACCTGATAATTATAGTTATTTTCATGCAACAAAATATTTCTTCAAAACTAAATCATATATAACCTACATGCCAAAAAATGAATTTTTACAAAAAAAAAAAAATGTTTTGTAAATGCAGTGCAAACTGGAAACAAAGATCATCAAAATAAAAATAAAAAACCACAAAATTAAACCATTATTTAAAGTAAATAAACACTGAAAAATGCTTTCAATTTTCCAATAAATGAAATGAAATGGAAAAGAAATGGAAAACAATGTTTTCACTGCAATTTGGAAAAAAGGTTACAACTTAAAAAAAAGGTTACAACTTAAAATTTTTAGTAAGTTCCTCTTTTAACACCCCTTTCCAATTATCATTCGGACAATTATCAAAAAAATTTATACACCAAAAATGCTGTCTTTTTTATAAAAATATCAAAAATCTGAAACAACACTACAAGTCTGAAGGTTTAGTTATTAATGGCTGGCCCCCAAGTTCAAGATACCGTACGTTTTCAATTCCATGATACAAAGAACAACATAATAAAAAGTTAAACACAACATTTTAAACTATTTTTGCCCTTATAAACTAATTAAAACTATATATCTTCAATTTTATAAATTTTACTTCTTTTATTTAATTCAAATTTTATTGGCAACCATATTTTGGAAAAATTGAACAACAATAAAAGAATTGGCGCTACAATCTGCTCATGCGTTAAGAACAATTTTAATTGTGATTTGAACACATGATTCAAAACATTGATCTGAATCCCACTTATCCATTATAAATTCCCACGGACAGCACAGCTTGATTTGACTTAATAGCATGCCTCCATTAACAAATTTCTTACTTTTTTATTAACTATTTCTAGATACAAAATCAAATTTTCTAGTTAAGTATTTTGTAATAACAATAAAAAAGTTTATTAAACTTTTAAAATAGTTTGTATTTATAACATGAGTCATATAAATATTGTACTGTCTATCACAAGACCTTTTTCTCTATTTAAATGATAAAACTTAATAAAATTTAATTAAATTAAAAAAATAACTTCATTATTGCTTACTGAAGAAGGAGAATTTTAAAATAAAAATAGGTTTTAACCATGTCTTTTTTTCTGTAATATCAGTCACATTTAATATTTTTATTCTGAATAAAATATTAAAATTTTTTATCCCATTTTCTTCTATGCATAATAAAATTAGGTTAATGAAATACATCTAATGTAATATTTACAAAAAAATTATTAAATATTTATCAATGGAAAAGGTTTAAAACAAAAAACATTAACAATATAAACAAAGAAGTTCTGTTCAAACAAAATAAAACTTCAAAATTAAATCTAATAAATAGAAAGAAAATCTATACTAACCGTATCAACTATTGGTGACACATTAACTTCAACATCGGCACTTAACGGAATCCATGCTTGAAGCAACTTCCTATCAGAGGAAGGGCAAAGTGTTCCAAATCGAATGAAAATATGTCCATCAGCTGAACAAGCCCATGTAGCTTCTGGTGAACAACTAACATGGGTGATTTTTTCTGAACCTAAACTTAAAAAAAGATGGCACATAAGTAAAAGTTGACTCATAAATACAATCAGGTGTTTAGGAGTAATCTGAGAGTATCAATGTTCATTGGCTTTGAAGCAGCGACTATGCAATTTTAGAGTAACATTGCAAAAGTTGTGTCTTTTGTTTACTCATAATTTTGAATAGTAATGGGTATTTAATTCATAAAAATAATTAAGATTTTTAATTTATTGAAAAAGGAGTTCTGTATAAAAATAAACTGAATATTTTAGATAAAAAAAAATTTAAACTGATTTATATAAATGAGGCTCGCTTCATTTTATAGTAGTAATACTTATTTAAATATTAGCAATAATTTGTGCAAAAATTCTATTATAGGGAGTTTTCAGGAAACTTACTCAATTTTAGGGAACTTTCTAAAATATACAAAAACTATGAGAATTTTTATTAAACCATTAGAATTAGCAAAATCCAGTAGTCTACTGGAAAATCTAGTAGTGTTGGCAGCTATGTGAATTTATTTGGGGCAATAACGTTACTCCAACCTGGCACAATTATAGTTATCTGAATAAAATCTTGCTTTTATCATTATTTAATTTAATGCAGCATATTGAACTAATCAATAATGCAAACTCAATAAAAACACAGCAAATATTTATTTTATTTTCTGATTTCTATTTGGAATAACCTAACACTCCATAATTTCTCTAGCAAGCAATTTTAAATTTAAAGGAATACTATTGCAAATCACAAAAGTATCCATTTTATTTTTATGTAATCAATGAATCAGTTATAATTTACTTTGCAAATACAATGAATTAGTTATCTAACAATAATAGTACATGGTTTTAAATCATAGTGTATATCTATTTTAGTTTAATGAAGAATGTAATAGTTAAAACAGTTTCTACGAAACTTGATTAGCTTAATTACTTAAGCTGTTTAAATATATAACAGATACAGCACTGCGAACATTACATAATCTAGTGCAAGAGCGTCATGGCCGGAGACATTTCTGTAGCATCCGCCTGGGAAGAAAAGGCAATGCATAAAAATGTTGGTATTTTCCTTAAAGAAAGAAAGATGAAACTTTCGAGAAAGTTGGAAAACTTTTAGATCATTTTCTAAAAGAGATTGCAACACTGAATTTGGTTATGTAAACAACTTCAGTTGTGAGGGCTCAGGGGACAGAGTGTTTGCTTCCCAATGAGGCGACCCAGCAATGAATCCCACTGATACCACGTTGATTCTAATTCTGCTTCCAGCTTGCACAGACCACAGTGCAGACAGAAAATCTACTCAGTGGTAGATTGATCATGGAGTAGATTACCTTTGAAATTGAGATATTCATGGGAGATTTTCCTTTCCATGAAACTCAGCTGGATTTAGCTGTGGTTTAGGGGATAAAGTGTACACCTTCCAATAAGGCGAACTGGGTTCAAATCCCAGCAATGGCTGGTCTATATGAATTCCGCACCTAGCTTGCACGAACTACAGTGCTGGCATAAAATATCCTCAGTGGTAGACGGATCATGGGTGAAAGTCCCTATGGGTTTCTTCCAGTACTTGATCCAGGAGATCTCTTGTGTTCTGGATTGGGTTCAAAATTACAAAGCTACGGAGTTCATTGGTAGTCGTAAACCCGAAATCGGGTCGGCAGTTCAATGCCGGTTACAGAATATAAAATTAAATTAAACACAAATGTGTGTTAATTTCCATCAGCAAGTCCTCCATGAAGGCAGTTTATTTCATACTCAATCTAAGAGTACCCTTTTCTTCTGGGTTGAGTTCAAAGTTATAAAATCATTGATAGCTGCATAACCAAAAATGGGTCTGCTATTCAAGACCAGTTATAAAATAAAATAAAATGCAAACAATTGGTTATAGAAAACTCATACCTAATTGATGCAAATCAAGATTTTGCCACCAAACTCCTTGTAAGCAGCCAGGCGTGATGCCTCTCCTTATGTATAAAGAGCCATCTTCCGCCAACAGCCACAAAGATTGCAAGCTAGGAATCAAGCATTTAATACCAGACACATTTGGAGATTCTACAGCCAGTAGGGTATTTGTAGAAAGTGATAAACAATAAATCTCTCCGGTTGCATTAACACACCAAACAGAATCTAAAATGAATAAAATAATTTTTAAAGCAAGCTTGCTGAAAAAATATTATGACATTACAAAAATGTAATTGTTAATTTAAAAAAATTTATTTCTTTGATAAAAAAAATCAAAATAAAATCTGGACAGTTAATATCCATATATTAATATTCATAATTAGAGCCCGGATTTTGATGACCTAAAAAATCTCAACTAATGCCCTTAAAAAGTGCACAAAATGCCCTTAAAAAGGGCAAAAAATGCCCTTAAAAATGCAAAAATTGCGCAAAAAATGCCTTAAATAAAGTAAAAATATTGAATTAAAAAAATGTTTTGCTCTTTAAAATTATTATGAGTCATTTAAAAGATATAAAGCAATGCAATACTTGTTCTACGCTCATTAAAGTTTGAAAAATATGTTTTATATCCTAAAATAACAAAAAAAGGAAAATATATTGACACCAAAATATTTTTATTTTGTATAGAAACTTTAATGGATATAACAACTTCTATCTCATAATATTACTAAATATGAGAATTACATTGAATTATTAAACGTTTTTTGATAATTTGAAATGTAAACGAGCGTCTCTTGTCTGAAAGTAAATTTTCATTCCTGCAAAAGCTTCTTTCAACGTCTACTGATGTTATAGGTTATATATTCTTTGGTTATAGGTGCGTACTTGAAAAAGACGGTCTTACTTACTGACAATTCTTCTTCAATTTGAAAAGATGTTGCTTCACCTGTTAATATCCTATAGATTTTCTTTATTGTTTGGAAGCCAGTGTAATAATGAAAATTGATAAAAAAAATAATAAAAATTTTCAAAAATTAACAGAAAACTTTAAAAAATGCATTAAAATGCAAAATACGCCCCAAAATTTCAAGAAAAATGCCCTATAAATCTAAAATAATGCTCTAAAAGACAAAAAATGGCCAAAAATGCAAAAAAATGCAAATGTCATCAAAATCCGGGCCTTATTCATAATTAATATCCATATACTATAGTAATAACATTTTCTTCTCCAAGACAATTTTTTTTACATTTCAAATTTAACATAAGATTTTGGTACTTATCCATATCAATGTGCCGTAAAAAGCTATCACCACAGTACTCATATCGGGTACTATATTAGTATATTTGGTTCCTATTACCTTATTACACTAAAATGAATTAATTATACACCACTGGTGTCAATGATAATTTGGCTGTTTTTTTTTTGTTTTTTTTTACTGCTTCTTTGTTAACAAAATTATCACCATTCAAAATCAAATATTACATTGTTTGCACTCTGCAGTAATCTATAACAAAAGACAAGTTTTGATGCAGTTTCTAAACCTAAACAATTTCTCAATTCACTATGCACTAAGGAGAAATTCGACAAGATTCTCTCAAGTCCAGCAGAAACTAGCAGGCGTCGCCATCAAGGAACAAGCAAGATTTGTAAAACTTTCATCTATTGCATATTTTTTAAAACTGGACCACAATGTAGCAGCTGGGGTAGTTGTCAAAACTTGACTGGTAAAATAAGTTTCAGGAAATGGGTCCGATTTGCTTTATATAAATATTTTATATACTGCACTCCAAGTATTTAATATAAACAAAATAATATATATTTACAAACAATGAATTAAAAATTTTGTTACTGTTACATGGAGTTATATTTTTCAGTTAACTTAAACAAAATGTCATTAAGCAATTACTAGAACTAATATAGACGTCTTTTTAGTTTCTGCCAGTTTTTACCGGTTATAACCAGTTTCTGCCCACAAAAAGCCAACCCTGATCCCAGTAGCTGTCTCGTTGAAATATATGAAAAATTTACCCCGACCTGCCCTTATTTAGGGCATACGGATAAATGTTTATTAAAATCCAAAAAACAGTGCAAAACATAAAATACATATCAGACATGGCAAACAGCCCATGAACTTGGCGGGCGAGTAAGATTAATATTAAGCAATAGTGTAAAAGTGAATTCTAAAACCTGGGAAAAGCCCCAAAACAAGTAAAATCATAAAAGTAATTTAACTACAAATACTAAAATGAGCAAATTTAAAATCTATGGGAAATTAAAACTTGGGTGAAATAGTAAAACTTGAAATTGACGAATCATATTAAATCCAACAAATATAAAACCAACATCGTTGTGTAAACAGATAAGGTGATAAAAGCAGGTGGAAAGTTTTAAAAGTCGATAGTTAAAATCAATAAGCAAAAAGTTAAAATGTTGGCAGGGTGGAGGGAATAGTTCAAGAATCAGAAGAAATAGTTCAAGTATTATAGTTTAAGTACAGTCTAAAATGTTCTCTAGGGTCACTTTGATGATGTATTTGATAGTATTCCCGCAGGCAGATTAGAAAAGAGTTGGGTTTCAGTATTATTATTTTGAAAGTCAGTGCCACGACGCATCTGGAATTCCGGACAGTCAAGTAATAGATGTCTTATATCCTGGAATTCACCACAGAAGTTACAGTTTGTGGATCTCCCGAAAAGGCGGTATTGATGGTTACTGAACATGCCATGGTCTGTAAGAAATCGATTTAGATAAAAATCTGCCTGCAGTCTGGTGGCTCTTGGATCTTTAAAAAATGTAAAAGTTTGCCGTCCTTTAGTGCCGTTTGTTCGTTCGCTTTTCCACCGTGTCATGACATATTAATTGATTATCGATTTGACCTGTACATGGGTAAGTTGGACAGTGAAACCCACTCGGTCGAGACTGATGGCTTCCTTGGCTGCCCGATCCGCCGCTTCATTACCCAGTGTCCCCACATGAGCTCTAACCCAATTAAGAGTAATACCTTTATGCCATAGTTTTTGAATTTCAATTACTGTAGTGTTTTTGTGAGTGGGGTTAGCTAGGGCATAAAAACCATGAAATAAATATATCATTAGAGCTATACTTAAACAAAAATTAAATTACCAACATTATTCATATTAGTAACATATTTCAACAATTCCAATGAAGACTTAAGCAATTGCTCTGAAAACCTGTGTTTTATATTTTACTTAATAAATATATATGAATTTTGTAGTTGGAATATTTAGATATTTTTTGAAAGCTTGAAGACTTAATGATAATTAATAATTATTATTGAAGAATTCTAAGGCATTTAAATACATAAAAAATATTGGCTAAAACTTATTTTTAGATAATATATTTAAGTAAGGTCAAAGAGATAAGTTAATGATTTGTTAATTTCAATGTTAAAGAATGACATTAAAAAAAATAGTTTAACACAATTTATAGGTTATATAATTTAAATATGATATAATTTATATATTGATATTTTTAGTAGGAATATTTAGATACTTTTTGAAAACTTGAAGACTCAAGGATAACTAATAATTCTCATTGAAGAATTATATCTAAGGCATTTAAATCCATAAAAATTGTTAACTTAAAATTATTTTTAGATAATATTTAAACAAGGTCAAAGAAATAAGTTAATGTTTTGTTAATGTCAAAGAACGATATTAAAAAAAATAGTTTAACACAAATTTTTCAGTTTAAATAAAAGCATATCCAGTTTTCAAAGGGGAAAAAAACTCTGAAAAATCTAAGCTTAGTCTTGTAATAAATAAACTGTAAAGTTTAACAAATATTAATTAATATTAGATTATTAATTTTTAAGTGTGTTAATTAAGCTTGTTCAGATATGAGATGCAATTATATATAACAAACAATTATAGAAGCCGAGGATAGCATTGCTTACAGTAATCAAACAGCTTTGGCGTAAATTGCTCATGTACTTCAATGTTTCATGCATTGCAATGAGTTTTCATACATTTGAGTGAAACGTTAACTTACCTCGTTAACCTTACTTAAATATTATCTAACAAAAATTTGTACCTTTTTACAAATATTCTTTTAAAAAGGTAATAAAATTGTAATATGTGATATAGATTAACAAAATATATAAATTTTGGATTTTACCTTCAGACGATGTTAAACCAGACGCCGACAGTAAAGACCACTTTGTGGTAATAGATGTGCCCTGAGGAATAACTACATCCCACATGTGACCTACAAAGGGATTTTTAAAAAAATATTTGAAGTGATTTCATTTATAAGAAAGGGAAAAACAGTAAAAAATCATGCAATGTGCCATACCAATAATCCCTTTTTGAGTGCCATACACAAGATTGTCATAAGATTTACAGAACCAGATACCCTGAGAAGATGTAGATAATGAGATATGCTGAATTCCTTTGATCATGTTTAGGACGGTATCATTATTAAATGCTTTCTGCATAGTTTTTTGGAACTGGGAAGTATTTTGAAGTAAATATTTACTGGACTCAACCTAAAATAACATGAAAAAGAAATTAGCAAAAATAAATTTTTATACAGTGCACCAAAGATAAAAGGAACCACCCAGAATAACTTATGATCTAATGATCCGATCTTCACGTTAGGACTCAATCTTAATGTTTCAAAAGGGTGACTTCAAATATGATAATTAATTAGGTCAGACGTTAAATATTTATCATTTTATTCAATAACAGTCCAAAAAATTTTGAAATGTCAGATATGCAATTTTTTACATCATTTTAAAGTATGTAATCCTTCATGGCAAAATCCAAAATTTGAGCAAAATCGGTTATAAAGTTCCTTAAAAATAAAATGTTAAATATTTGACCTCTTTAAAATTTGACTTCTCAGGAACTATTCAACAGATTTTGCTCAAATTTTGCATTTTCCTATGTAAAATTACATAATTTAAAATTATGAGAAAAATTGTATTGTATACCTTACAATTTAAAATTCGGCTAATATTTAATAAAATGATAAAAAATAAATATTTACTAAAATTCACTTTTTGCATGGAGTTTTCTTTGGATACTTAAATTTTATAATTGTGTGCAAAAAATTTTCAGTTTGCTTAAAAAGTTCCAGAGATACGACGAAACTAAAATTCCATTTCTCAGGAGCTATTCAGTTGATTACAATCGAATTTTGCATTTTGAGATATAAATTTCCATACTTTGAAGATGCAAAAAACTGCATACCTTTACAATTCAAAATTTTTCCAAGTATTATTAAATAAAATAATAAATATTTATTAAAATTTATTTTTGCCAGGAATTATCTTTGAATACACGAATTTCGAAATTGTGAGCAAAACATTTTCGATTCGTTAAAAAAAGTTCTGGAAATATGACGAAATATGCAAAAAGTAAAATTAACAGTAAGGATCAAGTATTGCAAAAAAAGATTTTCTTCCTGGAGTACTTTTTTTGATGGAACTAACCCGCATTTGCGTTGCATGGAGAGGAAAACCATGAAAACTTTCCACAGTTAGTCTAACGGCAAGGGGACTTTAACCCATGATCCATCTCCACTGAGAATATTTTTACGGCAGCACTGTGGTCAGTGCAAGCCAGGTGCGGAATTCAAATCAACCCCCTGAGCCACAATGACTCTAGCTCTACCTATAATAAAAATCATTAACCGAAACAAAAGTGACTGATTGGTTCATTAGTTTAACAAAAACCCTTTCTTCGATTTAACAGTGAGTTCATGCCACTGCAGACATTTAGTACCATATTAAATCAGATAAATAAATAAAAAATTTTAATTGTAAATAGAAACATAAAAGATACAAGTAAACTTAATTTAGTGAATATTTTAAAATTGGTATTTGATGACAAAATAGACTTAAAATCATTAAATAAAACTAAACTGGAAGGATGCAAAAAAAACAGAAATTTTTGTTTAATAGTGGGCAAAGAAAAAGAAAAATAATTTTGACTTCAAATAGACGACTAGTGATGGGCTGAATATCTTAACTGTTTCGCTTTCTCTGTGAATATTTGCCTCAACTTTTTCTGTTATTTAAATTCAGGAAAGAGGTGCAACCAGTTTTGTTACATAAACAGACCTGTTTTGAGAGAAACAAGTACACTTCAAAACTGTTTACATTTCGAATAAAGTTCCGCCAAATATTTAAGATCTGGCAGTTAGTTGCCACTCAAATCATGGTTGCCACTCAAATCAGGAGGGAAAAAAATTCCCTGCGTTTTCCCTATACGTATAATACACAATATATTAAGAGGAAACACACAATCACTGTGCTCTTGTCTGAACTACATTAGGCTAACTATACTAGATTCAATTGTTTGAAGAACTTAAAGAAATAAGGAACAGCTCAACCTATTTAACACAAATAATGCTATCGTAAATGAAATAGTTTAGTATAGCAGAAATATCATCCTTAAATATCCCAGAAAATGTACTTTGAGTGGTTATCACTTTTGAAAAGACAAAAATAAGAAATAACATTCTCTGTATTTTCCCAAGATTGTAAGGGAAAATTCAAAATTCTCCGCATTTTCCATGTAATAGTATTAGGTAATTTTTAAATTCCCTGTATCTTCTAGATTTCCTTGTTCTCCCTGTGGAGTGAAAAATAAGAAATAAAATTCCCTGTATTTTTCCAGTTTGTAAGGTAAAACTCAAAATTTTCAAATTCCCTGTATTTTCTAGGTTTTTCTTATTCTCCCTGTGGAGTGGCAACCCTGTCGGTTAACAGGTAACTTTGCTCTCTAATAAAATTAAAAGATGACTAGTTGTTCATTTGCATGATAAAAGTGCATTAAAGATATAATAAATTATTTCTAATTTCAAGCACTACAGATTCCTTATCATTAAAATCTCATACCTCCCATGGCTTCCCGATTCCTGTAGGCGTTTCGGGTGTCACGCCAATGAAAAATTTGATGATACCATTATTATCAACTACCCATCCAGTTTGCTGAACACCAAGACAAATACTGTTTATTTCTACATTCTCTTCCAATCTAGAATATTTATACATTTATTCAGTAAAAAATTGCATTTTGAGCAAAATAATAAGCTTTATCATATATTTTTTTAATATTAAATTAAGCATGCAATACATTTACAAACATACATAATGAGTTAGCAAAAACATGTAGTAGGGAACTGATTATCCGGAACGATCGGGGCCATCGCTATTCCGGATAACTGATTTTTCCGGTTTTCTGAATCGCTACAAAAAGCCGTTTTTTTATTGTAAAACCTACTAAAAAAAAAATTCAGAAATAATCTTAAAAAGAAGAAAAAACGATGAAGTAATACACTAATGATTATTTCCAAAATGATGGTAAGGTCTTTCAATAAAGAAAGAAAAATCCTAAAATCTTATGAGGAAAAATACATTTTTAAAATGTATCGAATTTCGTTCCGGTTTGTTGGTTTTTCGGTTTTCTGATTTCCGGATAACGGATTCTGTACCGTACATTAAATATGAAGCAGAATATCTTATTATAGAACACAAAACTAAGTAAATGGAGGCTATGAGTTCTACAGAATTTTGTGCTACGGGGGTCGTTTTACGTACCATAAAACTTACCAAGCATGGTATCCGAACTGATCAATATCGCTTTGAAATAATATTTAGCTCATCTGCTAAAGCAGTTTAAGAAGTTTTAATTTCTTTCCTAGGAAAAACTATTTAACTGTCACTTTAATTTTAACAAAGTATGCATCATTATATTTTGCACTCTTTCCTTTACAATAGGTAAAAGGAAAAATTTATTTTACAGAAGAAAAAAAAACAATGCAGGACATATTACATAAACTAAATTTTTTAAAAAAATTCTTAGATCTTAGGCAGGCCACACACTAAGGAGACAAGCAGTAAGTAAGAGATGCACAAGAAGCAGATTCCTATACTTTTGCATTAGCATGTGCATATTACCTGTGCGAATCCTAATGCAGAAGTATAGGAATTCACCACCTATACGTCTCTTTCTTATCGCTTGCCTCCTCAGTGTGTGGCCCGCCTAATGTTAATAAGTTTATAGCACATGATCAAATAAATGTAAATAATTTTTTTTTTATTTTAAAAACACATTCAAACATATAAATATATCTAAATGAATCTAATGTAGATCTGCAGATTATTTAAATGTATAAACTCAATCACCTGAATAAAAATAATATCTGTTATTTCAGTGTTCATTTTAAAATCAAACTATTCAATTAAATACAAAAATACTTTTAATTACATTAAAGAACTTTCTAAAATACTGCACACTGCCTAACCATGGCGAAGCACCTAGCCCTGTTTGCTAGAGATCTATTTTTTTTTTACTATGGTAGAGATGCCATATAATTTTGACTGTGGTCAGACAATGTAGACAATGCCCAAGCTGATACCTCTCTCTGCAAATTTCAGACCAAAAAGAATGAGAGGATTTTTCAGTTACAACAAATTTAAAATACACCTTGCTGGGTATACATAATGGTTGTTTTATCGGCTGCTAGAATAAAACTCATGAGCCCTAGCCCTCCAAAAGCGGTGTGAGCATTACTTTAATGGACTTCTAAAATACCACACGAGGCACTTACTTTATTTCTTCCCATTTGTTCTTTGATTTCTTTTTCTCTTTTACATTACTGTTCCAACAATGCAAAGTACCCCCAGTAGTAATTGCCCAAAGAAGTCCTTCTCTAGAAGTAATTTTCTGTAAATGTAGATCACACGTAATTGTTTCAGGATAGTCAAAAGGTTTGGAAGCAGACAAATTTTGCAATTTCACTAACAGACCTGCAGAGGTAACATACCTATGTTGTAAAAAAAGGAAAATTTATAGTTGAATAATAAGAAAAAAATTATGTTTTCTCACATTTAACCTTTAAGTGTGTTTAACCCATTAACAGTGACATATATTTCAGAAAAAGTAACCAAAAATTGAAAATTTTTTTGCCTGTTTAATTTTGTTCTTTAAATTAATATAAAAGTTAGGAAATGGTTTTTTATTACAAAAATAAAATTTTAATCGCATTAACTACTGTATTTATAATTTTTACATACTCATAAAAAAGTAATGGATTACACACACATCTTATTCAATTAGAGCAAATTAAACAAAATTTTGAAGCTAAATATAATATAACTAGTATAATATAATATAAAAAACACAACAATATGATTTTCAATACATAAATTTTACAAATCTTTTCCCTCCCTGAACCCACATTTTCTCTCCCTCGACTGAAGTCGTAATTGGTGAAAAACTAGGACCACTAATGCCATCTATTAGGTAAATAGTGAATTAAGTATACTAAAGTCGAAACGAACTCAGCTCAGGCTTCAGAAAATAGAAACCTTAATTTTTTCTCTTGCCCGAAGTCAGTTCGGGCATTACAAATACTGCACGTAGTAGTTACCAGAACTGGATTCGGGTGACACTGGCAAGGGGTTTAACTCATAAACCTCATCCTAGTTTTAAGGTTAAAACCAACTTGATATTACACAAGTATGATATATGAGAATATTACACAAAGTTTAAGTTATTTTAAATTAATCATATATTTCCAACAAATCAAAAAAAAATTAAGCAAATTTTAAGAAAATTTAAAATCAAGCAAAAATGAATCCTAAAGTTGAGACATTTAATGACTGCCTACCCAGACATAGCATTACTAGCAGTACCTATTACCACAATTAATTTCCCATCACTGGTCTCAATAATATTATAACGAAATGGTTAAGTACCAAAAAAATAGTATAAAAAAATTAAAAGAAAAAAAAACAAATTCATCAATAAAAATTGGAAATCAAGGAGACTCACCATCCACGATTATCCTCAACAGCTATGGACACAACATCGCGCGCAATATGCACCCACTCAGCCTCAAGCCACCTCGTAGCGGATTTCTGAACAGCCGCATAAACAGTTCCCTTATACAAAATCCATACGATCGTGTCAGAAGGCGATACGGCTATTTTCTCAGCAGGTTGGCAAATTTCGATCCAGTGCATCCCCAAAACGGGATAATGGGAAATAAAAATCCTATTTTGCACATCAACACAATATATATGATAGTCACTAATACAAAGATCCAAAAGTCTGTCCGGAGTTTTGTATTCGACCCATTCGACACCATATTTTAGAGGCTCATTTTCTAGAATATCTACAGAGGTAACAGACGTATCTTCACTAGTTGATGATGTCTGGTTCTCTAGGGTGGGTAGATCTGTTTTGCTATCAACTGTTGAAGGGGAAACACAAGGGAAATAGATATCGTCAGGATCACATTCCGTTTTACTGGATTCCGAAGCATTAGTGTCTACAGAGATTTCTGAAGATGTATCATTACTGTTATTGTCTTTACTCGATTCACTATGTTGTGATGAATTATTATTAATTTGATCATGACTAGGATCTTCGGATGACGGATCGGAAATGTTGTTTGTTGTATTTGTATCAGATATATTTTCATTTGGAAAAACTGTTGTATCAACATGACTTGTATGCATTTGATTTGTATCGCCAGTGGCATCGATAGATTGATCGTCAACAGGAGAAGTTAATTCAATAGTTTTGGCAGTGTTATCATTAGTTGCGTCTTTATTCGCTTCCAAAGATTCTAAAGCTTTTCTTTCGCTTTTAGGACTTTTGGACCGAAATCGAACTGAAAGAGCAAGTAAAATTAGCAGTCATGTTAAAAAAACCTAACCAGTTTAGTTATACAAAACAGTTTTTTAAGTAAAACATATTATTATTATTATATAATAAAAGTTCAATAAGCAAAATAACTTCACATTAAAAGGATTAAATGACTCACAATAACTCAGTGGTTAAGGCACCGAACTGTCATTGTGAAGAACTAAGGTTCAATCCCCAGTGACGTCAGATCCATGGCTATAAGCTTGCCTGGGAAGTAAAGACGGCCTAACCACATTGCCACTACCATGCTGTTGGTCACGAAATTGTGGAGCCTTAACCACCATGACCCCCTGGCTCACAATGAGCTGTTGCAGGAATACTTTACTTTACAAAAGGATTACACAACAGTTGTTTGATACAGAAAAGTGCTTAAATATACATTTTGAAAAAATCAATTCAGAAAGTTATTTAATGGAAATTATAATTAAAAAAAAAACCTTACTGATAGTGATTTAAACTATAATAAGCAGGAAATTCAGAGCTGTGTTTTCTCTGGAGCTGCAGCCAGAGCTGTAACTCTAAATCTCCTCATGCTCCATAGCTTCCGCAATTTTATTGTATAACCTACATATATTCAAGTAGTTTGTCGTATTGTAATAGCATTGTCCGTTATCCAAGTTGCTGTAAATAGACTATTCTAAGTATTAAAATACATTTATAAGGATTTAAGATTAAATATGAAGGAGTATTTAATAGATTCAACTCTATTCCTAAAAATGAATGGAATAACTCAACTGTGAATTAAATTTGTATTTACAGTGAGAGCTGATTATTACATTATTTTTCTAATAATCTTTTTTAAAAATAATATTTTTTAATTAAAATTTGATACTCCAAAGTGCCCATAAATATATAGCAAATTGCTAGAGCCTTAGTAGAGCCAGAGCTGAAGCTTCAACTTATTATCTAGGAGCTGAGCTGAAGCTTTAACTTATTATCTGGAAGCTGAACTGGAGCAACGAAGATATTTTGGCACAGGGTCCCTGATCATAACTGAATCAAAAACAGAGGCATTAAGTAAATTTTAAAAAAAATGAAGTTCTAAACAAGTCTGAATTCAGATATTAATATATAAAAATAGAAAAAAATAACAGAAAACGGGAGATGCAGAGAACAAATGGAAGAAGTTAACTAAAATTTAAAAGATTTTGAGAAAATTATATAATTTCAAAATAAACTGGAATGTTGTTTTGAGGAATAAATTAGTTGAGATATGAAGAAAATAAACTGAGCTTTGAAACTAATGAATTTGTTACTTTTTTATATTTACTGTACTAACATTTCAGTAACTTCGCATTTGTTTTAAATCAAGATCATCAATTATTGGTCAGCAATTGTTACTAAATAAGTAAAAGTGAAAACTGACACAGAAAACTAGCCCACAAAACTCATGACTCACAAAAAAGACATAAATTAAATTTAGATGAAAAGCAAGATGTAACAAATATGATTAAAAAAAATTCGAATAAATTTGAATTTAACTTCGAAGCTTAAAAATGCTTTTATACATTTTGCTTAATAAAGCTGCAACATAAAAATCCATATACATACATAGTTTTTAAGCATAAAACGTCTGGACAACCACATAAAAAAATTGGTTCTTTTTTATTAGCTGGGCACAAAGTAAGTTTAACTTTCTTTTTTAGCAATAAAACAAAATGACTGTAACCCCATTCCCTAAAAAGTTAAAAGCAACTGGCAAACCAAAAAAATCAGTTTTTTTATAGCTTTTATTGATTTAGCTTGTCAGGAAAAAACAGCATCCTTTTAAAGAAGGACAATTAAACTAAAAAGAACCAGAATTGCAGTGCCATTTCTGGATTAAAACACATACTAATAATAAAACAATGTATTCTAATATCACAGCCAGTAATGCTAAAACTTCTGATTTAAACCCTTTTGATCACAGATAAATAGTAGGCACTCAAGATAACAATTTACATACATTGCTTGCTTTTTTAACTATTAAAATGTATTAAGAGAATTTTTTTTCTTGAATGAAAAATTTACAAACATTTAGATAGCCCACCCAGCTTTAGATTAATGGGTACCAGCTTGTTTTGAAAATAAAGACAGCTTGTGCACAATACTCATTCATTGCAACAGTCATGATGTCTATCCTGAAATAGAGCAACTTTAACCTCCATGACCCTCTGGCCCTCAATGGGCTGCTGTGATCGAGTGCTGTAATAATGTAATTAAATACTTAGCTGGCCAGGATAACCTGGTTGTCAGGGTGCTGGACTCACATTTGTGAAAAAGGTAGTTCGAATCCAGCCCGCCGAAGACTCCCTGTGTGGTAAATGGTGACCGGTGTACGTTAAATCTGTCTGGTCAGAAAGTCCTCCGTGTTCCCATAACATATCAATACCTCTGGGGGGACTGAATTGGAGATTGATCGTTCTCCGGTTCAGATCAAAATACGATCTGCGGATGAATGAATGGGTGTTGACTTCGGCCGATTCGCCCTGTTCGCCGGTGAATAGGTTCACCCTATAAACTGGTGTGATGTATGGGTGTGGCAGAAGTCGAATTCTGAGCTATAGATGGCGCCACAGGGAAACAAGAACAACCGCACCCCCTCTGCCTTTAAGGCCAACGACAACAAAAAATACTTAGCTATATAACAATGATGTACTAAACAAATGAAGTACCTTTTTTGGGTTTCTTTTTCTTTGTACGTTTGTAAACAATTTCATCAACTTCATCATTAACTGTAATATTAATAGCTGGAATGCAAGGTTCAGGCACTTGATTAATAACAACAGGCAGTAACTCATCCGCATTCAAAGTTACAACTTGGGGCAACATTTCTGAATTTCTTGAAATCATTTCTAAATCACTAGTGGTGCTTTCTGATATAGGAGGTGGGGTGCTCGCAGATCGTTTCTTCTTCAGCCAATCAAATATGTTTACATTCTCACTCTGAACGGCAAAGGAATCACTTCGTTCTTTGACAAATGTACCGAATTCTTTCAAAGGGGTTAACAGTTCTTCAAAGAGAGATTGTTCAACAGGCACTAAACATAGAAAAAATATATTTTTATTTAACATTATAACATTTATTGAAAAAAATTAAAAAATATGATAAAAATAAAATTTAAATAATTCAAGTTTTCAAAATTAATCATATTTAACAAACTTTATTCTCAAACTATAAATATAAGTGAATTTTTGTACAAATTTAATTTTTTGAATATTTAAAGCTAACTAATGAAGGAGTTATTAGAAGAAGGAAACAGAGTAGGACCTTGATTATCAAAAGTAGCTGGGACCAAACTTGCATGGGTGACAATATTGTCACCTTGAAATCGGTTGGGAAGTTACAAAATAGTAACAAAAGAATCTGCATCTAAATCCATGCTTTTTTAAAAAGAATTTTGCACTAATTTTATTCTACACGTAGGTTAGTGTTTCAGTTTTAAGATTTTTCCAAAAGGAATAACCGTTATTTTAAAACTTTCATTACGTCGAAAGGTTAGTGTGTCATTAGGTTAGTGTTTCAGTTGTAAAATATTTTCAAATAGAATAACTGTTATTTTGAAACTTTTATTATATTGCTTATTGATATAAATGAGGATAACTATTATAGCGTATATACATATTTCTCTTTTGTGGCACCATAAACTCAGGTATTTCTTCATGTACTAATGATGTAATTGTTCGTCAATCAAATATAATATCTTGCTCTTTAAAAATTTGCTTCATTTAGAATTTTTAGATAATTTTTAATGTAGTATGTAGTTTTACTTTGTATTTTAATGTAGTTTTTACTTTCTCTGTTTTGGTCTCAGCATTTTAATATATACATTGAATCTATTTACTAACATTATTTTAATTTTTTTTTCTTCACTTAATTTTTTACTACACTTAATAAATTCTAATCTTCAATCATCATGGGGTAAGGAACCTAATTAGCTTTAAGGTGCAATGGATAGCAATTAATAACTTTTGATGGGTACCATAACATGAGTCATGCAATTGTAAAGTTCAATATTTTTTTCCTCAGGTTAGTCTACCATATTAATTTCAGACCACTATATGAATACCTAGGCGGTCGTATTGGACCACTAAATTTCCATTGCTGGAGTATGTATATGCGAGGATGAAGAATCTATATGTAACGCTGGAGAATGCCCTAAGAATGTATAAAGTTCAAAAGCGCACACTTATGGCAAATTTTCATTCACTTTTGTTTTTCTAATGACATATTTTAAAAATTGTGTACCCCCAAAGAGTTAAAATAGCTCAGGGACACTTTTCTAATGGTAATAAAAAAAATATCCTTGACAAAATTAATAAACAGAATTAATTATTTCAAAATTAATAGACAAAATGAATCATCACAAAATGATATTTCATAAGCTTTTAAAAAATACATCACAAACTTAAGCAAGTGATCAACAATTAAGGTGTATAAAGTTAAAAAATAAAATTGCTTTGGTTTTTAATTAACTAATCAAACTAATAACTATTTAAGAAAGCAATGAATTAAAAATAAATCTATGCAAATTCATTAAAATCACTTTATTACACATTCTCTCTTACTTTCTGTGGTTGATTACAGGATCAAGTATGTTACAGCAGATTTTATTTAGAGATTACTGAAAGATTCAACATAAGTTTCATCTAAGATTAATCGATTACTTAACTTTTCCACAGAAGAAGCAAAAGTACATTAAAAAGTATAAACTATACTCAGTAGTTCATTGCACAACCTCCTTTAAAGATTTATATATTTTCATACAATTAAAACACATGAGACAATAGGAAAAATTGATTTCGTGGAAAAAATGACAGTTTCTCAGAATGAATCTAGAACGAATAATACAAAAAGTATTTAATAGTACCCCTCTTTTCTTCCAAAGAATAAGAGTAAGATCTTAAATAGATGAAAAACTGCCTGGACCAAGATTTTGCAGAGCTCAAAAGAAAAATAAATTTTAAATCAATTAGATCAATTTATGAAAAGAGGGCAGTCTAGGAAAAATTTTGGAAGAGGACAGTCTAAGTAGAGAAAAATTAATTACAATTGATAACACTAAGCATGTTGAAGGGTTTAAACTGTTCTACCGTAAAGTGCTCGACTTTCAGGTCGACAGGTCATTGGGCTACCAAAGCAGAGGAGTCATCCTCTCTGCAGAGGATCAAAATTGCAATGGCATATCTTCAAACCATCCGCAGGAGGGCCGGGATAGCATGGTTGGTAGGGGCACTGGATCCATGTCGAAGATATCGATCCCAGGCTGGCGGAAGACTTCCCATGTAATAAATGGTGACAGGTGCACGTTAAATCTGTCGAGTTGCGAAGTCCTCCATGCTCCCATAACAAATCAATACCACTGGGAGTACTGATCCAGGATTTCCTTGTCTTCTGGATTGGTTCAAAATTACAAGGTTACGGAGTCGAACATCAGTAGTCGTAAACCCAAAATTGGGTCAGCTGTTCAACAATGGATATGAAAGAAATCTGCAGGGACATTTCCTAAACCGTCACCAATAGCCTATTGTGCAGCTCTAGTGCGACGCAAATAAAGTACCAGTCTACCATTTAAAAGTGTCACTTAGCCATGCAGTTTGCAAACAAATCAGTGAGAGCAAGAAAAATTTTTTAGAATTTTCAAGTCCTGCAAACTATAACAGACATAAAGTACGTTGAGATTTTAAAAGATCAATAATTATTCATTTACTGAAACAAAATTTTAAAATATATATATAAAGCTATGCACATTGTGTAAGTATAATTTGATTTAAAAAAATTGAATCTTTTATTACCTTTATCACATACAAAAGGATCAGGATAAGAAGATATTCTAATAAGATCTCGAAGACCTCGTAAGATAAAAATTTCCTCATTGCTTGTGCAAACATCTACAATAGGATCCAGCTTTGGACAGCTAGCGACAATGGAATTGTGTGTAGGATCGATTAATAAGATGCTAGTATCAGAATATATCACAAGGTAATTATCAATAAAAGGCTTCAGTTGCCCAAACTGAATATCAGTCAAGCTCCATGGTTTTGTATCCTGTTTTTCTAATGTAATTATAGGGTGAAGTTCTGAAAGTGCGGTTTTGAAAATCATGGTTTCTTGAATGATTCCGGATTTATCAGACTTCCATAGCCTTTGACCAGGACGAGAAGCATAGATGACATAGTTGTCATGTGAGTCATACAAATCCATAATGACAGCTCCAAATGGGCCAAAGCTGGAACAAACAAAAAATCATCAATTTTGAAATTCAAAGATTACACTGATATATTATGGTTTATACATTTAATATAGTTATAAATAAGACATTTTCGCATGTTTCAGGAAATTAATAACTAAGCAATTTTATAACAAATAAAAAAACTGCCAGTATTAAATATATAATCCATTATAATAACATTCAAAAAGTAAAGATCAACAGCCATTTTGACAATAGAATATCTATTTATTCTTACAACACAACTTATAAATATGTAGAACTACGAATTCTTAAAATTTAAAAATGACAATGGAATAATGGTCGAGAATGAGTAGTAAAAGAAAAATAATAAAAAATTCTAGAGTTATTTGTTCCGCTGTAGACTGATCGCAAAGTTATGGTTCCCAGTAGAACACTGAAGTCAAGCATCACTGGCTGCCATCAGTAAGCGTGTGGCTAACCACTTCGACGAGCCTACATAGGGACTGGGGGAGTGCAGTATCAGTCCTCGTTAAATTGTTCTACCGTAAAAAGCTCGACCTCACATGAAGGTTCTCGGGCTACCAAAGCGGAGGATCAAATTTGTGATGGCATGTCTTCGGATCATCCTCGGGGATGTTTCCCAGACCGTAACCAACAGCCCATTGTGCAGCTCTAGTACGACGTAAAGAAAATACCTACCTCTAGAGTTATTTTGCAAATAAAAAAAATAAGCTAGCAAATACAGTATCTCATTATGTTAATGTTGCAAAACATAAATTATGTTGATTCTAAACAGAATAAGCTCAATAAAATTTTGAACATTGTCCAGTTTTAAAATGTGAAAAGTTTTTTTTTTTTACACAAATCTAACCAGGGGTCTGTCTAGGTTTTTCTGAAAGGTACCTATTTTGTGAAAATTTTGACACAATTCGTGAAAAATTTAAAATTATATTAAAAAATCAATACAAAAACATGGTAAAAATATAGATTTATCTCTTCTTAAGGAATACAAAAATAAATTTTAAGAAAAAGTATTTTGTGAAACTACCATTTTTCCTAAAGTTGAATTTGTGAATCTACCGTTTTACCTAAATTTAAATTTGTGAAGGTACCGCTAAACGTTAGTAAATTCGGCCTGGACAGACCACTGCTAACGTACATAAAAAAGAACTAAAGGTAATAAATACCCTCCAACAATAACCATACTCTGATAGTTTAAAAAAGTACTTTTCCTAGTTGTAGCAATGGCGAAGTATTAATAATTTAACAAATTAGAATAAAGATTTTTGTTCACTTCTACCATATACTACTACATGACATTGAGAAGTATTAGGGTTTGAACCCTAGAGATAACTTGCCTACCCAGCAACAGACAAATGGGCACCAGCTAATTCAGGAATGTTAGGCGGTTGATGCACAATCTGGCCACAATGCGCACCAACTAATTGCACCATAACATTTATCAATTATGAAACTTAACCACAATAACCTTCAGGCTCACAATGGGGTGTTGCATAGATGCTTACTTTTTTTTCTACATTTAAATATCTTATTTGTTTAATAGCAGCAGCACTTGATACATAAATCAATCGCTAGAGAGTGCAAACACACCACGCAAGCGTACTCGTAGAAAAAGCATTAAACATAAATGAACATCTAATAAAATCTGTAACTAGAAAACATCAAAAAATTATAAACATTTAAAAAATTAGAGCATTAAAAACAATGAAAACATTAGAACATAGAAAAGTATAAAAAATACCAAAAATATTAACCAAAAGTTATTAGAAAGTCATCCCGTTTGCATGGCTTGTAATAGCTCGAGACCCCTCCAGTATCTGTCATATATATTTCCTACCACTGCCCAGCAAACCTCCAGGTGCTCAGCTTTCATCAGGGTGTCCTCCTTGTAGTTTATTTACATCACACTAGAGCTACACAATGAGCTATTAGCGACAGTCTGAGAAACATTCCTGAGGATGATCCGAAGACATACCATCACAATTTCGATCCTCTGCAGAGGGGATGGCACCCCTGCTTCGGTAACCCCGACGACTTGCATGCAAATTCGAGTACTTTAGGGTAGAACAGTTTAATGAGGACCAATATCGCACACCCTCAGTCCCTTCACAGACTGATCCAAGTGGTCCCCCACCTGCACATTGACCACAGCAGTGTCCTCCTTGCACTGAATACAATTTGAGTAAGAAAGGTACTTGAGTCTGTAGATGTAAGCAGCAAGACAGTCATGCCTAGCTGCCAACTGCATTCCGTCTGGGGTGATTTGGGATTAAGGTAGAGTCACCCTCCAAGCCCTATCCCCAATTTGTTCGTCTAAATCAGTGGTCGGCAAAGTGCGGCTCCAGAGCCGCATGTGGCTCTTTAGCTCCTTAAGTGCGGCTTTATCACAAATATCCACGGAAGGCGCAATAATATTTTCATTTAAAAAAAAAATTTGTAAAAAAAAAATTATATCTTATTTTGATAAATTAAAATTCTTCTGTATATCGAGAACATGTATAATTTTTTGTTTAAGTTAAGAGATGGATAGGTATTTAAAATTTTATATTGTTGTAAAAATACGTAACGAACATCGAGTTTAATTTTATTAGTTTTCGTAAACGTTAACACAAACCATGTACAAGCTACCGGCTGAAATTGTTCGTATGGTTACAGCGTACTCCGTTGTGATACAAAGGTACCACAAGCATGAGCGCGCATACTTTTTCTAAAGTAGTGGGCATTGTTCGCATTAATAAATATTTATTAAGTATGAAATTTAGTTTTATTTAGTGTACTACTTATTTACTGTTATAAAAGTTTACTAAACAAGCAGATTTGGTTTCCAATTTTTTTAAAAATTGTTGTAATGTTCATATTTGGCTCTTTGGCTAATAAGTTTGCCGACCACGGGTCTAAATGATTCTCATAGTTCTTACATAATAATTTAAACAGATATATGAAAGATCAAACGGGCAAATGAACATATTTTTCAAATCTGATCAGTTTTGTAAAAATTCTATGCATTTTAAAAACTTCTGGTGTAGTTCACTACTACTAGAAAAAATAATTTTCAAAAACCTTAAATGTTTGTAAATACTTCAATCAAACTCTCTAAAAAATGACAACACAAGTTTGATTTTAAGTAAAATCATATTATGGTTCATATTCTTCATGAAAAGAACAAAAAACAATCTAAATTTGAAATTGCTTTATTGTTATTAAACAAATTATCTAGAATGACTTTGAAATGGAAATTGTTCTCTTACCATTTCCTTTCCTTTTGTCCGATCTGTGCAATTGTTTGGTTTTCAAATGAATAAATTAAAGCTCGAAATAGAGATGACACAATCAGGTATAATTTATTATGACTTATTTGTACAATCTTCGTCTGCTCCTTTAACAAAACCTTGGATCTACTTAGATGCTGCAAGCAAAAATTAAACATCATGACAATGGTTTGGTATAAACAAAATATTTTAAATTAAGAATTTAATAAAAAGAAAAAGATAAAATGTTGGGTAATCTTAAAATCACACACTACCAGTTAACCTTTCGACAAGAACATCCATAGAAATAAAGCAGAGTGTTTATATTTGCGTACAAGGTAGAAAAAACTACCCCCTGAATAACTTTTGATCTAATAATTGGATATTCATGTTCTAGGACTCAATCTTAATGGTTCGAGGGGGTGACCACAAATATGCTAATTAATTAGTGCAGACAATATTTTAAGCTTAGAAATCAGACAAAAAAACATATTTACCCTGAATTAGCATACTTTTTTTCAATGGAAACAGATTTCTGACCCTCAAAATATAGGGGGTAGCCACAATCTGGAAAATACCCACATAGTTTGGTCAAAAGAACGATCCAAAGTTTGAACCCTTTAATGTTAATTTCTTTTTTGGCGTATTTTGTCAGATTAATAAACATTTATTTATTATCACTTTATTTAATAATAGTCGAAAAAAGTTTGAAATACAATTTTTTACGTCATTTTAAAATATGTAATTTTACAGGGCAAAAAACCAAATTTGAGCAAAATCGGTTATATAGTTCTTGAGAAATAGAATTTTAAATATTTGACCACTTTAAAATTTCACTTCTCAGGAATTATTCAATTGATTTTGTTCAAATTTTGCTATGCAAAATTACTTAGTTTAAGATTATATGAAAAATTGTATACCTTACAATTTAAAATTTTTTCGTCTAATGTTTAATAAAATAATAAATACAAATTTACTAAAATTCATTTTTTGCATGGAATTTTCTTTGGATAACCAAATTTTATAATTGTGTGCAAAACTTTTCAGTTTGCTTTAAAAGTTTCTGAAATGTGGCGAAGTTCTAAATTATTTAAACGATTTGTTTTCACGCTTTATAAGCAAAGCCCATAACCTAACTGATATTAGGTTGTTTTTTTTTACCCAAATCAATGTTAGTATATTTAATCAATACTGTTTTTTGTTAGATAAATTTAAAAGTTTTATTTTTTTGCTCAAGCTAATAATTAATGTGATAATTTATTAAACTGAAAGCATATTTGGTACATCACTTGTCAACAACTTTTTATACACAATGACACTGAAGAAAGTTTCCAGAATAAAAACATAACTGATAATCATAATGTGAAAATACAAAAAGAAAAAGAAAATAATATTAAATAAATACAATTCTTACTTCGGAGTAATCTATTTCTGTACAAACTACAACTCCATTCTCATCACCACTAAAAAACTTAACACCACTTTTATCCCACTCTAATGCTGTGATTGGAGATGTATGAATGCCATCAGAAGTAAATTTTTCAGTCTACATATACACAAACAATTATATACAAACAATTATATACAAACAATTATTTACAAACATTTAATATGCAACAGCAAATACAAACTCATAAAGAAAAAAAAAATCCTAACACAGAAAAAAAAATGTCTAAATAAAATTTACAATGAAGTTTTCCTAAATTTGTTTTAATTATTAAATTTTAAAAATGTATTCATTTGCAAAATGATGAAAAATTTGAAGATTTTAAGAAGTAAAATGAAAATGTGTGAGCTTTAAAAATTAGAAAATCATAACCCATTTCACTACAAATGTCTCATTTAGCCGGTGTGCACTGTATATATAAGCGCCTTATTCAGAGGACAAGTGCAGTAATTAACCAGAGTCAGTGTTAAACTGCCTCAATCTGCATTAATCAATCTTTAATTATATAGATCATGACACTTTGAAAATTAATATAATTAAATAAGATGCTGCCATCTATGGAGTATAACATGAATTAGAAAGCAGCAGTTTTTCATAGTCTGAAATTATTGCCATTCTTGAACACTATTCAATTTGCCAATGTCCAACAATAGAAATTCTTGTGTTTTGGTCCTAGGGTTCATCCCTACTTGATATATACTAACCCTGTTGCTATAGCAATTCCCAAATCCACCAAAAAAGTGAATGCTAATTATTTAACTCTTAAAGAACACAAATATTTCAATTTAGAAGGTGAATTACAACAAGAAATATTTATTGAAAAATACTTGTTTCATTATTTTTATTAGAAACAAACTTTAAATAAATGTAGCTATTTATTAAAAAATTATTAAATATTAATGTCATAATCAGTTATTAAGCCTTATGTAGTAAATACAAAAATATTTTATATTGTAAATTTTCATTTTTAATAAATGGCAATGTTTTTTGCATTTTTATATAATGCACTACCTGATAAAATTACAAATAAATTTATAATAATTTCACAAAATTTCATATGTATATCAGCTTATTTGGCCTCCTTTATCACTGCTTTATTTAAATGTGGTCTCTCATGGTAAAAAGGTACTCCACCTCTACTCTAGGCCAATATTCCAATTACAGATATTGAATTAATACCATTAAAAGTATATTTTGAATCAGCCAAATAGGTTTTGTAAATCAAAACAAGTTACTTCTGTATCTTAAATTTAGGACTGCAGAATTTTCTAACTAAAAAAGTAAAATATAGGTAATAAGGAACCTTAACCTTCAATGTGTTCAGTGTTCCCTTATTGACCTTCTATGCGTTAACTTCAACGTGTTCACAGTATAGTACACATGTCTTTAGCTAAACTGAGGGCAGTAAACGGAGTTAATACACATTCAAATTTCGCAGGGTATTTTTTTTAATTTCTAATCTATAAGATTAGAAAAAGGTTAATTACCTATCCTAATAATGCAGAAAATGACATTTTTCATAATATCAAGTACCTGATTGTGTATTATTTAATTAAATATATATATTTTAAAACAAATTTACGTATAAATATACAGTATACTCTCGATATCTCAAAGTTGAAGGGACACTAATAAAATTTTGACACAGCGAGTTTCTGAGATAGCAAGTTTAGAACTAAATATGTTCTAAAAAGTAGAAAAATATATTCTTCTTACTCTAAAAAGTAGAGTCATAAAACATAAGAATAAGTGCTAATAAATATGTATATAATGATAGTTGACTCTAAATCTAAATACAACAATTATAATTTTATTTTTAAAAGACAAAAATAATTATGCATTAAACAGAAAAGAATTGGTTTACAATAAACTTACATTGTGATTTATNAAAAAAAAAAATTAAAAAAAAAAAAAAAAAAAAAAAAAAAAAAAAAAAAAAAAAAAAACAGACTTAACATTGTTTTGAGAAGAAACCTTTCAACATAGGAATTCAAAGTAACATTGGGTAAATTTATAATGCAAAGAGAAAAAATATTTTTTTGACATAACAAGGTTTTCCAGATATCAAGAGTATATATATATATAGAGAGAGAGAGAGAGAAATTTTTAGAATACCCCTAGATCATAAATCTCTCATATCACCTAATCCTTTTAGTTTTTAAGGATACAGAATGAATTAATCTTACCGTTTCCGTTTCATCAAAAGGCACTTTAAACAGAACAACATGTCCATTCTTGCTTCCACATAAAACTAAGCAATCAACTGACAAAAGAATTTTTACAGCAGTAATGACGTCTTTATGTTCCTAAAAAAGATATTAGAAAGTTAAAAATAGTTTTTTTTGACACAAACTTTACAATTAAATTTTTTTTTTTTTTTTTAAATATAAGAAAAATTACATTTCTTAATCTGGATAAATGGTGTTTTTTTCTATCATACAAGTATGTGATTCCTATATTCGATCCAAGAACAATATAATGAGCATCTGCATCTACGCATGTAAATTCAAGATCAAATGTTGAGAGTCCCTTCTGAGCACGTGCTGGAATTAAGTTTAAGAAATTAAACTGAAGAGGGTGTTCCTGAAGAAGGGGGTGCTTTTCTGAACTCTTCTCAGGCGAAGCAACATCGTTATTCATTATTTAATATCTGAAAAGATAAATAGTTTTCAGAAAAAGGATTTATCAACTTAAAGCATAGTATAAAAAATAACAGCATAATAAATTCTAATTCTATTACTTACAATGCAAAAATTAAAAGAATAATTCAAAATACTATGTTAGTTAATAATTTTCAATATTTATTATTCTTTAAACTAATTCTAATATAAAACTAAATCTAGTTCGCAACAGTCAGTTTAACAAAATTATATGTATATATAGAATTTCTCTGAAACAAGATTGTGTAAAACTTGCAAAAAAAATTCATTGACAATAAAAAGATCTTCAAATTTATGAACAAAAAAAAAAACTTTTTCAAATAATGTTTTTTTAAAAGTCAGGGGAGAATTCTGTAATGTTATCTATGGCAGAATGATCACAAAATATTAGTAACTTCCAGGCAACGGCCCGCAAGAAACTGAAAAAAACATCACAGAAAGGGAGCAACAGAAAGGTTAAGCTCGTATCCACCCCCAGGTAAACATTTACAAGTTTTCTGTTGTTGTTTTTTTTTAAAAAATTACATGTTTAAAATCTATTTGGCACCTTGACAATTGTGGGGAAATTTCCGTATCATGATCTGTCGTGCCAACTACAATCGCCAAGGTGCCAAATAGATTTTAAGCTTGCAAATTTTTTTAAAAAAAACTGTAGATATTTGCTCGGGGGTGGCTACGAGTTATGCCTTTCAAGTTGGTCCCTTTCCGCAATGCTTTTTTTTAGTTTCTCGATGGCCCCTGCCCTTAAGTTACCCAGACTTGACAATTATTCTGCTGCAGATCCACGGAAATCTCCCCACGATGGCAGTTAGCGCGACAGATCTTTATACCGAATTGCCCCTAAAAGTCATTCACTCACTTTAAATTATTACGTGTGTGTGTGTATATATATATATATATATAACTATATTACTTTTCTTTTAAAAATTCTTTGCTAATTTCCAAAACCCAAACCGATTCACAACTTTCCAAGATTCTATTGATGGAAATCAATTATGAATTATTAATAATGGGGGGGGGAATAAAATTGAACATATCAAGATATTAACTCTTAATGATATCTTAATATTTCTTAGAAAAGTAAATGAAATAAACCTAAATTCTGTAACAGTGAATGAAGTTATTACATTCAACCTATCTTATTTTCTCCAATTCAATTAATTTCACTCCTATAATATTTAAATACATTTTGTTCTCGATAATTATTTTACGGATATAAAATTTAATACAGTTTAAAAGCACTTGACAAAATATTGAAGTGATTCTTAAAATTAAATCGTCATTAAAACTAGAAAAATTTAAGTCAAAATTACTTGAATTTTGTTTTTACGAAAGTACAAGACGAAATCAGCACAGATTCAAATAGGCGAGGTGGCATAAAATATCATGGTTTGATATGTTAGTCTTTATAAATACGGAATTTCATGAAAAATTTTTAAATTCTGTAATTTTTAAAAATCATCCATTGATAAATATGTTTATCGAATAGATGTAAAAAAGGTTATTCTGGAAAAAGGCATTATATAAGGTTTTCTAATATTCAATTACTAATAAATACAATTTCAGTTACTTTTTTCATTACATACACGAGTTCCAAATATATTTTCTTTTAAAAGCGAAACTTATTCATATACATTTGTAAACAAATACACCCCTACGAATCATGCCGTATATAACAGGAGCCCGCAAGAGGAAGTGAAGAACTTCTGATGGCAACGAAATTTAACCTCTTTCTACTGATGGATGATGTTTTCTACACTAGAAACGCTGCAAACTCTTTGCTGAGTTTTTGTGTTACTTTTTCCGGTGCATTTTAAATCCAATCGGTTCACAACATGTTCACAACGCAATCATTGTGATTATCTGATTTTTTATTTATATTACAAAGAATCTTCAAATTAAAGACTTGTTATTTCAAGACGTTAGAATCGTCATTTGAATTCGAATTTATACCTAAATGATAATTTATTAAATGAACTTAATTTCACTGCTCGAACAATATGCTAACACTAATGTATGACGGTGCATGGTTTGCAAAAAAACCAAACAGTAATAAACAAGTAAAAAGAGGCCAAATCAGAACTTCAAAAAAAAAAACTAGTCATTTCTAATAGGTATAAATGTAATATATTTAGCAAATACAAAATTTATGCGAGTATACTACATACAATTCACATTTTTATTAAGAAGCCTACTTAAAAACACTTAAAGAGCATACATTTCGAGAAGGAAAGAGTTTTCACTTAAAAAAGTCCTTAATCGGTTTTTGTTTTACATTAATGCTCTTCTGCAGGCGCTTTTCTGCAGCAATGTTCAGCCATTTTTTTTTCTTTTTTTTAGAGATATAACAGGATGTCTGGTGTCGCCTCTTCTTGTTGTTCTGCATATTCAATAGCACTTTCGATAGCTTTTAGTCAATCTTTATGAGAGATTTTTTTATGTTGATTTTCATCGTCACTGTCTTCGCAAGATTCATTTGCATTATTGACGATATTAGCGATCATTTCATCGGTATACTCGTGTTGTCCATCAACTTGTTTTCCTGAGTGTTTGAAAGATAAAATTCAGAATTTTTTTCGGCGGTAGTTATAAAAATAAACTAGAATAAAATAAACCCTTGAAATATTTGATAGCACAGTGAAAGCGGAAACTCGGTCAATCGGGACTCTACTATGTATATGTATATAATATATATTATATATAATATAAATTATATTACATATTTTTATGTGGTCTCAGTAGCTTTAAGCAAGAGAGCATTCTAAAGTTTGGGACTTCTTATGTAAATTTCACTTTTTGCGTTTTTGTTATTATCTCTGCGTATTTGTTATTTTTAATTTTTGTTTTTTGCTATTTATATACTGCTATTTTGTTATTTTTAATTTTTGTTATTATCTCTGAATTAATAGCACAATGCGGTAGTTTTGAAAATAAACTAGAATAAAATAAACCCTTGAAATATTTGATAGCACGGTGAAAGCGGAAACTCGGATAATCGGTTTTCTACTATGTATATATTATATAATATATAATATAAATTATATTACATATTTTTATATGGTCCCAGTAGCTTTAAGCAAGAGAGCATTCAAAAGTTTGGGACTTCTTATGTAAATTTCACTTTTTGCGTTTTTGCTTTTATCTCTGACATTTTTAATTTTTGTTATCATCTCTGAATTAATATCACAATGCAAAATATTCCTGCAGCCACTTAAGAAAATCGCTTATAGTACATCAAACCGTTGATAGAATGCGCCACTGTAGCTGAAGTGAAAAAGAAGTGGAAAGGTTTTTTTTTCCTTCTGGTTTGTGTGTGTTTTGGAAAATTAGTGAGAAATATCGACTGTCGCCATCTAGCGTCAATTCATCGAGAATATGCAACACCTTACTTTGTAATCTTTTAACTCACTGTGTAACAAAAACTGCTTGAATATTATTGACAAATTGAAGATTCGCTTAAAAGTTGCAATTTTCTTAAATTTTGCAAGTTATACGTATATTATATTATTTCATTAGGCTTCAATATTTATTTCAGTTACTAAAAAAAAGATAGTAAAAGAAATTATTTCATGTGTTTCGCTTATGTAATATTTTAAATGAATAGTTTAAAAAGTCACGATTGATTTCTAGAGTCATAAACTATTTTTTTTTGTATTCTTCTTAAACTACATATCTTTTATCAGTACAATGCACCTAAAAATAATAATAACTCTAACTGATCTAATGGTCGAATCCTGACGCACTAGGTCGCAACCTTAAAGGTTTAAAGGGGCGACCTCAAATATGCTAATTAATTAGTGAGCACGATATTTTAAGTAACGAAATCGAGACAATAAAGCGTACTTTCTCTTAATAAACATACCTATTTTTTGAAGGATTCAGATTTCTCAACCTTAAAATAGCTATATTATATGGGGGGTAGCTATATTCTGCGAAGTATAATGGGACAGCGATCGAAAAATTGAATCTCTTAAGTTTAACTTTAATTTAAGCATATTTCGCAATATCTCAAAAACTCTTTAACACGTTGAATGCCACGGGGCTCACCGGTGACCGGCACTTAGTTTGTTCGTAGCGCAATGGGGTCACCGGTGACCGACGAAGCCAAGATTATTAGAAACCCATAATTCGAGTAAATTTTTAATATTTTTATATTATTATTGTTACTAAAATGGTTTGAAGAAATTAATGCACTATAGAACACACAAAAATATTTTTATTTATACACACAGAGATGCCAACCTGCTCCGAACAGCGAATTATTATTTTCAAGTGGTAGTTTATTAATGGTTTAATAAATTCAATTTGGTGGATTTTTATCCACCACTATTTCTAAACAATTCGTAAGATTATATAATTCACCACTTTTTACAATTATGTCATGCTAAACCTTTTAAAAAAAAACTAGCAAAACGTGTTACATTTGCAAATATAGTTTGTAGTTATTTACCGTTTGGCCAGACGGGCAAGCCATGTAAAATTAGCGTGGCATTCAACGTGTTAAAGAAAATTGAAGAGTTTTCATCACAACTATAAAGTTTGTTTATCCAATGATAAAAACATGAAAAAATAATCTTTAATAATTATGTATGATTTTTCCATTGTTTTATTTAACAATATTCGGGAAAAAAATAGAATTGTAAGGAATACAATTTTGAAGAATTCTATAAGTCAAAATACAAAATTTGAATCGGTCAAATGACTCCTAAAATATACGTTTTTCTTTCTTTTTTAAATTTAAATTCAGGAGCAAGTTAATCAATTTCTTTCATATTTTGTATTGTCATATAAAATTACTTTATCTTAAATTATGCAAAATTGTGTCTATTTCAATTCAATTCTTTTTTTTAAAATCTTAAATGAAAGAATGAAAAAAAAAATTTTTTTTTTCTTGGAAATATCTTTGGAGTAACGAATTTTACAACTGTGGGCAAAAATTATTGATTCTTTTCTAAAAGTTCGCGAGACATGGCACAATGTGTAAAATATAGGATTAACCTTAAGAGATCAAACCTTTCCACCGCTTCTACTCCCATTTTTTGTGGGTCAGAAATCCGAATCCGTCAATAAAAAAATTATGTTTATTATGAGGATGTTACATCACCGGAGAAATTTTTCATCGCAGATTCTTTTTCACACCTCCATAACTAATTTAAAATTCTAATTCTAATTTAAAATAACTAATGTAAACAATAACAAGAGTCCTTAAACCGGAAGAAATTTAGAAAATTTCCGGTGTATCCCTCCGCTTATGTTATGACTACGAGGCGATGTGTTAACAAGCGTAAAATATTCTATGCAGTTTTGTTATTGTAATTTGGGTTCAAATCTAAACATAATTGAACCATTCATAAGAGCTTTCGGAAATGTATTGATTCTCAGAGGTCGTAAGACCAAAAAAAATTTTGGAAAGTTAATATCTCATTGTGAATTATTCTTAAGGTTTGCCATGTTTTGTATTTTATCCCTTATTTGGCTACATTTGAATAAAATGTCGCCAAAAATATCTTTAAAAATATCTTTTTAAGATAGCCTAATTAGAAAATATTCTAATGATTATAATATTAATATGATAATGCTGAAG